AAATGTGCTGTGAGGATGGGTGATAGACGAAGAGGACTCAGGATTATGTCACATAACGGGTTACTGTTGCATATTTGCACAAAGCAAGAATTGTGAAGCAAGATAATCAGCCGTTGCTAGTGAACGACTATAAAACAGCTTTCGTTTCTAGGCAAAGGCCGCGAAAAAGACAATTGAACGACGTCCGTTACTAGGCAGAAGATTTTTAATAAGAATAGACGGCCACTGCTAGGAAAAGGCTAGGTAAACACGCTCAAGCGTCAACGGATAAGCGTGCAACAAATGAACCGTGTCTTCTGCGCGGGCCGTGCCGAAGAGTTATAAAAAAGACAACTGGGGCAAGCAAGCCAGTTATGTACGGGAGTCCGAAGAAAAGAATCAGCGACAATTAAGTCAGTGGTCAAGGGACAGTTGGAAGATAATTGGAAGTGAACCACGATTCAGAGTGAACTTGAGCGCGGAAGCCGAAGAATCTCCACTGCTAGAAGCCGTTACCAGGGAACGGCTGCTGAAGACACACGAGGCTGGAAAAGACTTAGCGGGTGGTGTGGCGATTTGTAAATTGCGAAGATTGGCGACGGTGCTGTAATTGCTTAAGTTCGAGTCGTGTGGTAAAGTGGTCAATAGCTCCAATATCTGATCCAAAACCCCGTCTATAGCCACTCCATGCTACGTGACAATATTATCGGCATTTTGATCCTGACTTCCACCATGGCCTCATGAACTCGAGTGCGCCGAGACGTGATAATAGCCACATGCAATGTCGTCACACGAATTCACGTCATATCACTGTGACGACAGGGCAGCTAGTCTCCTGGCACACGGGGACGGCAGCTGCACCAGCCACAGAGTTCGCACGACCTAAGGACGTCCGACGCCACTGATTTTTGTGCAGATGTGATGGTCATGTATTGAGACTGTTTGCCTTCTTTCTTCTCGCATTCTTCACGATTCATATAAACAAATCATATTTTAGCGTGAATTTTAATGAGATTTCTTTACACCTGTTTGTAAAGCTAAACGATACGGCGATCACGTGCGCATGACCGTCCGTATGCCTCAGTTAGTATATTCAGGGACAAAGAGACGTAAGCTGCAGTACGGGCCAGTCATGAATATGGGGTTCATACTCCGGACAACGCTACAAATCATATACAAACACATAACGTAATGTAAGATTTGAGGCTTTCACGGCGGTGACTATGAAGAAAGCAGTCTTCTGGGATTTGGCACCGTGTATATGTGGTGTTAACCGACGTTTCGGAGGAACGTATCTACTCCATCTTCAGTCTGCTTCTACCGGTTCTCACGGTCTCTCCGCTTGCAGATTTCTTATATTTTTTCTTCTACCCTGAAGATGGAGGCGATACGTTCCTCCGAAACGAAGGTTAACACCACATATACACGGTGCCAAATCCCAGAAGACTGCTTTCTTCACATAACGTAATACTGTTAAAATGTATTCCCGACCATCTCGAGAAGAATATTACAACTGATCGACGAAAATACAAACTTTTTTAAATTGAAATTATCTTAACAATAGAAACGAATATCGACTAAAGGCCGAGAATATTGTCAGAAATTCAATTACACAGAATTCCCATGTTATTTTCTTGGTTATTAAATTGAAAATAAATAAGGCTATATTTAGGCCTCCCCTAGGCCAGGGGCCTGTGACAAATGACCCTGCTGTTCCCTCCCTCTGTGTGGGCCTAGGTGCATCGCTTTAAATCAAATTCTATGTGGGAGAGTTAGCAAAACCTGGATCAAAATTCGAAAGAAGCCATTTATTTCCTCAGGCTAATAGATTTTTTTCACTGTTCTGTGTTATAACAAAAATTAAGGTAAATAATTAATGGGTCTGTAATTAACTTAATAGAATATATTTTAATGCCTGCAACATCTGTGAATCAAACCTAAATTAAAATTTAATTAGAATGAGAATTATGAATATGGCAACGGCGCAAAAAGAATATGGCTTTCAGGTGGCACTCAGAGATTTATTTTATGAATTTGTATTGTTCTATAATTTTGCTGGTCTCCAATGTATAGATTGAAAATTAAATGAAATTAAGTTCGTAATTTCACCTCCTCCATGATTCCACAATTTTATACAACATTGAGGGGCTATGTTACAAGCCGGAAGTTCGCGGGTTCAAGTCCCGATGAGGTCATTGGATTTTTTCAGTTGACCTAATCCTTCCAGCCGCACTATGGCCCTGAGGTCGACTCAACCTCTAACAGAAATGAGTACCAGGAATTAATTAATTGATTTTGCTGGGCAGTAAAGCGCGGCCGGCGCGTAAGGCTGATAACCTTACCGCCATCTTCGAGCCGATTGTCTAGATAATGTGGGACCCTCAACGTCTCACAACCCTATGGGCCTTCACGGCCTGTTACAGGGATAGCTTTACCTTTAACATTTATTTTTTTCTTCAGGAACTGCCAAGTTTCCCGTAACTCCTACCCTAATGGCAGCCATTTTATTGTAATCCTCTACTAGCTGTCAAAAGAATAATATTTATTCTCGTGCAATTTGCCCGTGTTTTCTATTCTGTACTGTTTTCTGCTCCTAAGGTACTGTGTGGACTTCCCAGAATTTTGCTTACCAAAGGAGCGCTGCTCTGTTTGCGCGACATATCCAGAGCGTGACGAATGGGCATTACGTAGACAGACGACTGTCGCTGTTTCTCATTTTAGGCCCATAGACTGCTGACGTATTGCAGATAAACAGAAACTGTGAAACAACATAACTCAAATTTAATATTTATTGCATCAGACAAAAAACAAGATTTCCTGGATTTCCCAAAGTTTCTCAGCGACCCCACATGCAGGATGGCACGCACTTGAAATTCTTTTTTCTTTTTTCTTCCTCTTGCTTCACTTTGGAGCGTTCTTTTTTCTTGCTAGTGGGGTGGGACTAAGTCCCTTGTACTGCGGCCACTTCTGGCCTATTGTACCAGCTACAGATGATAGGTGAGGGTGATTGTGGAGCAATTGGTGGAATGAAGATTGGCAGGGGAAACCGAAGTACTCAGAGAAAACCTGCCCCAGTGCCACTTTGTCCACCACAAATCCCACTTCACCAGACCCGGGATCGAACCCGGGCCGCCGCGTTGGGAAGCCAACGACTAACCGCTTGAGCTATGGCGCTTGCTCCCACTTTGGAGCATAGGGCTGATTTCTTAGTTTCTTGACAATTTTGCAGGCGGTAGGACTCCTTGGAAGAGTGATCAGCTCGTCACAATACCTCTACCTAAACACATGACGACATCAACACAGAATAAAGGCATAGACACACCAAACATCCATGCCTTGTGTGGGATTCGAACCCACGATTCCGGCTTCCGAGCGAGCGAAGACAGTTCATGCCTTAGACTGCTCGGCTACCGTGACAACTAACTCTAACGCGCAGTTTTTTTCTTAAAATGTTGCCAGTGTTTTTCAAAAAGTCAAGAACGTTCCTCTTTTAAGGAACTCTAAGGAACACCGAGCTCACTGTAGCCTGTCATTAGACCCTATCCTACGCCAGTTCAAATCACTCCATTATTATTCCTATAGTATAAAATTGAACATTACTTTCCCCTCTACACATTTGTCTTTCCAGTGACATGATGTTTCCGTGTGGTCTTCATACCAGAACTGTGGACAGATGAGTTAATCATCACAATTATCAGGTTAAGTTTTCCAGGCAGTAAAGCGGCAGTGGCGTCTAACTCCGACATTAAAAATGGTGGCGCTCTCCTTCCAGTCGCCATACATCTTCATGCCGTGGTGCTTAATTGATTAAGCCTATGAATACCTTCATTTTTTACTTTAACTTTACCGAAGTGTACATTACTTCTGTTTAACTAACTAACTTCATGGTGCTGAGCCCTTCTTGAGAAGCCGCCAGTTGTGCAGCTACTCAAGAAATTCCCAACATTTTACGGAACCCAAACGCTCACTGCCGTGTTCACAAGAGCCCTCCACTGGTCCATATCTTAAGACAGATTTATCTAGTCCACACAACCACAACCTATCTTTCTAAAATCCATTTTACTATTGTCCACCCACCTACGTCTTAGTCTTCCAAATCCGACGCCCTTGTGACATTCCGTAAAAATTTTAATTTTCTACGGTGAGGAGTTGTTAGCCCCACGGCGAACTCTCAAGCTGGAAGATCACCCTCTGTCGGCTGTCCGTGACTGCTTATTCAATATATTCTGAGCTACTCTATATATCGGGGCACGCGGTAGCGTAGTTGGTTGAGGCACTATGTGCTACAAGCCGAAAGGTCGCGGTTTCAAGTCCCGATGAGGTCATCGAATTTTTTCAATTTACCTAATGCTTCCACCCGCAACATGGCTCTGGGGTTGACTTAGCCTCAAAACGAGTACCAGGAATATTCTTGGGGGTAAAAGGCGGCCAGCTCGTAAGGCTGACAACCTTGCCACCATCTGTGAGGCGATTGTCTACAAAATGTGGGAACCTCAACATCTCACAACCCGATGGGTCTCCGCAGCCTGTTACAGGGATACTTTTACTTTACTTTTTACCATATATATCTGGAGGCCGTCTCCTCTATCCGCACCCTGAGGACACGCCATGCCGTGACGACAGGGAGCACATCTATTGTACTTCTACTGAAACAGGCGCACCATATCGAAACATTATTCAGACAAAAGATGTAGGGAAGACGCTTAGCTTGTGCACATTCACAGTCTCGCACCAGACATCCATGACTCGAGTGGGACTAGAAACCAGGACCTCAGTGGTCCATCGGTCGAAGCCGGTTCATGCCTTAGACCGCGCGTCCGCTCTGAACGGCTACGTAATCAGTTGGTTAGTTACAAAGTTAATCAGTCCGTCGGTCGATTAGGTTGTCAGTAGGTTGGTTCATTAGTTAATTAGTTATTTATTGAGCCAGTCACTTGGATGGCTAATTAGCTGGTTGGCTTCTTTGTTTGTTTGTTTGTTTGTGATTCAATGTGAAACATTCTTGCCTCTCTCTGTCGCAGGCATTGAATCCAAATTGGATTACATCGCGGAGCTCGGAGCTAAGACCATTTGGCTCTCTCCGATATACAAGTCTCCCATGAAGGATTTTGGCTATGATATTGAAGACTTCAAGAACGTGGATGAAAGTTTCGGTAGCTTACAAGACTTCAAGGGCTTGGTGCGGGCGATGAGAATTAGAGGTAGGTATCAGGTCACTGTTGAGTTCCCATTAGCCTCAGAAGCTTCTGCCAAGAAAAGTTCTAAGCTTATAAATTTCCTACAAATACTTCTCACTCTAATGAACGTTAAAATAACTTGAAACTTAGCTATTCATTATGATAATACATAGCCCATCACAGAATAACTGGCCTGAAACAGAAATGAATGAAAAACTATATACTTGTATTATCTGCATGAAATTGCCAAGAAAATTCGAGTAATTACAGCGAGAATATATATGAATATTAAAAACGTTTTAATTACAATTACATAAAAATCTACAAGCATGATCCATGCTGAATTTTCTAAAAAAAATTCAAAACTGCTAGAAACTTTAAAGTTTAAGAACTTACATGAACTGTTCCACAAGTCGAGGGGTACACGAATATGTTAAATATTAATGTGATGACTTAATAAACTTAGGGGAATTCGGGCATTTCGCAGGGCAAAATAATGACATAAAGATAGGTAACAGATGTTTATAAAACGTGGCACAGTTCAGATATTTGGGGACGACTATAACAAATCAAAACCTGATTCAGGAGGAAATTAAGAGGAGACTGAACTCGGGTAATGCTTGCTACCATTCAGTGCAGAACCTTTTGTCTTCTCGTCTGCTGTCTAAAAACAAAAAATCAGAATACACAAAACTATAATTTTGCCTGTGTTTCGGTATGGGTGTGAAATTAGTCTCCGACATTAAGGGAGGAACATAGACTGAGGGTGTTTGAGGAGAATATCTGGACCGAAGAGAGATGAATTGACAGGAGGTTGGAGGAAACTGCATAATGAGGAGCTTCATAACTTGTACTCTTCTGCAAATGTAATTAGAATGATCAAGTCAAGGCGGATGAGTGAAGCAGGGTATGTAGCACAAATGGGGAGAAGAGGAATGCATATAGGATATTAGTGGGAAAGCCTGAAGAAAAGAAACCGCTAAGAAGACCAAGGCGTAGCTGGATAGACAATATTAAAATGGATCTTAGAGAGGTAGGATGGGATGCTATGGATGGGATTTATGTGGCTCAGGAGAGGGACTAGTGGAGGGCTCTTGTGAACATGTAATGAACCTTCGGGTACCATAAAATGGTGGGAAATTCTTGAGTAGCTGCGCAATTGGCGGCTTCTCGAGAATGGTCCAGCTCCAGAAGTGAGCGAGTGAGTGATTGAGTGAGAGATATTTCGGCAACTAAATGCAGATACAGACAATTTTATTCATAGAGGGCATAGGCATATAATGCAAATCATACATCTGGCTCAATTCTTAACTCTGTAATTGCTGAGTTTCAACGAGATAACAAACAGCTTCTTCATTTGTAATTTCTACGGAATAAGACTATAAATACTTAATCCGAATTGCGGAGAAAATTTCATTTGACACTTTAATGTAGAAGTGACGTTCAAAACAGGAGTGGCCCGTGTTTGTAATTGTCCAATTTAATATGTAGCATGGAAAGGGCTAATCTCCGCCCTGTTACTATACTGCACTACTACTTGTATTACTACTGTTATATCAGAAATTCTGTTATAATTAAGATTGAGATTGCTTTCCGAATGGGATTTTCTTAAAGTATGCTTAATTCATGAAATTGTTTATTTGCAGCTTTAAAAGTATCTGATGAATAAATTCTGTATTCATGCACTGTTATTTAATGCCACATTTACATTTGGTGCTCGCTTTCTGCATTAAAAGCTCTGCCAATATTCTGGTCACATGCTGCCGCAATTAATATTTGCTGATAATTCTTGAGAAAATTCCAAGAATGCATTTTTGTCATCAAATGTATAGGCCTATTTAAATGAGGCAATGATGCTATGAATGTCCGAGTTCATTGTAGAAAATGCGGCATCAGCATGGAAAAAATATAGACATTTCGAAGGAATTTGATATTTACTTCTTGAAGGTGGACTCCAGCCATGGGCAGATTCCTACTGAACTTCAATATGGACAGCCAAAAATGTTATTATTATTATTTATTTTAACTACAAATTGATTTTTTATACGGTTGCAGTGGTGCAACAGTAAGACACAACACACAAATACACACATGAAACAAAATAACACACGATGTTCAAACAAAATTCAGCATACAAAACTACAAAAACAAAATAGGACACACTGCACACAATGAATACAATGCAAAAACAATTACAACTACAATTATAAAAATAAATACTAATAAAAATAAACACACTATACACTAAACAATAACAGTAAAGAAATACGTAATATCATGAACTGATGCACGCACATTTCAAAATGACCTTCCCTTTACTCCACTTCACTACACTTACGCACCCTTCACATCCTCACAACACTTTGCTTCGCTTCACTGCATTTTTTGATGATTTCCCTCACACCTTCACTTCCCCTTATTTATCACTTTCCTAACCCTTTTCCTAAATTGGCTTGATTTACAGGAAAGAGTCCCTAAAGCATCTGCAGGTAGTTGGTTCCAGAGCTGGATGGTCCTATTTACGAAGGACTATTTTCCGATATCTGTCTTTTGCTTTCTGCTCCTAATTTTCCTATCACGATCGACCCTGTTCAGATAGCATGGTCTTTGTAATCTATCACCAATAGCCTTGCAAGCCCGTTGTCCCGTGTACGATTTGAAGAGAGCACAAATGCGAGCTATCTTTCTGCACTGTGCAAATCTAGCCGCCATGTTTTGCACCCGGTCTACCGCATTTATGTGTCCCTTCCTGTAAGGATCCCAGCACATCGCCCCATATTCAAAAATAGGACGCACTAGTGACATGTAGGCTAAATTTTAGTATTTCTATTTCCCTTTTTGAGAATATGTACTGTAAAATGAAGTGTCTTCCAAGCCTTTTTCACCTTATAATTTACTTGATCAGCCCAACTTAAATCTCTGTGTAATTTTTTCCTTTGGCACTACAGCCCCAGTGGGCCTAGGCCTACCTCCATGAACTTCTCCGTTTTCTTCGGTTTTTCTAGATCTTAGACATACGGTAGGACTCCTTGGGCGTGTGATCAGCTCGTCGCAAGGCCTCTACCTGTACACAAACACAGAAAAACGTACACACACAAACTAAACATCCATGCCCTGAGTGGGATTCGAACCTACGATCTCGGTTTCCAAGCGAGCGAAGACAGTACAGGACCTGCGTAAAATTATTCCCAAGTACGTGCATTTACAACTGCTCGCTTCCGGAATTACTATGTCCCGTAATGAATAATTTAGTGGTTCCGTCACTCGAGGTCTAGTGAAAGAAACTGCCTTGCTTTTAGCTAGATTAATTAACATCGCAGGAAGTAAACTGATTTTTTTTTTTTTAATTTTAAGGCATTGTAACATTTGTTCAAAACTTTTCAGGTTTGAAGCTGGTAATGGACCTGGTTCCTAACCACTCCAGTGATCAACACGTCTGGTTCCAGAAGTCGGTAGCTAAGGAGGAACCTTTCACTGACTACTATGTCTGGGCTCCTGCCAAGGGATATGAAGACGGGAAACCGATTCCACCAAACAACTGGGTGAGTAAGCGGCCAAAATAATACAACTTATAGGGAAACAAACCGCTTCAAATACCGAGACTTACTGGGACATTCTGAACACTGTAACTCCTCGATTATTTACTTATATTCCAAATAGACCGCGCCATAGCTCAAGCGGTTAGTCGCTGGCTTCCCACGGCGGTGGCCCGGGTCCGATCCCGGGTCTGGTCAAGTGGGATTTGTGGTGGACAAAGTGGCGCTAGGGCAGGTTTCCTCCGAGTACTTCGGTTTCCCCTGCCAATCTTCATTCCACCAATTCCTCCACAGTCACCCTCACCTATCATCTGAGGCTGGAACAATAGGCCAGAAATGGCCGCAGTACAAAGGACTTAGTCCCACCCCACTAGGAATAAAAAAATTAATAAAATATATTCCAAATAATTTGCGTTCTTTCACCTTCAAAACTAGTTTTCTGAAGATATTAAACTCTGTATTTTATTCTACCGAGCGGTAAATTCTGACGTTTTTTCTGTCTGGTAGCTGAGCGTGGTTGGGGGATCGGCGTGGGAGTGGCACGCGGATAGGAAAGAGTTCTACTTGCACCAGTTCGCCAAGGAGCAGCCCGATCTCAACTTCCGGAACCCTGCTGTCAAAGAGGAGATGCTGGTGAGTCACGTCGTATTACTCCTTTTATTACCCAGAAATGTTTGGTTTTCGTGTCAATCACAATTAGAATGTCCAATTAGTTTATCTCAACATACATATAACTGGTCCTTAGAGGTTAGTTCACTAGGCTGAACTGAGGAATACCACGATGAAGTTAAAGCGTGAGGTCTTCTGGGTTGTAACGCATGTAGTTTGGATAAAGTCCGAGGTTGCAGGGAAATATACGGCATCCATCTTCAGGGTCGAAGAGTAAGCCATTAACGAAATCAGCAGAAGCAGGTGGCAACTGTTTACACTTCTGCCCTGAAGATGTAAGTGATATGTTCTTCGACACTTCAGGCTTTCTCTGAACTATACGCTGCTTTATCCCGAAAGACCACAAGCTTCACAACCACAGCCGTGTGAACCTCATGTCATACAATGAATTTCTCACAATACTCCTCATATATGGCACAGATTCGAACCGAGTACCTCCCTTGTACAGGCCAGATGCGTTCTATCTCTTTCTAGACCTTCATATACAGTGATCCTGAATATTGCTAAAAGTGGGCTGAGATTTGTGAACTGCAGCAAATATCCTGAAGCTACCGCGCAGGCTAAGGACAGCAACGATGTCCTAGATTTGTATTCCAGAGGTACCTGTTTCAAATCTCAATATTTTCACGTAACATCATGTGTTCAGTGACTATAGACGGGTTTTGGATTTATAACTGGATTTATTGAGTACTTCGACAGCTCGTGACTACACCTTCACTGATCACTATCCCACACAGACTAGTGTTCTAAGTCGCGTTGCTTGGCAGCGGCTTCCAAAGGCGGACGTTCCTCTGCTTTCATGATCACATCCTCGCAGACTGGCGACCATCTCAAGCCAACCTCACACTCTGAACGCTGGCTTCAGTCGGTACTTCCTTGAGCTGCTAGCTCCTGGGACGAATTGACTCAGAGTCTGATTCAAAGTTATTTTACGCCAAGCTTCTTGAGCCTCGTGACCTGAGTCATTTTTCTTTTTACAACTGAACCCTTGCGGTCATAGTCCTCATGTAACTTCCTCTCTGACGAGAAGATGGGTTTGCTCTTACGATTAGGCTTCGCCTTTGTCAGTTGTACGAATCGTACATATAGCATGCTATTGAAAACTCTTCCTCTTGCACTATATAAAGTCCTCTGTCAGTTCAGGCTTTAGAAAGCAGATCACGTCTAGCTTATGTATCTTATGCTACAACGGCAGCTTAGTCACTTGAACAGTCGTAAGCTTGACCACCGCCAAGTTCAAGTCTCTTGTAATTTCTAGGTCTGGCTCCGCCTTGTTCTATGTTGCGAACATGTTTATTCTCATGATCTTGAACGACTTCTTCTTGTTGCCTGCACAATTTTGTTTATAATCGTATACACATAGAAAGCTGAAGGCCGTGTGCAAATCGCGGATAGGTGTGCACCTTGGAAAATTTGTAGTGGTGCGGAGAAGCTTCTTGCGCGCCCTGCAATTTTAAGAAGTAGGTATCTTAAACAAACGCCCAGACGCGTCAAGCGTAAGTCATTACTGATCTAAGCAGTGCTTTATTTGGCGTAAGTTTAATGTTGGCACTTTCGAATAGGGAGGAGATTCTGATAAATGTACTGATGACCTTGTATTGCGTCATTTCTATGTGTATTCTCCACATAATCCTCTTATCGAAGATTACACCAAGATATTTTACACACTGACGAAGAGATATTCCGTCCATTCATTGCAAGATGAGCCTCAGGGGACCCAAGTATATAAGAAAGTTAAATAATCTGAGTCTTCACTGATTTTTATGTTCCAACGCTCACCAGACGTCTCATTATCACTGAGACCTCGGTGCAGCTTTCTGAGAACATAATCGTCTTTGCAGCCTGTGCTTATGTACAAGTATCATCACCTAAGGGACCTTCGTAGAAGCCAGGTGTTTGGGGGCGTATCATTTACATCCACACTATACAATTTTTTTTGGGGGGGGGAGGTGTAGGACAGAACCTTGTGGCACCCCTGCTTGTATATCCCTAGGCGAATACATTTCATCTTCGACCGAGACTCTGAATTTTCTAATTGAATAAAATAATTTAGACAATTTATATAGCAAGCCAATGTGCCATGTTGTGTGAAAATCTTTTTCAATATCCAAGAATACCGCAGCTGTTGAAATCTGTTGTCACTGTTGAAATTTAAGATGACGTGGTCCGTAAGCTTGATACATTGAAGTGTCATGCTGTGACGGGCACAGAATCCAAACTGGCTTGCATTAAGCAGGCCTCTTTCTTCAATGTGTCTTTGAAATATTTTCAAAATAACTTTCTCGAACAGCTTGTCTGTTGTGGACAAGAGGCTAATCAAACATACTTTTTAGGAAATTTGGGTCCTTACCTGGCTTCGGTAACGCGATAACATTTGTTTCCTCCCAAGGCTTTGAAAAACGGGACAGCCGAAGGCATTGACCGACTCATAACTCAAAATTGGTCGCACAGAATAAAAAACTTCCAACAGTTCTTCCATTGTTCTGTGCGTAGTTTACGTTTTATGTTGCTTAGAGATGGCTCCGCTTTTGCTGAGTGTTTATACAACCGTTGCCAAGCAATAGCTGTTTCTATGGGTCTCTTATTCTAGCTGTCAGGCGTCACGTCACAGTACAGACAGCATTGTCCCAAATCCTTACTTAGGCAGACCATGCCATAAACAGGGGCTGGTCTGTGGCGTCTCACGAGATGTTCAGTGCAAGTGCGACACGTGACGGACGAAGTGGCATTGGGGCAGGTATTTCCCCGAGATCTTACCCCGGGCAGTCTTCATAAAGGGACTGAGTCTCACCCTACTGCCTGCAGGACGTCATGAGGTTCTGGCTGGAGCTGGGGATAGACGGGTTCCGCGTGGACGCCATGCCTCACTTGTTCGAGGACGAGACGTTGAGAGACGAGCCGAGTGCCAATGAGACCGCCCTGCAGCAAGGGGACTACCGCGAGCTGCAGCATGTGCACACCCACAGCCTCCCAGAAGTGCTGGGCGTCATGGCTGAGTTCAGGAGGACGCTAGACGAGTATTCGGAGCGAACTGACAAAGTGCGCAGGTAAACAGTTAGGACATAGGGCATTTTGTGTTAGTTCTAGGATACGACGCCAACGTTAATACAACTTACGAAATGAAATCTGTTACCACACCAATATATTTCGCGCAGCATAAAGTTACTTTTCTTCTGCACAAAGACAGTCCCGTTATTGTAAAAGTTACATATGGACTAACATGAGGGTTGCAAATAGAGCTCCAAAGAAATAACGCTGAAACATAACTAAACTTAGCTTCATCGAGCTAAGCCCTTTTTCAGAAGCCGACAATTGGGCAGCTACTCAAGAATTCCCCAACATTTTATGGAACCCGAAGGTTCAATAACGTGTTCACAATTACCTTCCACTGGTCCTTATACTGAGCCAGATCAATCCAGTCCATACCACTCCACCCTATGTTTCTAAGATCAATTTTAATAATATCCTTCCACCTACGTCTAGGTCTTCATAGTGCTCTCTATACTTCTAGCTTTCCAACCAAAATCCTACAAGCATTCCTCTTCTCTCCATGCGTGCAACATTCCCTGTCCATCTTATCGGCCTTGACTTCATCATTCTACAATTCTGAAACATATTTATGTAAAAAAAAAAAAGAAAGTCACTAAAATAAATCTCCTGTTTAATTTTGGGCCATGATGCCTTGCAATCAGTTGCGAATCTCCTGCATTCGCTCGCGACATCAGAATGAAAACACGAGAAGCAGCAAACGACAAATTATTGTTCTCTTTCATTTTAGGCTCATTATGGCTGAAGTGTATGATTCAGTCGAAAAGACAATGGAATATTACGACGGTCACAAAGTTCCAGCGGCAGATTTCCCCTTCAATTTCTATCTCATGACCAACATCCGGAGAGAATCTTCTGCTTACGACATTAAGAACACCTTAGAAGTGTGGAAGAACAGCCTGCCAGAAACGCAATGGGCAAACTGGATTGTAAGTTACAGCAAAAGTGCAGTGCCGATTGTGTGTGATCACGAACACAGAGTCGGGTTGTGATTTATGTGCACTGAATGCTTCATCCTTAGGTTACGTAGCATCGATGTTTTAATTCAAGAGTTTACATAGCGATGAATTTTACAAGACCATGACGCATGCTGAAAAGATACAAATTCCGAAATAGGAAATACGAGCTTATGATTCTTGTGGAGAGCATGAGGAAAATAACGAGAAACCTGTCATGATACTCCGTATCCCAGTCGGAATTCAAAACGAGTCCTCCCGAATACAGAGCCACAGAGACACCCCTGAGGCCAGGGCAGTGTCATATCTCAGGCAGTTAGTCACTGGCTTTCCACCGCGGCGGCCCGGGTTCGATCCCAGTAGGTCATATGAGATTTGTGGTGAACAAAGTGAACCTGTTGCAGGTTTTCTTTGAGAATTACCGTCTTCTCTGCCAATTCTCATTTCACAGACTGCTGCACACTCCTCATCTATCATAAAACAAAAGAGACAGTTTGCTTCTTTTCGGTGTAAATTTCATTTAGGAAACTTTTTGCATCAGGCTATATCAGTGGCGACATTTTTGTAAATAGACCATGACTAAATTAGATTTAACTGTTTGGGAAATGTGAGATAGGTTTCTTCCACTGACCTTCTCAAACACCACATCAAGTCAGACAAACGCTGTAAGCGAGATATTTCGTGCGTATTATGGAAAGAATTACAGAAGGCTGCATCTCTGTGCATGGCCTGCCTTAAGAACAGTAACTTGACATTTTGCTCGCGTAGTGTGTTTATGGGCTTCGATTTGTTTCCATAGGCATTAACAGATTGTTGTATTGGAGATGAGGGATGTTTTCCGAAAGGTGGAAACCAAAATGTAAATCCTGCTCGCAGCTGGGGAACCGTGACCACTGGCGAGTGGTGTCGCGGCTCGGAGACGATTTGCTGGACTGTGTGAACATGATCCTGCTGATGCTGCCCGGTACAGCCGTCACGCACAGCGGCGAGGAACTCGGCGTTGAGAGCACGCTAGCTCCTTGGGACCCGTCGGGACCGGAGCATTCCAGTGAGTCAGGCGCAGGTAAGACAAGATTTTGTTGTTCTTGTTGTTATTGGAGAGGATGGGTTTCCCCATGCACTTAGACCATATATTGGTCCATTGTGCGTCCCCCTGTGATATTTTACCAGTCTCTATACCCTACCGGTACTGGTGCGTGCCATCAGTCCCGACTCAGCCAGCGAGTTCAGCTTCTACTGGCTCAGCGGTATCTCTATGCTTCCCCCCATCTACCAGAGGCGTTAGAGACTACCGTTGGGCGGGAAATGTGTCCTGAATTTGGCTCAGAGGTCCCCTTGAGACATGAGGTTCTTTTACATGCAGTAAAGCTACGACACGGGACCCACGGCTTAAAGTCCCTCCCGGAGGACTTGTTCCCTGAATTTTTCCGCCCTTAAAAATTCCACGACCTCCGCCGGGTTTGAACCCGCGTACCTTGAGTCACGAGGTGGGAAAGTTACCCCTAGACTACGGAGGCCGCTCAGGCGCAGGTAAGTCATGGTTTTGTGAAACTGGGTCGCGCGCCCTCCACTAAGAAGGAATTGCGGAATTCTAAAGAATTATTTAAATTATAAAATATAGTTATCCACATACAGTTTAGTATAGCTTCTTTCGGAAAATATTGTATCTGCAACCGACAAAATATTTCGCGATTGCTTTTGTGACGGTATAGGAACATTTTATATATTACCGTAGGGATAGAGAGGCTGTACAGCTACTTAAGCCAGCGTACAATCTCACAGGAACCTGTAAGGTTATGCAGAGGTGCACTTTCCGCTGACCGGCAGAGATGGGGAGGGGATATGCATAAAAATTCAGGTACTACGAGTAACTTGCGGTATCACAAACGCTTGAGAACTCCTGAACAGATAATAGGCTCCTGGTTGCGTGAGTTGTATCGTATCTGATTGCAGACGAGACGTGGGTCCCACTCCGCCCAGACTTCCAGACGCCACGGAAGCCGAGTCACCTTCACATTTACAAGACTCTGGTACGAGCACGCAATGATCTGTCCGTCATCGACGGTGACCTGAACATGAGGGTTCTAAGTGATTCGGTGTTCGCCTTCACCAGGTACTGACCAGACATTCGGTTCTGTTGGTTGAGGAGATTTGTAATGCAGTGGTTCCCAACTGCAGCTCCGCGGAATTTCATTAAGACACCTTTCGGAAATTATTGTGTTATTAGCCTGCCCGTCCAGAAAAATCTGCACTGAAATTTCAGAAATAATGTTGTTCTTCCTAACGGTTACTTACATATATCTGGAGGCTTTTGGATTCATACACGTCATATGTGGACCTTCAGAGATGATTCTTATGGTGTAGGCCGTTTAAAGACTGTTGTGTTCACGCTAAATATAACCGCATCACTGTCTCTGGAATTTCACACATAAAATTATAATCTCCTTACTCATGAAGCTGAGCCCTTCTTGAGGAACCGCCAATTTTGCAGCTACTCAAGAATTTCCCAGCATTTTATTGAACCCGAAGGTTCGTTACCGTGTTCACAAGGGCTCTCTACTGGTCCCTATCCTGAGCCAAATCAATCCAATCCATATCATCCCACCCTATCTCATTATGTAAGTTAACTGGAAACAAAAACGGTACTACATCCCGCCCTAAGCTAGTTTCATATAGTTACTATGTAAAACGCAGTATGATTACGTGCTCAATATCATCACGGCCTCAGTGTTTTCTTATGGAGGAAATATGGGGGAAAGAAATTAGTTTGGAATCGAACCCATGCATGTAGCAGCAAAATTAATAGTTTTTCCGAGTTTGTTTCTCCAGGAGGAACGTGTTATATCTACTATTTCCTGCTNTGAATGGCCACCAGCAAGATGGCGCACAGCCACATTTCTCAAGACAAGTTATGGAAGTTCGTAGTGCAACATTTCCTGGAATACGGATAAATTCTGTGACCTTGTCTGACACCGTTTGATTTTTTCTTTTGGGACTATGTAAAGAACTGTTACATGCAAATAGTTCGAGATCTGAATAATTTGGAAACAAGAAGAAGATCTGAGGTTCTCGCAGCGGTGATTATCATCTCGTACTGCCTTTGGGAAATTAACGCCATGTAGTTCATTTAAATTCAACTGACGTTTCAGAGGTACATGTCGCCTCCATCTTTATGGTCGAAGATAAGCCGAGCAAGATATCAGTGTGAAAGCTAATGGCAAGCAGAGGTCTCATCTCTCCCAACTCTGTCACATGCGTCATAAACCTCGTCCTCCTTTATTTAAGAATATTTGACAATGAATACAAATTATGAAGCTCTCCGTGAAGTTGTCTATAGCCTATTGCTACCTCCCTACTCCTACGTCCAACCATTCTCCCCAACAGCCTGTTTTGCAACACCCCCAATCTGTATTTCCCCTCACTGTGAGAGACCAAGCCTCACTACAAAACAGGTGGTAAGATTATAGCTTTTGTTATATGTTGTCACGTGTATGAGCGACTCTCGCCGGGTTTTGGATTAACCAATTCAGCAACCCGTAATTACACTTAATTATAGCGCCTCCGCTGATTCACACACTTTACAGTTCACTAGAGCACACGCTAAGTCTTTTTCAGCCTACAGAGTTTTCATTAGACGTTTCCTGGTAACTGTTTATAACAATGGCTATTCCTCTGCTTCCGTGCTCAAGTCCTACTGAACAGCGGCTCCCTTCAAACTGACTAAGTCAAAGTGAAAGTTACTTCACGACTAGCGGTTTACCGCCAATCAGTTTGTCTTGGTGTCAAGCCCCTTGAGACCCGCGACGAGAGATATTTTTTCCCCAGCAGGACCCTTGCGGCAATAGTCCTTATGTAACATTCTCTCTGTCGATAAGATAGGTTTGTCTGTTTTTTATATTGCTAGTGGGGTGGGACTAAGTCTCTTGTACTGCGGACACTTCTGGCCTATTGTACCAGCCTCAGACGATAGGTGAGGGTGACTGTGGAGCAATTGGTGGAATGAAGACTGGTAGAGGAAACCGAAGTACTCGGAGAAAACCTACCCCAGCGCCACTTTGTCCACCACAAATCCCACTTGACCAGACCCGGGATCGAACCCGGGCCGCCGCGATGGGAAAGGTTTGTCTGTTATGAATATGCTTGGCCTTTCGTCAAGCGTACTTCTCGCACATATAGCATGTTACCGAATTCTTTTTCGCTTTTGCACTGTGCACAAGTCCTCTGTTAGTACAGGCTCTGCAGAGCATATCATACCTATCTTGCATATCTTATGCTACAACGGCAGCTTCGTCACTTGAACGGTCGTAAGCTTGATCACCGCCAAGTTTAAGCCTCTTATTTTTTTATTGAACTAAGTCTTCATTTCGTCCCGGCTCGGACCAGCGTAGAAAGCACAGTTTCCAGCAGTACTCGTATCTCCACTGTTGCGGACGGAGTGTATCCGCAGTAACGACTCTACACGGTACAATATTTTAATAGTTGCGTTTTTACGCAGATAGCAATTGGAAAGACAAAATATTCTGAACTAAGTGGCAGCAAGCATTCCCATAATTTATCTGCTCTTGATGAATCCAAATACGATATTTTTACTGTCATTACCAAATATTTTAACTCTGCCATATATTTCTAAGAAAAAAATAGCTGCATACATTAGCTATAATTATATTACGCTTTTGTTCTGCATATCGGCGACATGACATCAATTTACACGCGGTAATCTCTGTCCATTTATGGACAAATGTTCTTACTAGTGCTTAAGGGAGCTTGCGTTTCTCTTTATGTCCTTTATGATTTCCTTCGGTAAATTAATATCACCAGCATAAACAAGAAACTGACGTGTTCCATTCATTCAATCTATTGGACCTTCCTAATGGCATATTCTAAAGCAACGTTCAAAAGCTATGGCGATAAAGCATCTCCTTGTTTAAAGGTTGTTTGGAATACGATATGCACCATAACATTTTTATCAATACATGTATGCATTGATTACTTTCTAAAAGCATGTTTGACGGCAATCTCATGCTCGGCTTTAGTGTGAAGGTAGAAATACAAAAGCACTGACTTACATGCGATTTTTGACAAGTTTGCCTGTCAGCATCACAAGTTCCGTTATTCGTCCTGTGTGTGCAGACTGAACAAGACCCTGCCTACGTTGGGGGTTCCCAAATAGGATTTTATACCAAGGCAACACGTGCTGGTCGAGGGGCCGACCCTAATGCATTCTGATTCTGATACGACTGCTTCCCTATCTATACTGCTCAAGACTCAAAATTCCAGAGCGTATTACTTTGCGACCCAGATGTAACAGGCATCTATTTAACCCCCCGCCCCCAAAACAAAAAGTCCGTATGTTTACAACATAATAAAGGTAAAGTTGAAGTTATTCTTGTGCTTAATGAAGCACCAGGCCATAAATACGTAAGAGGAAGTGGAAGAATAGCTCCAAAATTCTTGACCTCTGTACTGGATTGATATGAGTGGTCAGTTTCACGCCCTGGACGCTTTATTCCCTGGGAAAGAACCGCCGGTATCCATTGGCTAACACACTGGGTAGGCCACTGAAGAGGTCTCGACGCTGTAAAGAAGAGATACATCTCTTGGCCCGACCGAGAATCGAACCTCGGCCGTTCAGCCAGTAGCCCGTCCCAAGTGAAATTTCCCGAAAAAAATTAAAATATTTTAGCATAAAGTTCTCTTGATTATTTTGGGACTTCACGGCCCATCACTAAGTCATCGAGATTCAATTTTGGGGCTCGACATTGAACAAGAGAATATCAAGCCCATATGGACTTTGTAGTTTTTGCAATTGACGTAGAGTAGTTCAAACAAGAGACCTCCGATACGAATGTTTTGTACTAATTATGATAATCGAATTTTCAGGTCGCGAGAGAAAAGCAGGAGCTATGTGGTGGCTGTCAACTGGGGCAACAGCTCAGTGACAGTGAATCTCGGAGAGTTCGGTGAAATTCCAGAAGTCGCTGAGGTCTATGTTACAAACGTCAACTTCAGTGACTCCTTGTCAAAGACAGTGTAAGTACTTATTCCCTCCAGAAATACATCGGGCTTGAAAATGATTAATGATTTTAGACTACGCGCATTATTCAGAAATGGGAAGAATATTTCCGAAGTTATACCAAACGACTGAAAACAGATTTTAAACAGGACACAAAACCAGACACTCTGGTTCATTAATTATTTTGCGAATCCTGAACCAGACAGTAAACGCCCCTTCTGAAGTCTCCTTGGAGGTGGAGATTAAAATTGCTGGGTTTGAGGCTCCCGAAACGGTGACTACGAAACGTGTTAACTTCTGGCATTCGATGCCGTTTGTAGTCCCGTAGAAGTTCGCAGGCGTTTCGGAGAAACAAACCATCTCCTTTTGCAAGGCCGAAGAGTAAACCATGCACGCAGAAGGATGACTGTAGTCTCCTGGATTAACACCGGAAAAAAATGCATCGCGGGGGTAGGAATGGTCAATCTTGGCCATAAATGGGGAACAGAACGAGGAGCTGTTTTCCTGCTTTCCTTCCTGCCTTCCGTCCCTCCTTCCTCCAACACTTGCTACAACAGTTCAAAGTCTCCTGGTCCTCTGGCCTGTCTGAGCCCCGTCATGCTTCTCTTCAGTCATGGCTCTGATTGTCCACCTATGTAACTCTTTTCCCTTCCCTTCCCTTTCTATTATACAACCAGCCAAACCCACCACTTGGCTCACTTCTACCTTAAAGATGGAGGCAGAAGGTTATTCCGAAACAATGATATCCCCGCTACAGACTACATGGTGTTATATCCAAGGAACTCCTAACACGAATAGTAACGTACGAGGTCTAACAATAAAGCACCGTGTGCTTGCCGCGGCAGCAGCGAACAGAAACCTCAGTATGGTTTAATGACGTTGCCATATCAGCGTTTCACAGCTGTCTTGTTGATCTATGGCAGTCTCTTTCTGAGCGACGTCTATTAATGTCAGAATGTGTTTTGGTGTGCGTCGCGTGAATGCCGGAGCTTGAATTACAGCAAAGAACGAACATTAAATTTCTTGATATATTGGGATTTTGGACTTTATTCATCGTCCTGGTTTTTAAGATAACTAATAAAAACACGACGTTTCGGAAGCTGGATCTGTTTCCGTCCCCAGGTGAAGGAAAACACCTATTCTGTTGGGTCCGTTAGAAAGAGCTAGCCTCAATCACTGGACTCAATCGTACAGTTTCCGAAACGTCGTGTTTTATTAGTTATCTTAAAAACCAGGACGATGGATAAAGTCCAAAATCCCAATATATCAGTGTGTTATACACCATCGTCAGAATCCTATAGTAACTAATTAAATTTCTTGTTAAACTTGGCAAGAGTGGAAGCGAAATCAGAGAGATGTTAGTGCAAGTTTACGGGGATAATGCTATGAAGGAAACTGTAGTTTATAAGTTGCTGGCACGTTTTTTGTAATGGAAGAGAAAGTGTCACTGACGAAGAGAGATCAGGACGGCCAGCAACGAGCACAAGTGAAGAAAACAGTGGTCGTCAAATTGTGCGTGAAAGGCGTCGACTGACAGGAGCATAGAACAGCAAGCGAATATCTACCAAGAAACATGAAAATTTTAACTGAAGACCTTGCTATGAGGAAGGTGTGTGCAAAAATGGTTCCAAAGAAGCTCACCGAGGAACTGTCTGTGAGGGAGTTCTTAGTTAGTAAACAAATAACTGTGCTGTAACACCCTCCCTATTCACCGGCTCTATCCCCCACTGACGTTTTTCTCTGCCCGAAGATAAAGGAAATGTTGAAAGGAAGGTATTTTGATCACATTTATGGCATCAGGAGTAATAAGACGACAGCTCTGAAGGCCATTCCTCAAAATCACTTCCAAAATTGTTTTGAAGGGTGGACTAGGAGCTGGCATTAGTGCGTAGCTTCCCAAGGGGAGCACTTTGAAGGCGAAAACAGTGATATTCAGGAATGAGGCATGTAGCACGTCTACCGTGATGAGTACGCGAACTTTATTGTCAGACCACGTATAGTGTATAGTTACCGTTTCAAGTTTGACGCTGTATCGTCCCGCGCACTCATAAGAATGTAGCACATGGCCGCAGTTTCATTGCCTAGTAAAATAATTATAGCGAGGAATCCATTAATACTTCCATTTCGTATTCAAAAAGTCCAGATTTCGGCCCCTGAAACCATGGAAAACCCTTTCCAGCTAAGTTCTAGATGGACACTTAACAGTTCTGAAGACTTAAACTCAAATTCTCTGATTATTCTGATTACGGTTTTCAATTTGAAAATCCTGTTTCGCAAGTTTTAAATTGCGGACATTCACAATATTCCGTTCGTAATTACAACATTAGGATAGAAACATATGAAGTGAATTTCGTGTTGTTGTCTTTTTGAGCCGGGAGAGCGAAGTCGGTAATGCGATTGGCTGGACGGCCGACAGGTCGGAGTTCGAGTTCCGGTAGGATCAAGAATTTTCTTTTCTCTCCGTCGTCGAGACGGGCTCTGGGGTCCACCCAACCTCATATCTAAGGGGTACCAGAGGCTCTTTCGCTGGGGTAAAGCGGTCTGAGCGTGAAGCTGACCACTCACCTGCAGCTAGTGCCGCAGTCAAGAAAATGTGGATCTATACATCCACTCCCCCATACGCCTTCATGGCATAGTGCTGAATTTGTTAAGCATAGGGAAAACTTTACCTTTATGTTACCATTTTTTTGCGGGTTGTTTAACGACGCTGTATCTCAGACTATATGAAATTGTATGATAGGATGACTGCTTGAATTAGAATGGATTTTGAATAAAGCCATCGTCACCTAATTGAGATAATAACCCAGCATGTCTGGAGGGACGGAATAAAACCATGAAAAATATGTCAGGACAGCAAATATCGCTGCCGAGATTCGAACCAAGCATTCTCTGACACGAGTCCGATCATTACAGCTACTTTCACTAGTTCAGTGATGTGTGTTAATTTGTATGTTTCAGCTCAACAAGTTCCATCACACTTCAAGCAAGAGAGGGAGTCGTTCTTTCATACGTACCACAGATTACGGGCTGATCTGCAGAACTGAAACACATTAATTTATCATATCGCAATAAAAATCTCCTATTTATTTCTCAACGTAGAGGTCTTTTATTTGTTACGTGTGGATTCTGCAGCCTGAATTTCAGATTTCAGTCCATCTGTACAATCTTCGCAGAAATTACGCGAAGTGAAAGCCTGTCTGTCCATCCACACGATTTCCATCTCTGAAATTGCTATAAAGATTTCAGTTAAGTTGCCATTTTGGGTGTAAGTTAGTTGTTGTCTTTCGAATTTAACCTTGACCTGCCTCGGCCTGACATAACCTCTACTGGATTTGAAATTCTCATGGCGGTAACTACACAGAGTACAGTCTTCTGGGTTGTGACGCTGTATACTTCGGAGAGCATACCGTCCTCATCTTCAGGGTCGAAGAGTAAGGCAAGCAAGAAATTAACAGAAGCAGGCAGCAAGCACAGCCACACAAACAAGAGTTCACCTTGTCGCTTACTTCTACTAGTTTCTTGCTTCCACCTGATTCATTCGTCCGAAACAATGCACTTTCTCAGTACAGGGCATTAGAATCCAGGAGCTCGTATTTTAATATACCATACTGCAGCGTGTAAAGCCATTTATTAGGCAACGGCCCGGTAAACACTTCCCCGAAGCAACGGATATGCATGCAATAATAGAGGTACTGTTGTAAACGGTGTTTTCTACTTGGTCTGTGCAGAGGAGTTATCAGTGAGACAAGTTTAGAGTTAAGGCGGTATACCTTCGAAAGTCAAGATGCATATTAAAAATATGCTAATTATATATCTTATGATATCAGAGAACCGTCACACAGGTCTCCTTTGCTGGACAACGTCTTGTTATGTTTCCGCTACAACGAATACACACACAAGGATAGAGACATTTTTGGGTGAGAGCGTTCTATTCGGTCCGCCTGGCGCTTTTATAAGTAGGAAGCGACCAAAAGGGAAGTCTCCCCCGTGTAGAGGCAGGGTCGAATACCTCCACCGTGGCCCTGCGAGTCGTACGAGGCGACGAAAATGGAAGTACGTACTTGGTACGTAGGCCAATAACTGTCCTACTGTACCAGCACCAGACGATAGATGATGAGTGTGGGCCAGTAGGTGGAATGAGAATTGGTAAGAGAACCCGAAGTACTAGGGTGAAAACCTTCCCCAGTGTCACTCTGTCCACCACAAATCCCACATGATCCGACATGGGAGGTAACTCGGACCGCCGCGGTGGGAAGCCAGTGACTAACCGCCTGAGCTATGCCACGGCCTTACTAACCGAAGCAAGGACCGTGTGATGTGTAAACGTTAATCACGGCTTTAGTTTCGGTAGAGCTGCTACTGGCGGTTGTAGCCAGTAGCGGCCGTTAGTGACAGTCGATGGCTTTTGATAGTTTCATTGAGTACATATATTAAAATTATACAATATTGTTTGTAAACAAAAAATACATAAAGCAATAACGATGAACAAATTAAATGAGCTGTACTTACCATATCTTCCAAATGTTTTCCCCATAACCTGTCATAAACCTTTATTTATTTGGACATTCTTAAAATCTCTACTTTCATGATCATAACACAATGTCAACTGCTGTTGCCATGTTCTAAAGTATTTCCGCAAATCGGTGAGACATGCCAATACTGCGAAATACTAAGGGGCTTGCATTAAGTAGCACGCCTTGGAAGTCGCGGTCTGATAGCGCTCTGTAACAGCTGACAATCAGCAGCTGGGATTAGTGAAAGAGAATGTCCATCCAAGTTATGACGGACATTTATTACAAAATATATATTCTCTTCAAGTGTGTGGTCAGTTAAATTTCACAACATTTTGACAACTCCATTAATGTATTCTCATTAGTAGTACTTGAAGACATTAGGCTAACCCTTGAAAGACTGAAAAAGACAGAGAGAGGGAAATGCTAAATAATATATAAAAATTCAGTTCGTACCTCATAGGAAACACATTACGTCTCCGCTACAAAACCCAGCCGCTGTGTATTGTGATAACCGTATGGAACACATAATACACTCTGTGGGTAGCACGAAGAGTTTTAGTGTGTTAAAGTAAGTGGTCCTTATAGAATCACTTTGTTTCTTTGTTTATTATTTAACGAAGCTGTTAGTATGGAGACTATACATTGAGAAACGAATACGCTTAAAAGCTGTCCATAGCGTTATTCCTTGTTAAAATGACAAATCGAAAATATTGTATAGCTTAAGTCCCGAGACGTCAAAAAATCACGCAATGCAGATCTTGTGGGCAAATTTCGTTTCAGCCTGTATATTGTTGATGATAGGTGGGTTAATGAATGTGGAGCAGTTGATGAAGTGAGAATTGGCAGGGGAAACCGAAGTACTGGGAGAAAACCAACCTCACTGGCACTCTGTACTCCATAAATCGAAGAGGCTTTTATTAACTGAAATCTTAAACGATAAAGTAGACTAAACAAACTGAAGCTTGAGTATTGCACCGCAATAGGTCAGTCAGCACTGATTTTCGGGAAACAGTTTGAAGCCGGGGAAATCAACTGCAGTTTAAGAGCGACTTAAAGCACGTTCTCTCTCACACTCGCAGGTAAGTTAAAGCTACGGAAGTTTTCGCCCTGAAGTGGAGACAGAACTCTCCGGTAGTCAGGAGACAAAATATTTTATAGTTTGCATAATTTCACCGGACATCCTTGGGCGATATTTTAAAACAGTTTTAACGGCCGATTTATAAAGTCATTATTTGCGGCTTCACAGTCATGTTCCTTAGTTTGACCAAAACTGGCGGGAGGTTGTCTGTTTCCGGGGAGTCATTTCCAAGAAGGAACAGGCTGCCCTTGACCCCCAACTGTTTACTGAACCTTGGCATGAGGAACAAGCTCAGAGTTCGCGTGATAGCAGGTCCGGGTTTACAGTCACGGGGATCTCAGGGCGATTAGAATGTGGAGGCCCCTAATAGTAAAAACAATATCATAACATAAGGAAATGTTATGTTAACATTTTGAAATGTGAAAGGTGGATAAACACATAAAATAAAGAAAACCAGACCAGGAAACATAGAAATAAACAGTATGGAACATCATAACAAATAGTTCCAAACAATGCGAGTGCTGCATAAAGAAATCAAACAGACTAGACCACGATCAGATCAACACTCACAGATAACTGCATATTGTAGCGCCATAAATGCAATTATGGACACCAACATGAATAGTATTTATGTATGAGATATTTAAACACAACATAACGAACAACACTTTAATTCATTATCTGAGCGTATTTTATAACTTAAAAACTTTTATTATATTTATATTGTTTTATTTTCTTATAGACACTTTTATCTGCATCTCTTGGCACCCATTTAATATAAAACTTCTACTCAAATTTTAGTATATTTACAAGAATAGCATTAATTCTAATGAAATATTAACCACATGTAAAATCAGATACATTAATAAGAGTTGTTATACACTTGGTCGTCGACTTACGACCGACTTCCATTCTGACTGACAGGTTGCAAGTCGATCTGGTCGTATGTCAGTCATATATTTATTAACAGTATTTTTAACATCTTTATAATTTATTTTTAAAACCTTTTACATTTTAATGATCTTTTATTTTTCATTTTTTTTTTTTGTGGTCATAAGTGCGGCTGGTCATAAGTTGCATAGGTCGTAAGTCGACGACCAAGTGTATTGTAATATATTAATTCATACAAAACCCATTTCAATAATTTGTGAACAGTTGTTAGTGCATACTGCCTGATGATGGCTCTATAAGCCAAAACATGTAGCACACTGCCGTACCATTAAGATCAATAAACTCGTTATACAAGGCAAACGTGAATGAGAATTTAATAGTTGTTGTGTTGAGATTGAAAAACAAAATTAAATTAACTGTTGACAAGCATGAAAATTATCGTGACAGCTGATCCTTGGACATCATTCTAATCAGGTATTTCCTAAATAGCAAAATTCAGGATAATGGTGAAGATTTAAGTGATATTTATAGTTCTATGTTATGTGTGTTGGTAATTATTACATGACTCAGGTTTCTTTAGTTTGAACTAACATGAAACTTTGATCTTTATGGCAGTGCATGCCCATGTTTGGGAACATGCATGTGCATCTACGTAGTTATTTCTTGGCAGGTAGCAGCAGTTTCTTCACAATGTTGTCAGTTTCAAAGAATGTCATTATCAAGTCCTATCATAACAATTGTCCAGCCTAGGCCACTTGCTCACCAAGGCACCTTTTTGGAATATAGAGATGAGTGGGCTGACAGCCAATATAAGAAAGCTATTTAATGTATCTAAAAGGACAGGTCACTGGGCCACCTATAAGGAACCCCTCACCTGTTGCAACAAAGAAAGTAAGAAAGCCAAATAGTCTTCATGGAGGAGGTACTGCCAGGAGATCACTGCTGTACCAGGGAGTGCCAAACTCATGAAGATCATGGCAAAACAAGCAACCAATGGGGTCAGCACTATTAAGCTACCTGAAGGTTAGTCCACCTAAACCAGAAGGGAGATTCTGAAAGGGTTATTGAGAGTTTACTTTCCAGACTCAACGCTGATTGAAGATTCAAATTATGGGCAGGGACAGCAGAACCTGGACATAAGGAAACACACAATAAACAGGGAAGACTGGAACCTGGCCAGAAATGCAATCAATCAATGCAAAATTAGATAGGGACTAGGTACATTGAAACCATTTAAATCAGAAGAGACACTTTTGCAGCAAGGGGCAGAGCAATTAGTTCTGTACCTTTGCCATACATTTAGAGCCTGCCTGGCACTTGGAGGTAGGTAAGAGTGACGTTTATTTCCAAAGCCTGGGAAATCTGTCTATACTGAGCCTGAGTCATACGTCCTATCAGACTGTTGCCTTTTCATGTGAAGACGAGGGAGAAATTTGTGGAGATGTATGTGGGACAGTGTACTAAAGGAACATCCTCTGCACCGAGACCAACATGCATACCAAGTTCATAAGGCAACTGAAACTGCACTTCACAATGTAGTAAGACACATAGAAAATTCTATTAAATACAAGGAAATCACAGTAGGAGCATTCCTTGACATAGAGGGAGCATCCAACAGAACTCATTTGACATACTAATGCAGGCTTCTGAAGGGCATGGTACTGAGCCCACTGTTTGCATGTGGATCAGTTGTGTGCTGGAAAGTAGAACTTACATTGTCAGGAGAAACCACGAGGGTGTCCACAGCTAGGGGATGCCTGCAGGGAGATGTACTCTTGCCTCTGCCTGGTCATGGATAAGCTTCTTTGTGAGCTACATGACAATGATTATTACAAAGTAAGATAAGTATATGATACTGCAATCCTAATTATCAGAAAATTCTCTCAAACTGTATCAGAGGTCTTACAAACAGCTCTATGTATAGTCTAACCCTGGTGCGACAGGAAAAAATTGTCCTTCAACCCCAATAAGACGGTGATAATACCTTTTACTAGGAAGAGAATATTAGGTGACTTATGGAACCAACCCGCTTCAATAATACAATCCAGCTATCTAATGAGGTCAAGTACCTTGGATTAACACCAGACAAGGGATTGATATGGAAAAAAACATCTGGATAAAGTAACCAATAAGGCCTACAGGACCTTTTGAATGTGCAGAGGCATGTTTGAGAAACCTGAGGACTGAAACTGAAGGTGATGTACTGGATTTACACCGTGGATGTAAGACCCATTGCCACCTATGCTGCCACTGTGCAGTAGGAGTTGCCAAGAAAGCTGTCCAGGTCTATGCAGACCAAAAAGACACTGGGAGTCCTTAATAGGAGTCAAACAGGAAATGGTACTAATACAAGGACCCCCACTCAGAAGAAGCAAGGTATCCTTAAACCTAAACAGGAGCAGTTATGGTGGGTGACAGGACTACTTACAGCACATTTGTCACCTAAAAGGACACCTTTTCAAAATGGGATTGAAAGACAGTCCAGTTTGCAAAATGTGCCCAGAAAAACATGTAACAGCCACGCATATCCTATGAGAGTATGAGGCCATAGCCAATTACGATTTTATCATCTGGGCCACTATTCTAAGGAACCAGATAACTATCCTAACGCCCCTACAAGCGGAACTCTGTGCTTCATTCAGAGTTTGGGACTGCTGAAGGGTTAAAATAGAGGATAATGCACAACAGATCACTAAAATTGAGGTGCAAGGGCCAGCAGTTAGGCCCACTCCTTGTGTATGACTGTGCATGTGTGTGTGTGTGTGTGTAAGTGGAGATGTTTGCATCGTTAAGTGATGCATTAATTGAAGTAATAAAGGCAGTTATGAGGAAAACAGCTTGGCAAAATTCCAGTGCATCTATGTGTGTGTACAGCTTAGCCCACATATTAAAAGCATGATAAGGGGAAGACTTGCTCATCCCTGGACCATACAGCAAGTGGTGGCATCAGTGACGTCAATAGCACCGCCAGCATGGCAAGTGGAGGCAGAAGTGCTACGTTTTTTGTCAGCCATGGTTTGGGGTATAGGAAAGGTATAAGTAACTTTCATCATGGATATACAGCTGGCAATGTTAGAACAACAAAATTTGAGTTCAGGAAGGACAGAGGATATGTCACTAGCAGTGAACTTTAAAGAATGTTCAGGACATATAAATAAACCATGTAAGATGTAAGATTTGAGGTTTTCACGGTGGTGACTATGAAGAAAGCAGTTTTCTGGGATTTGGCACCACATATACACAGTGCCAAATCCCAGAAGACTGCTTTCTTCATAAATAAACCAGTTTGAATCTTTCAGTCAGACAGAACTGCATGCCAAGATTAGTCAATGGACAGCAGCAGATAAGACATATTGTAAAAGAAAAGCTGCAAGGGAAGGCCTTAACATATATGACATGGTCACCTATGACAGGTTAAAAGAAGCTTTGACAAGACGTTTCATGGAAAGTTACCTCCCCAGTTAGCAATGCAAGAGATGTCTTGAAACTACAGCAAAGTAGCCTCATTCATGACGTAAATAATCAGGTAACGACTACCAATGACCTTAATCATGACATTAAAAAAAAAAAGTAAAGGTATCCCTGTAACAGACCATGGAGGCCAACAGGGTTGTGAGATGTTGAGGCTTCCAAATTTTCTAGACAGTCAGCTCACAGATGGCGGTAAGGTTGCCAGCCTTACACGCTGGCTGTCCTTTGCCTCCAGGAATATTCCTGGTACTCATTTCTGTTAGAGGCTGAGTCGACCCCAGGGCCATAGTGTGGCTTGAAGGATTAGGTAAACTGAAAAAATCCACCTCATCGGGATTTTATCCCGCGACCTTCTGGCTTGTAACATAGTGCCTCAACCAACTATGAAACCGCGTATCCCCAGTCATGACATTATGAAAAATATAAATATGACAAGATGGTAGATCTCATGGAACAGCTGGTCAGACTCTATGAACCAACAGGAGAAAATTGCACAGTGGGCAAATGGGACATGAGATGTAATTAACGAGACAGCCACCAGAGCTAGCTATATATGGAAAATTAAGATGATCTTGTCAAAATTATACACTGAAGTCACTGAATTCCAAGACCATGCAGCTGTATGCTACGGCCACCAAAATATGATTCAAATTCCATTAACCGAGTCATACCCATTCCTAATTATCCATCCAAAATAAATCAATATATACAGTTTGGCACAAATATGGGAATTATTTGCAGTGTCATCAGATGGAGGAAACTACATGAAATTGGAACCAGACTATTACATTCACTGCTGGTTTGGCTATGTTAACTTCACTGAAATTTCAAGCCCAATCTTATGATCACAGCTTATAACCCCACATCAGGGGTTTCTTTGGCAAGAGTGAGTCTATGAGAAACTTAAGTGAAAGGAATATTTAGGTCTAAATTACAAACCTATTTTTGCTCAGGCTAGACCACATCCCACTCTATGGCTTTATTCGGTTCCACATGCATATTGCTGGAATGTAGACGATGAGATCCCAACACAGTGTAAGGACCAAAGAATAAAATTTTATGGCACTGGTGTACAAACCCATCCAAAGAAATGTGAACTCGCAAGGGGGAACAACATTTAAATCTATGTATCAACAGCTGTCAGTCAAATCATGATGCCTAAAATTGATGGAGTCCTGTCAAACACTGAACTGAGGGAGATTCAGAGAGCTAGGAGTGCTTGATGGTTTGTATGTCAATATTTAACAGAATATGTAAGTGCTAACCAGAGAACACCTTTCCACGTTTCTGTAATACAAATTTCTATGAATTTATTGACACTACATAGTCTCGACACTGACAGCATCACTAAACAAACTTGAGAAAACCTATGACAATGTAACATTGTTCATTATAAAAAGAAATAAACAGTTTTTCATAAGAAATAAATTGTGCTCAGTTCATAAATCAGGTGATTAAGCACATCATTGACCTCTGGGACATAACACTGTGTAGTCTTGTAGATGCTTACCAACATTTTAGAGGCAAGAGCTGCCTCCATCTTCAGGACAAAAGAACATGTGATCACAGCTATGAATTTGACACAAACAATGGGCACTGTTAAGTTTTGTTCTCATGAATGTAATCAAGTCAGCACTGGGGCAAGGTATGTGCAACAGAAAACCGTATCAGTGGTGTGAAAATGCATGGCTGAACATTTGCAAATTATAAATTTGGCACAAATGACAAACCTCAGTGCTGATCCATCAGCCACGTTTAAGCCTAGAGGGTAGGATTACAAACTGCTGCAAAGAGGAGCAACAGGAGGCTGATAAGGGCAGGACTGGTTCTACAGGATGGCAGCTGGTACATCGTGCTCCTGTAGAAGAAACATGAAAGTATTGTCACATGTTAGTGACAAGACACGGGGTTTTCGATTTGTAACTGATTTACTGAACGCTTACAACTTGTAACTGCAAATGATTATGAAAATCTCAGTGTTTTTTTCCCCAGTCTCCATGACATATTATGCATCATATGAAAGCCACAAAATATATGTTTATGCAAATGCAGAAATGAGAGAAGAGTACTCACTACAGCAGGAATTCTTGAAGTACTCTCATTAAAACTGAACACTGCTGTGCTGAATATAATCAATAGATAAAAACTTACTAAAATGAACATCTCATTGTATGAGTAAGTCATACTTACTCCAGAAGGTTATTATTGTGTTCCACCATAGCACAAATGGCTTGTTACTTCATGAATTCCATTCACAAAGAAAAAAAGGATATTACAATAAAATCACTAGAATATTTTCTTATGTCTTCAAAGCATGAACTTTATTCAGAGACAAAACAATGGTAAAAATGTAAGAAACAGAGAAGTAATTTCCAGTCTTCATCAAAGGGCAAATACATAAAATGTATTGGGTTTATGTGGTCCCTGCAACATAAGTGTTCTTTATTTTCTCATCTAATTCACTTATAATTACTATCAACTGATAGTATGTATTATGAATAAATATCTACTAATACAACATTTCAATCTCATTTTTTAAATTTCAATGTAAAATATAATGTAAAAATGAGAAATATAAACTCTTTATTGGAGACTACAATCTATACCTTTCACACTTGTAATTCCTTTTTACATTAAAAGCACTCTACATGCCATAATCTAGTCAGAGAGCAAATCAGGGCTCCAGAAATATACTGGTAAGTTAACTGAGGTTACTCACATGCAAACAAATATGTGTATAAGGCATACTTCTCAGACTGTGACTGAAGAGCACTTGCTTCTCTGTTGCAACACCATAGAGTTCAGAGATTGGCTAATTTTTGGGATAATATAATGCCTCCTTTTTTGGGGAAGAAGAATAAGACAAGCAAGAAACCAACAGAAGCTGAGCTTACCACCTGCTTCTGTTAGTTTCTAGTTTCACTTACTCTTCTTCCTTGAAAATGGAGGTATTATGTTCCCCCAAAAGTTCTGTCTTTCTCCACACTGCATGGCAATAAGATCCAGAAAACTATGCTCTTCATAGTCATTGCTGTGAGAACCTCAAATCCAACATGTGAGTGACTGGATATGAGGAGTAGTTAGGAGACTCACACCACATTTCTGGAGCCCTGGAAACATATACTATGGGGATGGAAAAATTTTCCTCGCTATAGTCCTCCCATAATAAAAAGAGAGCAAAATGAGATTACATACAAAAATGAACGTTCTTACCCACAAGTTCTCAACTATGTGCAGTCTGTTATAAAAAGAGCATTCAACACACTTTTCCATACAAAATCTAAACTGTAAAATGCAGTTTGCAGAACCTCATGTGCAGAAAAGGTACTGAATATGCAACAATGAATTCTTTACAGAATAATTGCTGGTTCAGTTAAAGACAGACATATGAATCTGGGAAAGGGAAAGTACAAGATTAATGCTAGTACACACTGTCAACAGATTTTACTAGTGCTCAGAAAACTGGTGTGCTCTGCAAAGCATGGAATGCAACACATTTTCTATAAGTATACTTTATTCTTCCATATCACAGACTGGTAGCACAGAACACAATGAAATGCAAAGTGTTCTCAATACCAAATGGTCATTAAGTTCATAATAATGCTGTTTTATACTGGTTGCGGGCCAGGCATTAATCATCCTTCAAAACTTTCAGAACTTTCAGCACCAACATCTAATATAAACCATCTCACAAAACATAAATATACAAAAACTTGTAGCCACTCTTTGTTCTTCAGTACAGGTACTGTTGGCAGGAATATTCAGTCACATAAGAACTTTAAAAACGTTATCACCTAAGCTATATAGTATAATTACTGGACAGTTCTTTTCACATCTCAGATCATGGATTTCATCACAGATTCTTATCAAGTATTTCCTATGGCGTGGGTGCCTAAAAAAAAAGCAAACATTATGGCAGTGACAACAGCTCTGGCTGCATGAAAAATTTGGAATCAGAATGGAAGACTTTTAGTCTGAGAAGAAAATGTGGATAACATGTGAAACACTTCTACAGTCTAAATGGGAAACTCAGAACCATATCAGCACTGATACACTATTTACATAGAATTAGTGACATTAAAGAGCTGTCTTTTCTGTTATTAAATATCTGGAATTTGTTGAAGATGAACATAAAGAATTCTGTCAGTCTCTAGCTTTTCAGTACTAAACCCACATACATCAATTCACATTGAAAACTTACCTTTCATTGGATGTGAGATTCTTGGATCGGTGACTATGAAAAGTATTCTATTTTCAGAAGTGACCCTAAAGGTGGAAGTAGTACATTCCTCTGAAACTTCTGTGAACTTCTACCAGACTATATGGCATCAATCCCAGTATACAGTACTCTTCAACTTACCTTTCAGTTACTAGTGCAATGCTCTTCTGAAATTCTTGTTGGTCCAAATCCAACTCAAGATGCATAGCCAATGTCTTTACTGCTGCAGACTCCACATTCAGGGCCAACACTTCCACACGAACTTTAGCAGATAGACACTGAAGTGTGCTGGACATGTGTGACAACATCTGCATCAAACAGGGCAGACTGACTTAGTCACAGCTGTAGGCATGTGTGAACATTTACAATTTCAAACTGTTCTCCACTTTTTGAGTTTAAAGCCAGGACAGTACTATTCACCATCAATGTCTGCATACAATAAAACAATAAACAGTGAAAAAAATAATAATTAAATAAGATGCTTCCATCACAAATTAAATGAAATAATTAATAAGAATTCTATATTCAGGGATATAATGTTGCACAGTATGTTGAAAATTCAACTGAAGTTTTGCAGGAACATGTCAAGTCCATATTCAGGGTCAATGAATTGCCACACAAGAAACCAGCTCTGCTTGCTACCTGCTTCATGTTGATTCCTTACTAGACTTATTCTTCAGCTCCGATGAAGTAGACATGTTCCTCCAAAATAACAGCTGACTTGCAACAGACTACAAGGCATTGTATCCTAGAAGACAGAACTCTTCATAAATAGAGCTGTGAGAATCTCAAATCCTATGTGAAATAACTGTTAAATGTAATCAAACTGAAATCACTGTGCATTATGAATGTTCTTTACAAACCTTGGCAGAAATTCTTTACTTGAAGAATAGCTAACTAAAGTAAATCCTAACGAAATGAAGGAACATTTCTATACCAAATGTTCAATATTATGACTACTGAATGCTGAGGCTGCTGTCAATATGGACTTGTCACTGCCAAAATTGAAAATGCCAATATTAAAAAAATCAACATACAGTGGAAACCCCATTTACTGTTCCCAGAATTAAGGTTCTCCTTCATTTAGTACTCTGTTTCAATGATCCCAAGTCAGTAAATTAAATTACCACCATTTAAGATTAAGTTTACTGTTCAAATCCAGTGATCCACAGAGACCTCAAACAGGGATTTCTATGTATATGGAAATGAGCTATCTGCTGGGGCCACCTATCAACTACACTCACATGAAGAGACGGGGAACATTTCCTTTCTATATTTGTTCATATAATACACTTAATCACATAATATTTCTTGCTCATGAACAGTGTATCATACTAAGAAGGCACTAACTAGTGTGACAGACAGGGAGACAACACACTGTAGTACCAACAGATAAGAAGCTAATAATGTGACAATTCAGAAATATTAGGAAAGATAATAATTCTACTTTCATACACTCTGTATTTCTGTGCTAATTTTAAATTTCTGTTTCAATGCTCAACAAACAGTGAAAGAAATAAAGAAAGAATTAATTCCTTACTTTTGTTTTTGCTGATAACTGCCATATTTCAAAACTAACACTTTGACCTCATTTTCTAATTACAATATTTAGATCATAGTCAGAACTTTAGAATGGTATGAAGAATTTGTATGGAACAACATATGTGGAAACTCTGTTTACAAAACTCTCTTCAACCACTAAAACACTGTCCTGGTAGGACAGAAAATAAAGCTGTTAAGTCTTCAGGTTAATCTACATTCCACCCTTTCTTAACAAGACAGACTAGATATTAACCTTTAGGCTGCTCAGCGCATGTTTCAACACAGCATCCTTGTTGCACCCACATTCTTACAGGTGTGATCTTTATAAACATGTACCATCCAAACTAATTTTCTGGATGCATTCAAATCTGCCAAGCACATACTTCCATCTATCACAAACATAATGAACTACAAGGCAGATATCTTGATGCATTTGTATGCCACCTGTAAACATATTTAAAAACTAGTGGATTTACCAGCAAAATCATCTTCATCATGTAAGATTTGGTAAGCGTGCATTATTCAAATTTCTACTTGATTTACCCTTATTTCCACAAAAATGCATTATAAAATTAATTCAGCACAGGTGGTTATGATAGATTTTATTTACTTAACAGTAAAAAGGTTAATGCACATCCACTGCTGAATGAGTAACAAATACATTACATTTATGGTTCTCATAATAGTGACTATGAAGAGGGCAGTCTTCTGTGTAGTAATGCCATGTGGTTCAGAGGCTCTGTATGAACATGTGGCCTCCATCATCAGGGTCGAAGAGCAGGCCAAGCAAGGATCCAGCAGAAGCAGCACATTTGGCCTGCCACCTGCTTGTGCTGTTTCCTTGCTTGACTTATTCTTTGCTTCCAAAAATAGAGGTGAAGAATGTCAGGCTCTCTCCAAACTGCACGAGTGTTACAACCCAGAAGACTGTACTCTCCACACAAGAAATAATTTCAAAAGTGCTAACATTCATGGATTTTATTTTTTATTTTCTAGGTTATGTTAAAAACATAGTGTTAACATGAGTTCATTTCCTGGCTGAGTTGAAAACAAACCTAAGGTATATGACTGAAAACCTGATGTAATTAATTTTTTTAATTCACATAATGGGGGGTGGAGCCCAGTTGGGTCCACTCAACACGGCGGCCACTGATTGGCCTATTGTACCTGCCATGGGTGATTCCGTATTCCGTATTGAGGGGGTGGGTTTCCCCATGCACTTAGACTGGTTACTGGTCCATTGTGCGTCCCCCTTTAATTTCTACTGTCTCCATACCCTACCGGTACTGGTGCTTACTATGAGCCCCTTTCTGCCAGCGAGGTTCCAACCTCTTACTGGCAGTGGTATCTAATAGTTAGTCCCTTTCTGTCAGCGAGGTCGTCCCTCCTCTGGCAGGGGTTCCTAGTCCCTTTCTGCCAGCAAGGTTTCTACCCTCTACTTGGCAGTGGTATCTAATACTTCCCCCATCTACCGGAGGAATTGGTAACTAGTTGGGCAGGAAACTTGACCTAATTTTGCTCAGAGGTCTCCTAGAGACATGAGGTTCTTTTACATGCCGTAAATCTACGACACAGGACCCACGGCTTAAAGTCCCTCCCGGAGGACTTGTTCCCTGAATTTTTCCGCCCTTAAAAATTCCACGACCTCCGCCGGGTTTTTGAACCCGCGTACCTTGAGTCATGAGGTGGGAACGTTACCCCTAGACTACGGAGGCCGCTTGCCACGGGTGATAATGATGATGGAGAATTTGGTGGAATGAAAATTGGCAGGGGAAACCAAAGTACTCGGAGAAAATCTACCCCAGCGCCACTTTGTCCACCACAAATTCCACTTGACCAGACCCGGGTTAGAACCCAGGCTGCCACAGTGGGAAACCAGCAACTAACCACTTGAGCTATGGCGCAGCCTAACACCTGATGTAAGGTGCCCATGTAGGTGCATGTTAGAGCACAATTATGCATTACAGCAAGCAACTAACTATAAAATACAATGATTCCCTTTTTGCCCACATGCTTGATTATGCAGTGCAGTTTATATTCCTTAAAGACCCATGAAAATAACTTTCCATTCTAAGCAATACTGATATCATTCAAGTAATTTAATGCTCTTAAATTCTGAACAACATAATTACATTTCACTTTCGTTTCTGAAAGGAAAATCCAATTTTATTTTCGATCCTTCCATCCAGTTTTAACCAATTTCAAGAAAGCAGAGTCCCACTATCATAGAGAACTTCACTTGAACTGTCTTTAACTTCCTCTGAGAAGGAGAGGGCAAATTATGTTGATATCTCTGGTATTATACCTTAAAAATATTTTGAATCTGTACATTACCTGAACTTCAAATCTCCTTCGAGTACTGGCTGGGTATTTTTCCACAGTTAGAAAGTTTATATTCACTAAGGAATTTCCTCCTGCAGGATCACTGCATGGCACCTTACACTCTGATCTTGTCAGCATACTGTTTGCCTCCGCAGTCTCACCACTGCTCTTCAGCAACCGTTGCAAGAACTCTACCAGGTCTGAGGCATTCACCTTCCTCTCTTGAAACCTGTAATATATTCAACAGCATTTACACAATTGGGTACACATACGACGCACAATGTATACACAATTGAACATTTCAATTGAGTATGATGCACAATGTATACACACAAGTGAACACATGAATGGGGTATGATGCACAGTATATACACAACTGAACACATGAGCAAAGTATCATGCACAACTAAAATTCTCTCCTGTTATCTAACCTTATCTGCACTCTGGTGTCTGGAAGCTGAGTCATGGCAGCCAATCTTTATATCTGATGTCAAAGAAATGCAAGTACCAAACTGTATAGCAAGTTGCTCTAAATTTAAGCTTGAAGTTCCTACATTCATTTCTAGTAAAGTCTTCATGACTGCAAATACTTAATTATTGCAAATAAGTTGAGTTAAAATGCATAATTTAAGCAATGTCATGGCAAAGAAGAATTTTAGTTAATTTAATGTGGAAGTTTGATCACTACAAACACAGGTTACCTGTTACTTATTGTAAAAAGAGGGTTCTTTCTAATTTTTCAGAGGACTTTCAAGTAGTCCTTTCTTAGCTATGTACAAAAGTCCACTAAAAAGAAAAACCACCATACTTTCTGGCCTTGCTCAACAGGCTTAAGAAATAGACCTACTACAATGGTATTCAGCTGTGTTATTGATATTATAATGAAGGGTGATGCAGCCCCTTGTGAATGTGATAATGAACTCTGGGTTCCATAAAAAGCATTAAATTAAATAAAAAGAGCAACTACTGGCTTCTCAAAAAAGAATGCACAAAAAATTGGCTAATTACTTACAGTGGAACCACAATTTAATGTTGCTAGATTTAAGGTTTTCTTCATTTAACATTTGATTTCAGTGAACCCATATCAATAGTCTCTGTATTAAACTGTCTCCATTTAGACTTTCCTTGATTTAAAGTAGAACTCCACTGCTCCCCAAGGAAACCTTAAATGGGAATTTTACTTGGTTTATTTTGCCAGTCAGTCAGATACCGAGTCAAAAGAGAAGTGACTTTGCAACAAAAATCATAATGAAAAATGTTCACAGATTGTTTCCAAGCCGCTTTGCTGCTAGGTTCTATGTAGCAATCTCATATTGCCTTTTTCATCTGTCAAGATTCATCTCATGTCACATCACAATGAGCCCACAATTTTGTTGCATGCCTACGTGTGAGTCAGTAAACAGGTCACAAACGGAAGAAAAACAGCTGTAATGGACTTAATAGGTTTCCTATGTGTATCACTAGGTAGCAGCACATTCCAGCTTTGTAATAGTCTAAGCATCAGAAGCGCATACACATGTTCAGAGGCTGGTTTCAGTAGTCAAAATGGTGACCATGCTTCAGGAGTATACTTCAGGAGTATATTCTGTTGTGTTTTCTGTGGGCAAAAGGACTCACATAAAGCGATTCAAGTGTGTGGCAAACATTTCACTGATAATGAAGAGACTGAAACAAAGGTACGGAAGTGGCTGAGACAACAGTCAAGTGACTTCTATGCTGCAGGATTCAACGCACTGATAAAGCGATGGGACAAGTGTATCAATGTTCGTGGAGGATATGTGAAGAAATAAACGTATTTGCCAGGTTTGAATATCACACGTTTTATGTTTTATATCCATCTGTGGCCTATTTACTGACTCTCCCTCATATATAATAGTGTAATTTGATATTAATTATTCATTTCTATGAATTATCAAGCGAAATACAACTAAAATGCTGCATAAAAAGAGAAGCGTTATCAAAATAAAGGGTAAAATGTTCCAGTTCAAATATCTGGTGGAATTTCACTACTAACCTCTCCTTTTCCCAGCTTCGAACCCGAAGGGTTCCTGTTTCTGTGTCCTTCAGCATAACTATGTGAGGCACCATATTCTCTTGGCAGTAGTCCTGGATTTCTTCTAAACTCTGTGTATAAGATGAGAAAGAAAGTCCTGTAAGATCACTTCAGAAAGACACAGTTTCCAAAATAAGTTACTGATATGTACAAGGGTGGGAATACTCAGCTCTACTCTCTGCAGCACTGGATGCATGTTTTATTGACTGGAAGCTCCAATAGGTCAGAATCACTCGTGATATGCATAGCATAAAATGAGATTGATATGGTGAAATGCATGTGGTAGGAAAGGAAGCAGCTGTGGTCATTTCAAGTTAATATCCTGGCATTTGCTTCACTGCAAAGAACTATATAAAAACCTGTGTATGGATAGCTGGCTGTTGCATCTATCAGATAGAAGCCAGGTTTGTTAGTGCTTACAATAAGTAGTGAGCACTCTTTCCTGGTTGGTGGCAGCAGATAATAATAATGATACCCAATCAATCACAAAATTAGGACAACTATAAGGCATAAGGCCCTCCCCACTGTGATTTGTGACTCACATAATGCTAGTGGTCCTTGTACTGGCCATCACTGTATGCCGAGACTCACAGGGTTCAGAAGGAGATCATAATTGTGGGAAACAACCATAACACATAACATGGACAGTGAAAGAGTTAACTGATTTTGGACCACAAGGTACCTGATGACTGTCTATGAGAGAACTCTTTATGCCAGCTGCCCAGAGTTCTCGAATCACAGCTGCCTTTTCCTTCACCATGGATCGATGACCAACAGAACAGACCACAACGTCAACAGCTGGAGCATTACTCTCATCTTGTAACACAGACACTATCTTGTCAAGTGAGATGCTGATCCCAGCTGCAGCCTGACTTACCTCCTTAGAGGCTATACCAGTAATGTCCAGTGTTTTACTGCAGACAGAACAAAACAAATCAATCTACACTTATAACCCACTGTACCAGCAACCTTCACAAGTGACATAAATCCTACAATTCTCATGTTCAGTTCATTCACCCTTTGCCACACCATTTATATTCCTTGCATCCTAATATTTCCAGATACTATATTAAGCACAGCAAGGAATATTTAATTTCACTACATTCTGTCACATAAGTACAGGAAAAGGCAAAATCCTTGCAATGCTGAGTGTTCTTCTTGGGTTATCTGATGATGATTTATCTAGTGCAGTGTGTAGAATCAAATGACAGAGTGATTTTAATTAAAAATTAGTAATAATGTGGATTAAAATCATTATAAATTTAAGTCAGGGAGCTCATAACCAGACTGGGATTTGCACCTAGACTCTCCTGAATATAAAACAGGGTCAATAACCCATAACACCATTACATTGTGATCACCAGACTTGCGTTAAGTATACTGATTCTGAAGTACGCAATGTGGGCAAATGCCACAAATTTTTCATTAACGGCATTCATTGCACACAGCAAAAATAACTTACCAACACTGTTTACCCAGTGCATGTTAAGTTGTCCAAAGCATCATATTAAAATATCAGTAAGCAAAACAAAGGCCTAGAAGTAAAGAACCACTATGATGCAAATTTGAGATGCAAGGTAACACAGTAGAGCAGGTAGCAAAATTTAAATACTTAGGAACAGAGATAAAAAGCAATGGAGCACTTCATGTCAAAAGTACAACACCAAGCCCATAAAGCTGCCATAGTATCTGGATGGCTATTACTTACTTACTCATGGAGCTGAGTCCTTTTGGAGGAGCCGCCAATTCTGCAGCTACTCAAGAATTTCCCAGCATTTTATGGAACCTGAAGGTTCATCACCGTGTTCACAAGAACCCTCCACTGGTCCCTATCCTGAGCCAGATCTATCCAATCCATACCATCCCATCCTATCTCTCTAAGATCCATTCTAATATTGTCCACCCACCTATGCCTTCGTCTTCCTTGTAGTCTCTTTCCTTCTGGCTTTCCCACCAATATCCTATACGCATTCCTCGTCTCCTCCATTCGTTCTACATGACCTGCCCACCTCATCCTCCTTGCCTTGATCATTCTAATTATACTTGGAGAAGAGTACATGGTGGATTAAATATCTAAGATTGGAAACAAGAATTTAAAAATCAGCCTTAAAACGAATTCTTATATATACTTCCAAAATATGAATGGATACTCCTAAAACAAAACACTCATTAGAAACCACAGTGAAGGAAGACAGTCAGAAAAACAAGATTAGATCATCTTACCAACCAGGATATTAGACAACAACGTGGAATACAGCCAAAAACAACATGGATTTTAAAACAGCCAGAGGATGACAGAAGACAGAACTGTTAGAACTACATTACAGAATATACCAAAAAGATGAAGTCCAGGAAGATCCAAGAAGTGCTGGTCCATCTCCTTTATGAGAAGAGAAGAGAAGGGAAGGAAAGGGAGAGGAGGGGAGAGAACAGTTTAGTTCAGCATTCCACAGATCACAAACTTTGCCAGAGCAGCTACATAATTAGAAACTGACATGAAGATCTGAGAGGCCATGCTAAAAAACATTACATTTCTTTACCTCAGAGGCACAAGGGCTGGTACATTCATATAACCGTACCATCTCTTCAGCATTTATGCTTCTGAGCTACAGGTTTATTTTATGTACTGTTAATGTTAAAGACAGAAACTTACCGGAAGTCGGCCAGCATATGATCATATCTCCCGCCAGCAGCAATTACATCCATTCCGCTTCGTCTTCTTTTCTTTTTTAATTCACATACTAGCTGACACATCATACCCGAGTACTGCTGCACATTGTACACAAGTCCTGGGGCAACCACAATAGGACACTGTAATACACAACATTAGAGAACAGCAAATGTTAATAAAAACATTTAAAAGCACCATATCCAAAATACAGTGCAACCTCAATACAGTTACAGTATTCCTTAAAATGCTTTTTATATCAAATACAAATAATATCTGAACACAACTGCATATAATCTTCAAGCCCAACATCTAATTATGTACTGTAATTTCTTAAATACTCAGTGCACATTGTTAAAAAAAATTGTGTCAAAAAAGTGGATTGCCGACAGCTTATTCACGTAAAAGTTAACCACACTATTTATTTGTCATATTTAGCATTCTGCATTCAATTGGCTCAGAGTCCAGGGATGAGTTTTGTGAACACAGGTATGAACGTAACGAGATTCTGACACCTGAAATAAAAATGTTGTTTCCAACAAGTTAACCTATCTGAAACAATGAACAATGTAACATCCACATGCAGTGAGGGGCAAAGGTTTCAGTTCTGTAATAAGAAATGCACACCTTCATACTGGGTCATGATTCTCAGGCTAAAAGTACAATGCGAGAATTGGCTGGTCCTTTTGGTTATTCAGACCACAAACAGAACAATGAATATAGAATTACCTTCACTCCTAGGGCTTCTGTGTTGGAGATAATCGTCTCTAATTCATGCAAGCCTTGCTTGGCTAATGATGCTGCCTCACCCTTTCTCTTGGTGATAATACGGAAAGCACTGGCAACTTTGGAAATTGGATTCTCTGTCCCAATTAGACTAAACAATGTAACCATTACATGGTCCTTTAGACAGAGACTGATTAAATGAGTTTGCACTTGAAACTTTGAATATTTCTCATCCTGGAAACAAAGCAGAAACAGAAACCTGTTAACCAGTGCTTCATAATATCAACTCTTGAGGCAAGAGAGTATCCATTCTAGCCAACATCAAGATGGATTCACCTTGTAACCAATCATTACCTACTGGCATAAATTTAAGAAATTAATATTTGTTACTTAGTACGAATTTTGTATTAAACATAACTTACGCCCAGTCTTGCATTAACTATTCTAAGAATTTGCGGCAAGGAATGTTCAGATAAGAGGCTACTAGAAGGATCTACGACAGCCAGTGGTAACATTAGCGGTTTACTATCACTCCACCAGCCTGATTAAATGAAGCTTCCAAAATGTTCTCGTAGTTACTTTAGGATTCTGACGATGGCGTATNGCTTCAAGAATAATCTGGTAAGAGAAGGTTCTGGATGTTACGTCATCCCATGGTATTAAAGGACTGACCCAGGATAGCGAAGACAGACAAGTAGAGCAAGCAGAGCAGCATTGGCCGATCACATGGGCAATCAGTGAGGGAACATGTATATTCGGTGAGATACCAGGCTGGGAGATTGATGTACATCATCTACTGTACAGTAAAGTAGTGTTCTGAATCTTCAAGTAGCGTACAGTGAGTACCAAAAGTGCAACTGTAATTGCAAGAGACTGCTGCTTGTAACTGTGTAGTGTTATCAATAAAGGAAGTGTAACGTTGTATCAACTCTAAGTGTAATTAAGAGACTTCTTCACCGAGAAAACCTCTTCTTTCGAAGCAAGGCCCGTTAGGCCCCGAAAAGAATCTCATAGCTTAAACCCATGATATTGTCCTCTTGCTACTCCAAAGCACCTTGACGTGGTTCCCAGATCACGTAACAGCGCCCTATCAACTACGAAGGTGCAGAAGAACGGCTAACGCAGTGATTACGCAAAACCCCAAATAAAGAACAGCTACAACCTTCATCTTAAAAAACCTGGCCATTATATTTCAAGTATTCATAACAAATGACATGAGAATGTTAAATCTCTGATGTTCCAAATAAATGTCTCATGGCTCCCACAAAATATGATTCAGCAAATAAATACAAATATATATCAACATGAATGAATTTAAGAAAACTGGCATCTCAACAAATTTAAATGGCTGATGAAGGCATATCAGCAGGCCATTCAGATGCAAGCACAAATGTTAATGGTGCAGGAACAATTATCTAGTGTTGGATGTTCAATTTATTTTGATTCACAGTGGAACACCCATCTGATTTTCCTCAATTTAACGTTTTCCTTCATTTAACATTCAATCCTGATGATCCAAAGTCAATACTCACAGAGTTAAATTTTCCTTGGTTCAGTGTTAAAATTCACTGCTACTCAAAGAAACCTTAAATGGGAGTTTCACTACAACTACATACAAATTTTCACAACAATCACATATTCAGAGGCTGTTACAGTTAGTTACTCGTAACTTTAGCCGTGCGAAAAGGTAAACACTTGTGGAGCACGCAAAGCTGTACGCTTGCTGTGGTGACGTTCAGAGCTACTACCCAAGCAGAAAACATTGCCTACAGAGATCAGGGGAACCGATACATTGCAGTGGTGTGCCATGATAGTGACACAAACACCACGTAATACAATCGCTATGACTGGTACCAACTAACAAGCGACACAACGTACTAGACACCTGACCTCACTCCAAGACGCTACATTCCAAACTGGTAGCACCCACGCTGATGTAAGCTGATTAGACTGCTCCCCCAGCCCTGCGAGAGATAGTATGACCCCTCTACCACGGCTAGAGTTCCGAGGAACTAACAGTAGTTTAACATTTCATGGTTATCCTGAAGCACACCTTGGCCTCACTAAGAATAGTGTAAATGTCATGGTACTTCTCTTCCTCAATCCCACAGTGCATCAGAATTGCTTTCAAGAGATATGCATGATTCAGACGAATCACACAGGTCTTGTCTCGGAGACTGTGGAACTCATTCACGACTTCCCAAGCTATGGAAAGTAACTCAGCTTCTGCCATCAGAGTTCCTGCAAGAAGATAAACTTATGGGTATGCAGCACAAGGATAGAAACACAGCACTCACCAACGCTTATTTGTTTACACTTCAGTCTGCAAGTAAATTAAGAAGCATTACAGAATGGCTTCTGAAATCATGGGTAAACTGAAAATAACAACACAGGAATCTTAGTTGTGATGCACCATTTGATTCCGGAGAAAGCCGTCGAACATTAGAAGAAACAAAATACATGTTAGAATTGAATTATTTAGAAGAAACAATGTATACAGTTGTTACAACAAAGAGCAATATGATTCAGGCATATTTAGACTATAACAACAATGCTACTCAAAAATAACTTATGCATATTGCATTAATAAATATGGAAATGTCAGAAAAAAAGTATATTTGTAACCAATTCTACACATTACGTTACTAAAGCAATTTTATTCTCTTAAACTAATGATGTTGACTATATCAGTAAATAAGGTTTTAACAGCCTTAATGAACAAATTAAAACAAGTGTAAGGTAAGGGTAAAGTTGTACCTGTACTTAACTAATTAAGCACTATGCCATGAAGGCTTATGGGGGAGTGGATGTACAGATCTACATTTTCTAGACCTCAGCACTAGCTGCAGGTGAGTGGTCAGATTCATGCCCAGGCAACTTTACCGCCAGGGGAAAGAGCCCCTGGTACCCATTGGATAAGAGGTTAGGTGGACCCCAGAGCCAGTCTGGATGATGTGGAGAAGAAAAAATTCTTGACCCTACCAGGACTTGAACTCCAACCCATCATCCAACCCATAGCCAGTCGGTACATTGGCTACATTATCCTGACACTGGGGGAGGTTTTCTCCAAGTACTTTGGTTTCCCCTGCCAATTTTCATTCCACCAACTGCTATGCAATTCATTAGTCATCCTGTCACGGATGCTATACGAGGTGCTATTGGAAAGTTCCTGGATTGTTATTGTTATAAATGCCTCAGTGAAGGATGAGAGGGAGGCCAAGGTCACACTTCTGCAAGCCTATTGCATCAGTCTGCCACATGAGACCGCACTGTGAACACGTTTTTACATGAGTGCATTTTCGACTTCATGTGTCATTTTGTCAACAATGGATGGCAAAATCAAGCAACACGTCTGCATCAAGTTTTCCATGAAGATCGGTAAATCCACTACCAAAACCCTTGAAATGCTTCATGAGGCTTTTGGAGAACATTCTTTAAAATAGACAGTGGTTTTTGAATGGTATTCACGTTTCAAGACTGGTCGAGTGTCACTTGAAGATGCTGAACATTCAGACTGACCAAGTACCAGCAAAACGACAGAAAATGTTGAAAAATTTGAGAACTCATCCACAAAGGTCATTGCCGAACAATCCAAAAACCCACAGACACTGTTGGGATCAGTTATGAAGATTGTCAGATCTTAACAGAAAATTTGAACATGCGTCACATTACCATGAAGTTTGTTCCCCGACTCTTGACAAATGATCAAAAGCAGCAGCGCGTAAATGTGTGTCTTGAGCTATGAGAGGAGGCTAATGAGGTCCCAACTCTTACTCATATCTCTAGGATCATGATGGGTGACAAAAGTTTGATTTATGGTTATGATCCAGAACCAGAGCAACAACTGTCACAGTGGAAAAGACCACAATCACCAAGAGTGAAAAGGGTGTAGCAGGTCCAGAGTTCAACAAAGAGCATGCGCATTGTCTTCTTCTTGACGTGAAGGGAATTGTTCACCGTGAATTTGTTCCTCCTAACACTATGGTCAACTCTGACTTTTACTTTAATGTTCTGAGATGCTTGAGAGAAAATGTGCACCAAAAAAGACCAGAACTTTGGCACAACCACAACTGGCTACATCATCATGACAACACACCCACACACGTCCCTGAAAACCAAACAGTTTGTGACTAACAACAACATGGTTATCGTTCCCCATCCTCCCTACTCACCAGACTTAGCCCCCTGTGATTTCGCTTTGCTTCCCAAACTGAAAATGAAACTGAAGGGACAATTTTTTTTGAAACAGTGTCTGACATCCAAAGAGAATCCCAAAGCAGTACTCAACAGCATTAAGGACCATGACTTAGATGGTGATTTTGAAGCATGGAAAAAACAATGTGATCATTGTATACATTCCAAAGGAGACTATTTTGAAAGAGATAGCAGCCAAAATTTAGCAAGTTAAGCCAGCATTTCTTTTTTGACCTAGTCCAGGAACTTTCCGATAGCACCTTGTACGGTCTCTATACTAACAGCATCATTAAAAAACAGATGCAAAGAAAACGCCTGTCTGTTCAATAAGATCTCCAGATATGGCTATTTTGGTCCCGACTGTATATTGCAAATAGAATCTACAACTTTCTGATGATAACAAATAGGAAGAGAAATTAGGCAAATAACTGTAGGCAAGGTAAACAGCATGACATGCACAATAATCACTGTGGTCGTGGTGCAAGGGCCAAGAAGGCCCACCCCTTATACATTCATTCATTCAAACAGAATGATGTCTCGAAAACAGAAAAAAAACCTGGAGCTTCAAGGTTGGACATATTGGAAGTACAGGAAAACTATCATATAGCTAATATGCAAACCAATGGAGGGCAAGGGGACAACAGTTGATAGGCGACTCTCCACCAGAATAAAAAAGTTACCAGTATGTAGATCTAGTGATTTTTTATGGGGAAAAGAGCATTAAAATTTGTTAACAGTATTCATAATAATAAACCACCCATTAGTCCTAACACGATTAATGCTATATTTAATAAAACAGACTGAATGAAGTCAAGTGATTATAATTTACATTCTAATCATCACATAAACAGAAATAATAATTACCCTCAATAAATGAGAGGCAGGCAAGTAAAAGGAATGACGACCCAAGGGGCCCTTTTAAGATACATCATCAGAATATTCGAGGAATTAAGGGTAAGATATGAGTTTATGATTCATTTATCCAAGATGACACTGGATATAATCTGCCTCATGGAGCATCATTTAAATGAGTTAGAAATAGAAGTGACATATCTGCCAAATTATAAATTGGGTGCTAAGTTCTNAATTCATTCCTCAATCTCCTGTATTTCCTCCTGCCTTCTTCATTGTTGACTTTCTTTCTGAAGAAAAAAAAAAAAAAGGAAAACTGGAGGTGCTTATATATATAGTGTGACATGTTGACCCCCACACCAGCAGTGACGCGGCGGGTGAGTCAGCGCTCCCCTCCCACCCCTCAGCGGTAACGTAACGCTCGCGTGATAGGCGAGTAATCACCCCGCATCCTGGCAGCTATGCGCGGTGACGTCACGAGCGGAGCCGAAGATAGCCGAGCCCCCGCAACCTGGTCGCTAGGCAACGCAAGTCAACGCGGTGACGTAACACGCAACGCTACGTAACCATAATCAACTTCCTACTGTGACGTGGCACTCATTACGCAACCGGCAAGCACTGCAGCTATATAAGTGAGCTGCACAGCTGGTACCAGTCAGTTCTAGTGTGGCTACCGCAGAGTTGTACTGAGTCAGTCAGCGAGTCCTGGACCTATTGTCGAGTTAGCCAGCAACCAGTCAGTTGTATTGTGGCATTTGGAGTGTACTATTTGTGATACTGCAGATAGCAGTAATCGTCAGATTGTAATTTGGGTGATTGTAAGAGCGAATGTGAAATAAAATTCGCTATATAAAATACATCGTGAAGTTATTTGTCGCGATATACGCCCGACACGCGACAATATATATATAGACACACACACAGGAAAAGTTAAAATTCATCACTGTAAATGTACAAAAATATGCTAAAGACCAAGATTTGAAAATTGCTGCAGTACAAATAAACCTTAACAGAGTTAAATTAATTATAATTAGTATTTATTGAGTGCCAGCTGGCAACTTTGATTACTTTCTACACAAATTGGACTATATACTTAATTTCTATTATAAAGATAATACGGAATTCATAATATGTGATATAAATGTAAGCTATTTAGAAAATAATAGTAAAAAAGCAGTTGGAGATGTTGCTAACTTATAATTTAACGAGCACTGTAAATTTTCAGACAAGAATCACCAAAAACACAGCGACTTTGATTGGCATTATATTTATCAATAGCAAAAGGGACTACAATGTGAAACCATGTGTCAACAGACTGTCTGACCAAGATGCAGAGCCTATTATAATTAAGAATGGTACTGCAGTAAAGGAAACACGGAGAAGTATTAATATTAAAATTAAAATAATAAAAATGGGGAGAAAAATAAAAAAGATGAAACTCTACCTGTATGTTAGAAACATAGACTAAATGGATGGTAAAGTTACACGCGCAGCAACTTGCTTCTGAGGTAGAGTTATTCACATTTTAGCATTTAGCATTTAGCATTTAGTGGAAATTGGTTTCCCACATTAAAGAACAAATAAAAACACAATTCATCTGGAAACAGTAAGCTCAGCATAGGATAAATTGATCAGAATGTGAGGCTATGGTCAGCTGAACATATAGAATGCATCGACGGGCAACTTGAGAAACACATGCTTATGTGAGGCAAGAAATTAAATTCAATCTCAATAAATGTAAATGGAAAAATATGATCATACCTGTGTTTGGAGTGACAATATCAAATGCACATTCATACAGTTCTCTTGGATGAAAGCCATACACTCTCTTTTCTCTGTACACTTTATCAATGGCATATCTCTTGAGACACGTAATTCCATTCCAGACCACGTAGCGTGCAAATGGGACACGGAGGTCATGTGGGATGCTTACAATGCCACCAGAGTGAGTCATGAGGCGCACACAGGATTCTGTGTTGTCATATAATGTGTTCTGTGGCATGAGAAGAGGTGTCGACAGACAGGTGGCACCATGCTTCTGGAACACTCGCACAATTCTCTCTTTTGCTAGTTCTTGCAGCATTAGTGGTATGGGCAACGATGTGCTCTTGCCAACATTCATATCAAACGTTATGTCTTCTGCTCGTGTTACCTCCTGCAACACAAACATTAAAATATAATAACATACACTGCTGCTTGGTTATGTCTTAAAGACTATCTCAACCTGTGCTACCTAGAATTCATTTCTGATGCAAATTTCGTTTTCACTCAATATCATGTGGACGTGACAACAGACTTGTAACTGCTTTTACTTACCTGTTTAAAGCAAGAGCTCACAAGATATTTATATGCTTTGCTCTGAGGGTTGGATAGCGTGTGACGAACCATTTCCTGCAGTTCTGCTTCTTCCAGCTGAGGTGGTGGAACATAATCTGACTGCAGTAACTCAAGAGATGTTGGACGCTGACTTGGGTCATGATTTAGAAGCCATCTATACAGATATTCAAGAGTTACAGTTATGCCTCAGTTAAACGATTACACATACAAATTGTATGTATGGTTCACTAAGAGATACAAAGCAAGCCAAGGAAATCCCTATTTTAGTGAGATTGAAAGCTTCACCATTGTATTTATCACTCATCACCACAACCAAGTATATAAGTCAGCTGAATCCAACACACAACTTCATGCCCTATTTCAAACATTATTCATTACACAAATCATTTAAATTGTCTCAATAAATTTCTGAACCACATATTTTCATTTACTATTTAAATGGGAAAAAGAAAGTTCCCAGTAGTTGAATTTGTGAAAGATCTGGATTTGAGATCCTCACAGCTATGACTATGAAGAGTACACTCTTCTCAGTTGTAACACCATGTAGTTAGAGACAGTCAAATGTTCTGGAGGAACACATGACTTCCACCTTCAGGGTCAAAGAGGAAGCCAAGTAAGAAACTAGAAAAAGCACACAGCAAACTGAGTTAACCTAATAGAAAGGAAATACCACAAACTTGAGTTTGCTACCAGCTTCTGCTGGTTTCTTGCTTGGTGTATTCTTCAACCCTACAGACAGAGATAATATCATCCTCCAAACCATCATAAACATAAAGTATATTTTATTAATACACAAATTACAGTCAAAAAAACGAGTATTTCCCTAAGCCATAATGACAAGCCTGCACCATAGCTCAAGCGGCGGTGAGGGTTCGAGCCCAGGTCTGGTCAAGTGGGATTTGTGGTGGACAAAGTGGCACTGGGGCAGGTTTTGTCCGAGTACTTCGGTTTCACCTGCCAATTTTCATTCCACCAAATTCTCCATCATCATAATCACCTGGGGCAGGTACAACAGGCCAATCAGTGGCTGCCATGCTGAGTGGACCCAGTTGGACTCAACCCCCCACTAAGTGAATTAAAAAAAAAAAGCCATATTGAATCATTTACAAAATCATAACTTCCTTAATAAATGGAGGGGGGAACATGGTAGCGCAGTTGGTCGAGGTACTATGCTACAAGCCGGAAGGTCACAGATTTGAATCCTGATAAGGTCAATGGATTTTTCACCTGATCTAACCTTTCCAGCCACAATATGGGCCTGGTGTCAAGTCAGCCTCTAACAGCAATGAGTACCAGGAATCTTCCTTGGAGGTAAAGGGTGGCTGGTACATACAGCTGAAAACCTCACAGACATCTGTGCGCCAAGTGTCTAGAAAATGTGGGATCCTCAACATCTCACAACCCTATGGGCCTGTTAGAGGGATAGCTCCCCCCCCACTTTATAGATTCATTGGCATGGTGCAAAATGTACTGCCATTGCAAGCTGTACGCTGGTTAATTTCATACAAATCACAAGTAAAGACTGTGCTAATTTGCCACATGCAACAAAATATATTCCTTCCCTGAAGTAAATCACAGGAGGTATCATGCTACCCAACTATCCACCCATACAGATTGGCAGGTTCCTATGCCCATATTTTGTGAGCTGGGCAAGCATAAAGACTAGTGCACATTACAGCAGAAGCCATTACAAGTGTCTGTTCAAGATGATGTCATACCTTGAGTAAGCAAACTTACGGAAAACATGACCTGCATTACTGAGATCTCCAGTATGGCAATATATGCTCCCACTGTATGTTTAAAGTAGAACCTAGAAATTTTCTAACGATTTAATAATATATGCCATTATCTGAGCCCTTCTTGAGGAGCTGCCAATTCTGCAGTTACTCAAGAATTTCTCAGCATTTTATGGAACCCGAAGGATCATTACCATGCCCACAAGCACTCTACTGGTCCCTATCCTGAACCAAATTGATCCAATCCATATCATCCCATCCAATCTCTCTAAGATCTATTTTAATATTGTCCACCCACCTATCCCTTGGTCTTCCCAGTGGTCTCTTTCCTTCTGGCTTTCCCACCAAAATCCCATGTGCACTCCTCTTTTCCCCCATATGTGCTACATGCCATGTCCACCTCATCCTCCTTGACTTGATCATGCTAATTATAGTTGGAGAAGAGTACAAGTTATGAAGCTCCTCATTATGCAGTTTTTGACAAGTAACAGTCATATCTATTTAACAAAACATTTCTGGTTAAAAGTTCAAATTAAACATATGGTACCAGGTACTTAATTTTTCCCACAAAATCCATCTAAAAGCAGCAGTGCATAAACAGTAATTACAGTTGTTCTTTTCCATTCAAAAATTACTTTTTAACTGATGTATGTGACAAGAAATCTAAAAACAAGAAGCTTTGGAATCTTGGAAATGCAGAACAGCCATCCACAGCTATGTAACATCTTGTTAAATCACATATCCACAGTAACAAACACATACACACACAGCAGCCGGGTCACTGTTGAAGGCATCATTTTCTAGATAGTCCGCACCAAGACAACACAAGAAGGATGCCACAGCTAGCAATGATGGAACACAGGAGGCAGTGTTAATTGTCTGTATATCTTTCAGATCAATTCTGCTCCCAAAACACTGAACACTTTATGGTTTTCTGTGTGAAAGAAGTATTCCATCTGTAAGGCATAATGTGTGGAGAAGAGTGAAGATATGGAGCCAAATCAAATTACACAAACTCTAAAGTGAAGATAATACCAAGATCAGTAATAACTCACACTTTAAATTCCTTCAGCTGAACACTAACACATTCAGAGGTAACAATACATACCTAATGATATGAACCTGTTGTGACTTTCCATCTTGTGTAAAGTCAGAAGGCAAAATAATCTCACTGCTCCGAAGATTTACCAGAACTTTCACTCTCTCCATGCCTGTCAGAAGTGGATGATAACACATCTCAAAGAATATTATACCCAAACTGTAGATATCAACTTTCTGTAAATGAAAGAGAAAACATCTGAGCTGCATTACAAATTTATGTACATTTGTCTACAAAGTTTCCTAGTTCAGTACAGAGCTACATCAAGTACATGATGTACTAGTAGTTACTATAGGATTCTGACGATGGTGTATAACACATAGAGATATTGGGTTTTTGGACTTTATCCATCGTCCTGGTTTTAAGATAACTAAGAAAAACATGACATTTCAGAAACTGGATCTGTTTCCGTCCTCAGGTGAGGGAAAACACCTATTCTGTTGGGTCCCTTAGAAAGATCTAGCCTCAATCACTGGTTCAGTGATTGAGGCTACATCTTTCTAAGGGGCCCAACTGATTAGGTGTCTTCTGCCACTTCACGTGAGGACGGGAAGAGGTCAAGTCTCCGAAATGTCGTGTTTTTTCTTAGTTATCTTAAAACCAGGACAATGGATAAAGTCCGAAAACCCAATATCTCTACATTAAGTACTCCTATATGTGAAGCCTGGAGAGGGGACAGAACAACACAACAAATCCTGATGATGAAGCCAAAGTTGTTCCATGAAACATCAGTCATTCTTAACCAACTAGCAAGGCTGATAGCCCTCCAGGATTTCATTAACTTTGGCTCCCACAGAAGCTTCAGATCTTACAGCAGTACACCTAATATTACAATCTAGAGAAAACTGAAGCAACAAAAGTATTATTATTCTATATATACTAGTGACATACAGTAAAGAGGAAACTGAAATTACACATCAAGTGAATTCTGGAATATAATGTGGCTCTCTTTATGTATACCAACTCCAAAGCCTTTATTTCCAGTGGCAAGCTCAGGTAACAAAAGAATATCATAAAAAAAATTAGAATGATGTTATGGCAATATGAAATGGGCTTGAGAATGAAAATGTAAATCAAAAACAAAAGTCTAGTATAACAGTCACAAAAATTAGTGAAATATATATACAGAGTGTTTCACGACTTTACGGCATAACTGCAGGAGGTGATTTCCTAGGTCTTTGTGATCAAAAAAGTTCATATAAACATGTGTCCGATTTTGGACGGTTACAGAGTTATGATCGTTTTAAACTCAGAATAGAAGGTAACGATTACTGACAATAAACGGAACAAAATAATAAACCAGCATAATACATAATATATTTAAAGTATGAATGTAAAGTTAACTTCGTGAAATTACCTTTAATTTAAATTTATTGGGGCTTAGAGCTGATTTTCGAAAACGCCACCGCCAGCCGCAACACAGGCTGCCGCTCGGTTGTGAACTGCGCGGATACATACCAACCCACCACGTCTTAGGTACCTCTCAAGTGTCGAGATAACGAGAACACTGTCTGTAGCTGGCTAAAAATAGCGCCCCGCCAGATGACAGATGCAGTTCACAAGAGGGCGTGTATGGGAATGAAAAAATGGTCATAACTCCGTAACCGTCCAAAATCAGACACATTTTTATATGAACTTTTTTTATCACAAAGACCTAGGAAATCACCTCCTGCAGTTGTGCCCTAAAGTCGTGAAACACCCTGTATATATAAGAATTCTGTGACTTTATCAGGACAGCGTGTATACTGAGGATGGTAGTGATTTAACTACAGACAACGAAAGTTTTCTCACCTGATTGTAAATTGATTTATTGCCTGATGTACTGAGTTCAGGAGCAACATACAAGGCTGTTCCCACCTGCCCAGTCAAGGAGCCATCTCCCATCTCATGTGAGAATGAAGGTGTATCTGTCAACTTTCCATCAGCAACATGATCCTTTGCAGGAGTTGAGGCCAGATGTCTAGAGCAGAAGCACATGCCAAAGCTGATCTCTAACCTGCTCACTGTGAGTACAGGTATCTTTTGCAGTGAATTAATAGAAATACTATGACTGGTACCAAGTTCTGATAACTATTTCACTGCAAAATTTTTGATAGTTCTAAATACCTTCACTATGAACATGAATGTGAAAGAATTTTACTTAAAATTTACTGCTTCTAGAAACAATTACAATCACCCTCAGGTTCAGTATCAGCAAATAAAAGGTTACCTATATCATCTTCTGCAATCTGTTTGTGTCTGCAAGAAGCCATGTTTATGTACCTTACCACTTGACAATGCTACTTACAGGGTACAGCTACACTTCTAGGCAATGTTGATGAAAGTTTTTGTACATAGTCAACAGATGTCCTACCCTTCCTGGATACAGATCTCAGCAGAAATGTGACAGCTGCAGCACCATGAAGTTTGAAATAATCTGAGTCCTGCAGCAACTGGCTGATAGCACACCTCACATTTCTGTGAGTTCTGCAGCAGAAGAGTTATGGAAAGGTGGGGAGAAGGGGAGAGCCACAGAAATAGTAAAGGAAGGAAAGGAAAAAAAACAACTATCATCTGACAGATGGTCAATGCAGTTCAAAATTACCTTGGCAAAATGTTGGTTGTAGCCAGTCCAAAGTCACCTATCTTGACATGATCATTTGAATGAAGGAAAATATTTACTGGTTTCAGGTCCCGATGAATCATGCCCTGCTGATGGATGTGTGCTAAACCTTCAACTATCTCCCTGAAAAGTCGCCATATCCTCTCCTCATCCTCACACAACCCACTGTCAATAGCAGTCCTGCAAAAGTCAATACAGCCCATCTATAATTCCTTTTCAGTGTTGGTTACATATCTAACACCGCTGTCACTATCAGGATTACATAGCATTGACATGATGATTAACAAATGTAGGCAGCTGGTGGAATAAGACTTGGCAGAGGAAATCTAAGTACTCAGAGAAAACCATCCCAGTGCCAGTATGTTCTCCACAAATCGCACATGATCTGAGCTGAAATCAAATGCGGTCCACTGCAGTGAGAAGCCAGCCCAGCTAATTTGCTGTCTGCACAGTTTTATAATTTTATTTGTTGCACCAACATACCATGAAGAGTTTTTGGATTTTAATTTGCTAATTATATTAATTATTTTCTCTTCTGCAATGAAATTAAGATTCATATCTGGAATACCATTTGAGAAATGGAAATGAAACTATGACATTGCAGAATAAACATCTTAATATTAAGATTTTCTGTCACTGATGTGAAATATTTATTAAAACTATTAGCTGCTTCTTCAGTATTTATTTTGTTACTATTATTTTGAAAAGTCTGAGGTAGACGTTCTTTATTCTGATTGTTAATCCCGCCTGTTTCAGTGTTGATAATGTTCCAGGTAGTTTTTATTTCGTTTTCAGCTGATGTAATTAACTGATTATAATATTTCCTTTTAGTTTATCTTATTACTCTTCTTAATATTAAGCAGCAGGATTTATAGTATGATTTAAACAGATAGTTGTAATTGTTTCTACAGAGAATGAACACAAATTCCTTCCGTCTACAGGCGGTACATATACCAGCTGTTAAGCAGACTGTCTGCTTTTACCATTTCTCACAGTCTCTTCGCTTGCAGATTCCTTATATTTTTTCTTCTACCCTGAAGATGGAGGCGATACATTCCTCTGAAACGTCGGTTAATACCACATATACACGGTGCCAAATCCCAGAAGACTGCTTTCTTCATAGTCACCGCCGTGAAAGCCTCAAATCTTATACAGCAACTATCCTTGATGCATTAAAGTTTTTTTAAAAACTTTTTGTTATTTAAGTTAAAATTCTTTAACCAAACTGGTTTGTGACCCTTGTCCTTTCGTTTTTCTTGACGGGCACAGACAGCACAAGTTCGGCCCCATCAAGAAAAATGAAAGGACAAGGAACATGAACCTATTCGGATAAAGAATTTTAACTTAAATAACAAAAAGTTAAAAAAAAACTTTAATGTATCAAGGACAGTTGCTGTAATTGTAAGAAATTTGGATTTTGTATAAAGTGTATATTACAAATATTGTATATTTATGTATTTTAAAAATCAAAACACCCAATGTAATAGTAGTATGCATTGATGTTCCCTCCAATGATGGTCTACAGAGACCGAAACATGTTAGGGTGCTAAGAAGAGAAGTAGTAAAATCTTCAACGGTCACACTGGATGGAATTGTTTTATCATTTGTAAGTTTAGATATATTTTCCAGTTTTTCATTAGATAGTTTATTAAGAAACTGAACAACTGAGTCTTCATTTGCTAATCTTCTTGTGATTCCCTGCAGTTTTTCTTCTCCAGGAAATACATATTTTTTGTACTAGACACTGAGCATCGTGATCTGATAGTCCATCACTAATAGAGGTTACTTCATATGAATTTATCCTTGCCTTATCAATAAACATATTATCAATTGCAGAGCTTTTGGTCTCAGTTATTCTAGTTGGGAACTGTATTGTATGAAATACAATACATGATTGCAACAGCACTAATAGCTGTGTTTTACGTGTTGACTCTTCTAAAAAATTTGTTAAAATCACCACATATTATAAATTGAATTTTTGGTTTATACAGTAATTTGAGTACTCTATCCAACTTATTTACAAAGTACTCAAAATTCACATAAGGTGACCTATATACATACCCAGTACAAATATGTTAGTTTTAGCTAAAGAAATCTTAAGTGTACAAATTTCTGTTCTTTTCACCACAGAACTGTGCTAAATTTATAGCAGTAAATACAAACACACCCTCGCTGATGAGTCGTACGAGCATACTTTGTTCCCAATATATAGTTCTGGAAACTGCTGTATAATAATTTCTGGTCAGATATGAGATGCTCAGGTAAGCATATTAAGTGAGGATTTATATTATTGCTAACTATTGAACACTTCAATTCATCAATTTTGCCACCAAGCCCTCTGATATTCTGATAAACAAGAACCTTGTAGTTCTGTTTAATTAGTCCTTCGACCACATTTGGTTTGTTTCTTACACCTCTGAGATTTCCCATCACTTTGGCTACACCCTGTCTATTCTTCATTACTGGTTTTCTTATTGTTGTTAAAATTTTGTTACTGAGAATTTCTTTCAATTGGTAGTGTAGCTTTGAGGGGGGGGGGAAGTATGAGACTAGAGCCTGTACCATCCCGGGTTATGTTTCATCATGCTTCCATTTTCGATATGCCTGTTCTTGGACAAGCTCTATGTCATCAAGGGATCACTGTAAACTATAGCAGCAGAACCTGAGAGACAAATGTGACATCATCCACATGTTTTTTCTGAAGAAGGCTAAAGACGGACGGAGAGTGAAGCTAGTCGCTTTTCACCATGTCCACAAAATTCATACACTATGGGAGTGAACAATATGGCACAATCTACAACCCAGTGACTGTTACTCAATGCCCTGTTCAGACAAGAAGAGAAGTAAGCAAGCAGTTATCTGCCAAATTCTTGATGCTGATTCACAATAACAGCAACACAGAAAGGAAACAAAAATAATCAACACTAAAACAGGATAGACTTGAAAGGATTCTGACAATGGTATATATTGTACTTCTTTTGGATTATTTTGGACTTAACCCATCGTCTGGTATGTAAAAGACAAAAGACCATGAGGTTTCGGAGACTGGATCTGTCTCTGTCTTCAGGTGGGTAGGGAAGGATAAACCTACTCAGTTGGGCCCGTTTGAAAGAGCTAGTCTCAATCACTGGTCCAGTGATTGAGACAGTGAGACCATATCAAGATGAAGGGTCCAGGATGTCAGAATGGAACAGCTCAGTTTTCATCTTGGTTCCTTGTTAAGTGAAAAATAATATTGCTCAAACTAAAACGTCTTGTTCAAGTCTTCTATATCATCATGAAACCCCTTGGAATAAAAGCCATGATTTGTGGGTGGGGAAAGATTATTAACAAGCACTAAAAATTATAGGTGTTACAAAAACCTGAGCTTTGCAATTCTATGGTCAACAAAACCACCATGCACTGCATAGGCTATGGCACAACCAAAGAACTTACCTTAATGTGCTCTTCTCACAGAACTCCATCTGTATATACATGAACTGTATCTCTCTGCAGTGTGAAGCAACAGCTGAATCTTTATTCTCTTCACAGTCTGTCTCAGATTGCAAACATGTCGTCACCACCTCATCCTTCTCAAACAAAATCCCATCTGAGGAAGCAGAACAAGGCCTGAAAAATTATCAATTTACAGATGCAAAACATTTGGATCTAACTAAGATGAACAAAATAAGTGAGCAATTAAGATATTACATAATGAGAAACTCTGTAACTTATAGGTTACCTAATAGTAAAATCTAGGCTATGATGGAGTGTGAATATATTAAGAATGGCAAAGACTGTCATGTTGTAACATTTTACATTGCCAATGGATGCTATTCTGTGGCATGCTCTATCATCCAGGAGCTTATGCACAAAAAATATATAGCCTCAGAGTTCTCTTAGGAGGAGGAACTATGGGGCTGAGACTTGACTGTGACTTGTGGAAGGAGACTTGTTCTTCAAACCCTGAAGGAGGCACATGGATAAGGTGGCAGTCCTCATGGCAGAAGACAACTGAAGGAAAGGTTTCAATGACTGTCTTATATACAGACTGGATAAGTTGCTGAAGGCTCCACGAAAGGTCCTATACTGGCTACAGTCAAAGAACAAGACAAGGACTACAGGGATATTGCATTTCATCTCCCTTTTCCCCTCCCTCAAACACTGGACAGTGGATATTGCTTTAGCAGACTATTTAAACCACATGCTGTGCTGAACTGCAGGGAAGTCTGTCCAGACTTCAGTGAAACTGGACAGTTAATTTAGTATTATATTCAGTAGTGACAGAAATCCTTAATAACAAGAATTTATGAGAATTCTATCATTATTTGCCTCTACTGTTCAGAGTTTGCAAATTTAATAGTGAGATTAATGCTTGTATGAAATCAGTGACTTAGTGACAATGCAACCTATGTTATCCTATATAGATATCAGTTGTTTTATATACTGTGCTGTGTTTACGAGGGAGTAAACTTCAAGGCTTCCTTTTCATATATACCCTTTCCTGTCGTATAAAATCTGAGGCAGCAGACAGTGCCCTATTTGAATGTTCTGAAGTGTGTATTTAGATGTATTCTCACTGTGTATTCTGCTTAGTTAAATTTGTTACCATGTTGGATTTGAGGTTCTCAGGGCAGCAAACTATGTATAGTGTAGTCTTCTGGGCTTTAATGCAATGCAGTTCAAAGACAGCATGTCATTCTGGAGGAACATACTGCCTCCTTCTTCAGGCACAAAGATTAAGCCAAACAAAAAACCAGCATTAACAGGTGGCATGCTCAGTTCAGGGTTTCTCCAAAGTACATGGCATTAAAATTCAGTCAACTGTAATCTTCAAATCTGATACTGATAACCCAGAATCATGAATGGCCATATCTGGAACCTTCTCGGATAGGGTGGGGACTTCATCTCCTTAGGGTTATTTGCATTATGGCTGGAATTGATGAGATTTCCAGAGTTTACTTAGAATCTGAAACCAAAACTCTCGTGGCATTCAAAAGTAGTCCAGAGGACTTCAAAAGACATACTTCTGGCCAAAACCAATTCTGTGGTGACCTTCTATTACCATTCTGAAGCTTAGTCATCACAAGACAAAAAATGCAGACAGAGTTTTGGTAGAAAACAGTCACATGATGACTGAAAAGATGCAAAGAACATTACAACCAATATTCATATACTAAGTATAAAGATCAAGCTGAATGGAACTGAGTCAGAATTTTACCCAACAGCAAATTTTGTACTGGCAGTACAGAACCTTCGGTTTCAGCTAATACTGTGTTTATGCTAAACAACTGAATTCAGCATAACAAACCAAAGGAAAGGAACAATGTACAATACGACATATACAAGATGAAACTTTCAAATTTCAGTAAAACCGTTATACACCTTACATTCCCAGAACCTCCAATTCCACAACTGGGATGATAGTAGTAGATAGTTTAAGACTTACATAAAGCTAATCCAACCCTCATCTTCATCTGAGCTGTCATCAGAACTGGCACTCTCCTCGTGCAAAGCGCTTGCTCTGGATTCATACGACACACTCCACTCTACACTCACATCTGTCACGGGCGGAGCCAATCTCTCGACGTCATCAGAGAGGACTAACTAGACAAAAACAACTCTCAACACAGACCAATTCAGCAGTCCCTTACACTGGTTATATCTTCAATATAAGCAACAGGAGCAAAAGTCTTGTAAATGCCAATGACTGCAAGTTCTTCCTTAGTGTGTCTCAGCCCGTTCCTCTTTTCCTTCCATTCTAACTATCTGTGTCCAGCTACCTGCTTACAGATTTCAGCAGGTTCGCATGCCCACACTTCCCAGGATGATCAAGTGCAAATGACTGGCATGTTACTCTGGATGCCTCGCACATATCCATTTTGATACGATTATTTAGAACTCTGGAGGGATGAAGTATATGAAGGTGCAGAGTAATTGATTAATTATATTCATATTCAACCAAAAAATGTTTTGCCAAATGTTGGTGGCAAAAATACAGCATTTAATTAATTTCATACATCTTGCCTAGCAACTGGCAACAGACTGGACAGCAGAGGGGTCAGAGATTGCATTCTGTTAGAGGTGAGATTTTTCTCTTCTCCATGTCATCCACATAGGTTCTGGTGCTCAACCAGACTCCCATCCAACAGGTACCAGGGGCTCTTTCTCCAGAGGTAAAGCAGCCAGGGTGTGAAGATGATCACTCACCTCCAACTAGTGTCACAGTAATGAACATGTGGCTCTATACAGCCACTCCTCATTCATTTTTATGGCATAGTGCTTATTTAGTTAAGCATGGACAACTTTTCTGTATAACACAGGGGTGTGTTAAATATGCAGAGGAATAAATTGCATGAGTAAATATGCGATTAAGAGATTTCCTACAAACAGAAGAAATGGAGACATGTATATGATATGCAAACCTGGTTAGAATCCAGCTTAGTGATGACACAGGGTGCAGGAGAAGGGGCAGTGCTACTCAGTATCGAAGCAGGTTCAATGGTTGCACTCTCTATCCATGAGTTGTAGTAGCGCACAACATTTTCATGGTTCAGGCGGGACAGAAGCTTTACTTCACGAGTTATCTTTCTGTTCAGCTGTTTGTTCTTTGGATTTAGTTCAATACGCTTGATTGCATACATACCACCATCCAATTTATTACGAACCTAAAAAGAGGAAGACATATCTGTTAGAAATCAACAGTAACTGAGGACTTCTACCATCAGGTATATATAACACTGTGTAATCTATTAAAAGTCAATCAACGTTTCAGAGGTACTTGCTGTCTCCATCTTCACGGTCAAAGAATAAGCCAAGCAGACAGCAGCACTGAATCCCATAACTCTTCAGTCGCCACAGCAAGAACAAGTATCTTTGAAATCTGTACAAAATTTCCTCTTATATATCCATAATAGCTTAGAGATTAAGGATCATACTGTTCACAATGTCAGCTGCGAGCACATTTTCAACACTCAAAATATGTACTTGCCGATCACAGTGGCCATGCGGTCTAAGGCATGAAATGTCTTTGACCGCTCAAACACTGGGATCATGAGTTTGAATCCCACTTGAGGCTTGGATGTATATCTGTGTTTTTTCTGTCTGTGTTGTCCTGTGTAGGTAGCGGCCTCACTATGGGCTGATCCCCATCCAAGGAATCCTACCAACTATCTGTAAGATACATAGGTTCAAATTAATTCTGAATGTGAACAGGCCAGAGGGCTTAATCCATCAAAGGAAGAAGAAAAAATATACTCCAGTGACTGTACAAAGCAGAGCTTTCCATGATTAACCAACAGTCATTCAGCTAAGAAATTTCCCACCTTTTTACAGAACCAACAGGTTCATTATTGTGTCCTCAGCAGCCCATCACTAGACTCTCTTCTAAACCAGATGAATCCAGCCTATACCCTCAACACTCTATGACCTTAAGATCCATCTTAATATCACCCTCTTATCTAGACTTAGGTTTCCTGGTTTCCTAACAAATTTTTTTTATGAATTCATATCTTCCTCATGCTTGCTACATGATCTGTATACGCCAACCTCAACCATCTGATGAAGAGTTTATGAAGCACCTTATTACTGGTGTCTGATTTTCTCTGACTTCTTTTAGAACCAGACAGACATTTTCTGCAGCAGAATGTTCTCAAAGACTTTCACATCACCAGCAATGTCTGTAATATTTTTCCACACCAAATTTCACATTATTACAAGGAAGAGTCAGTAAATAGGTCACAAATAGAAGTAAAATAGCAGTAATGGACATAAGACATTTTCTATTAGTATCAGTAAGTAGCAGCACAGTCCAGGTAGCAGACCCACATGTGCATGTTCAGAGGCTGGTTTCAGTAGTCAAAATAACGACCATTATTGTGGAGTATACTACTGAAGAGCATAATTCTGTTGAGCATTTTTTGTGGGCAAAAGGACTCAATGTAAAGGATATTCATAAATAAATGTTTCCTGTTTACCATGGGAAGTGTTTGTAGCATAAAGTGGTTCACAACTGGGTCGATAAATTCTCTCAAGGACGTTCAAAAGTTGCAGATGATGCTCAACCAGGTGCAGAAGTGGCTGAGACAACAGTCAAAAGACTTCTATGCTGCTGGTTTTGACATACTAGTAAAGCGATGGTGGTGGAGGATATGTCTAGAAATAAATGTTTTCTTCCAGGTAAAAATATCATACGTTTTACATTTTATATCCATTTTTGACCTCTTTCCTGACTCTCCCTCACAGTAAGATGGTTCATCAGCACCATAAAACTGATGTTAATGAGAGTTGTATATTTTCATATACCCATAAACAAGGATTACATTCTTTAAAAGTCAACTTCTTCATACTTCCCCCAGAGGAAGCATGTCCTAGCATGTATCTACATAACACAAACTCCATAGTCACAATGATGGCCTTCTCCAACCTCCAAGCTAATGAATTAAAGCTTTGCTTAAATACAAACACCTCCATATTCTCAAAACAGGAATGTTTAAGAATAATATTACTGCACGTACTGCAACCAAATTCAATATACAAAACAATCATAATCACCTTCAAAACATCTCCAAAGGCACCCTTTCCTAACCACTTTAAAACCTCAAATTCATTTTGGATTCGAGACTGTCCTTTGGGATTAGCTGGCAAAAACAAATGGATATCGGAATCTGGTTCTTCATCTTCAGTCTCCTCCATATATTTCTGTTGAAACAAAACAGAAAGGAAATTAACATTGAATAGTTCTAAGTACTAAAGCTAGAACTAAACAGTAACTATTACAATGAATTAACAGGTGTTTTAATGATCCTACAAGAGGTAAGGTTATCTTTACCAGGCAATTCAAACTGTGACCTTCTAGGCTGTGATACCATGTATATTTGTACATGTTTCAGTGAAGCATGTTCCTCTGAAATTATGGCATCTGTCTACAAGACTACAGTGCCACAACCCAGACAACCACAATGTGAACAATCACTACAGTGAAGATCTCAAAATTTATATTCACCAAGCAAAACAAACAATGAAGTTCTTTACACTCTGAGAAGAGTTACTGTATTATGAGTCTGTGAAAGAACTGTTTTATTTTGATGTGCATTATATCTTTATAATGTTTTATGTGTTATTAGCACAAATTATCTAAAATTAATGCATAAGAGGGAAGTTATGTATATCCATCCATGTGTTTCATCTCAGACACTACATAACAGATATGAATTACTGTCACTTCGGAGTGTAAACACTAATATGATTAGTCAGGTTGATTTAATTTTGGTGTGCATCAACCCAAATCTTGTATGAAGCTGAAATCACAGCCCATTAATTGTTCTCAAAATCAAATAGGTAAAAAGAAAAAGAAAAAAAAAAAACTGTTACACAACATACGAATCGACTACACACTCCCAACTGAATAAAATAAACACAAATTATTATCTGGGTCTACGTTCTGCAGCAGCATTGGTTTTGTAACACTGGATGTTCATCTTCAGTAAATAAATATACAGGCCAGTGATGTTTCCAGGACCGGAAAGAATGGATTTGGAAACTATGTATGTTTTATAAGGTTCATGGATTTACCTTTTCTGTATGCCATGGACCCTCGGAAGTTATAACACAACAACTTGAGTGGTGACTATAAACAGTGTGATTTTCTGTGTTTTAACGTTACGCAGTTTGGAGAGAGCTGGACATATCATCTCTGTCTTGCCACTGATTCTTGCTTGTCTTACCTTTCAACTCCCAGGAAGGGGGCAATATATTCCTCCAAAATGTCAGGCTATCTCTGAACTATATAGCATTGCAACTCAGAAAACTATAATCTTCATTGCTGTCTACCTGCTTTTCTTCTATACTCCACTGTGGACTCAGCCCATGTTCCACAGGGCTTTTAAGAAACTGATGCTCTAACAGCTGTTCTGCACTCCATCTCTGTCGCTCATCTTTCAACAGGCACCTGGTATGATACAAGAAGGAAGCATGTCTCTTATTAAAGTACTCAGTAATAAGAAAGTATATTATTCATTGTTTCGTAGGACCCAGCTCTACCAGAAAATCAACAGCAATAATTCTTTCCAGAGCCCCAACAACAATTACCAGTACATACCCCAAAGATGCACAAATCTAATCTATACAGATACTTTACATGCAAATATATTGAGTCACGTGTAATAAAAAACCACAGCATTTTTTATTTTACAGCTGAAAATTTATCTTTAAAACGCTGCATTCTGTGGGCCTTCTCTGTTGGCAAGAAAAACTTTTTTCAAATACTCCCCAGTGGCACATGACTGAACCCATGTTGTGACACCACTTTCATGGTTGCCAGGTTTTCCAGTGAACCACTAAGGCAAATGTACAAAACATGGCACGGAAGTTCGCTTTCGCAGCTGGATAATCATCTGACTTGTAAGGGACATAGAGATTTTTTGCTTCATAAGTTGAGCACAGTTGGTTTTCTAATGAAAAAATGTTCTTATATATTAAATATTAATAATCTTAAAGCTGTATATGAGGGTAAGTCAATATGTAAGTTACAAATGGATATAGAATTGCTTCTACTGCTTCATCACCAGGAAAATGTTCAGCTGAAAGATGATGTTTAAGAGGGCCACACAAATGGAAGCTGCATGGAGCAAGGTCAGGGCTATATGGAGGATGCTCAAGGACTTCCCACTTGAACTTTTGCAGCATCTCATTTGTCTTCTTGGCAGTATGGGAATGTGCGTTGTCATGCAAGCGCAACATGCCTTTGGTGAGTCTTAGTCGCTTCCATTGAATGGCCTTACAAAGTTTCCTGAGGATGTTACAGTAGGAGTCGGCATTTACGTAAATGTTCCCTGTAAAGGGAAGTCACCACCTGGTTCTGAGAGCAGCCCAAAGAATTTTATGCTGCTGGTTTTCAGGGGCTCGTGAAACGATGGGACAAGTGCCTCAGTGTACAGGGAGATTATGTTGAGAAATAAAAGAATTTTTCAAATCAGTACTCTTATTTGTTTAAGTTCTATATCCATTTGTAACTTACTTATTGACTTACCTACATATTATGCATATTATCAATCATTGGTGAAATATGAAATAATATACTGGGGAATACACCAGACAGTCCTAAGGTCTTTGTTATGCAAAAGAAAATAATAATAATAATAATGATGGAAGTGGGCACAACTCATACATGTAGAGACTTATTTAAAAAGCTTGACATAGTACCAATCCCATGTGTATACTTGCTCTCACTGATGACCAATAACTCTGTATATATGATTGGTACAAGAAGGAATGACCACCATCAATACCTACAACACATTTATCATCCTATCAGAGAGGGGTGTATTATTCAGGCGTGAAGCTATTTAACACTCTGCCGTCAAATATTTCAGTTTTAAAAAATGATCTCTCCATGGCCTGTAGTCCACAAGCGAACTATTGATAAAAACCAATTTAGGTTTGTTTTATGAAATTACTTGCATAGTAACTCACTTTACTCTATTGACGAATTTGTCAAGCACACAAGAGGCTCAAATGTTAAGAGTTAACAAATGGTCTGTGTTCTTGCATTATACATTGCTGAGACTTTCTTGTTATAAGTGTAGTAGTATGTATGATGTGTGTTTGTTATGAATTTTAATATGTTATAATGAAACTGTATTGATGATATGGCTTGCCAGTGTGTGTGGAATGGCAAGGTGTGAATCTGACAGTGGATTCTCCACGGCCCATGTGTGTAGTCTTGACAACCTGTGCTTTCTGTGTGAGGCCTGATTATATATTTTACTGGACCAAGGATGTATGATGTCATCATGAATTTGTATGTGTGACATGTTTTATATCCAGCCCTATGGGGAGATGACTGGATCCATGAAGTGAAAATAAATGTAAATTATCTACGGTGGGGCAAATATCCTGCATGGACTTCAAAGTGTTAATCACTTCATAAATTACTGTACTACAATTCAAGTATACAGAAACCATCAAATACAACTTCAGATCTTAGTTTATTCACTTTCCCACGTGTGTGTGTATGTGTATTTTGACATGATGGCTGAAAGCCAGAATAATGATATGAATAGATGAGGCCACTGCTAGGCAATGGCATGGTAAACATATTTCCTTGGCAACAGATACTGACGCAACAATAAACGACACATTTTCTATCCAGTTTGTGTATAGGATACAAACTGAGGACCAATTGGACAAGCCGGTTGGTCATAGGTCAGAGTCAGCAGTTAGCAGTCTTGAGTTGCACTGTTAGCAGCCACTACACAGAAATGACTAGTGAACAAATGTAAGACTTTATGGGTGCTCTAATTGTAGTGATTTAGAATGTGTAAATCTATGAGACTGTTACAATTATTTGTACTTATGAGTTATAATTGTTCAATAGTATGTATGTAGTATGTGTAGGGGGTGAGTCATAAAATCCGGCCCTTGCACTGTGACCTTCAATGATCTATTGTGCTTCCCCTTTTGAGTAACTCTTTTTTAATATTACACTTTGAATAAAATGTATGACTTTATTTATGGGGGCATCATAAAAGTCACTTTGTTCCATAAAGAACTGGACCAGGTAACAAAATCTTATATAAGCTATGGCATCACAATCACATAGGGTATGTGTGGCTGATTCGTCTTCTTGTAGGCACCTTTCACAGGTTGGGTCATCTGTCAATCCCAGTTTGAAAAGGTGTCCTTTTATGTGGCAGTGTCCAGTAAGTAATCCTACCACCCATCTTAATTGATCTCGTCTAATTTCAACGGATACTTTATTCTTCTGGAGAGGGGTCCTGATATATCCCTTTGCCTGTTTGAGTCCAGTTGTGGATTCACAGTGTTTTTTGCGATTTCTATCTGTCCAGTTCCTGATCAATTCCAACTGAGATGCTGCTAAGCTGGTTCAGGCCATGTGAACAGATACTCAGATCCTGTTCTTGCCAACTGATCTGTGGTTTCATTCCCAGCAATACCCTCATGACCTGGCACCCACATCAGTTGAACTCTGTTATGTTTGGCCAGTTGTTTGTGGGATTGGTGGCAGTCCCAGACCAATTTTGAAGTGATCTGATGTGTACCAAGCGCTTTAATTTAAGCTTGACTATCTGATAGAATACAGATGTTCCTATTTTTATAGTTTCTATCTAAATTCTCAACTATGCATGCCTTAATGGCAACATACACTTCTGCCTGGAATACTGCTGTGTATTGACCAAGGCTGAAACTAACTTTCCACCCTGTTCCATATAAATGCAACCCAGCTCCAGTAATTGTTCAATAAACCCAATTAGTAATCCAAAAAACACACACACATATAGACATTCTGGACATTACAAACATCTTCAAGCATCCACATAACTTTTCCTTAAACATGTCACAATGATGTCCTCAAATGCTGCTTGTACAGTAAAACCCCATTCAAGGTTTCTTTGGGCAGAAATGGACTTGAACACTAAACTGAGGAAGATCTTCAGAGGAGGTAATTTAACGCTGAAGTTATTGATTCACAATCAATGAAACTGATCTCAAAGGAGAGAAAACCTTAAACTGAGAAACAGTAATTGGAGTTTCCGCTGTAACTGCTAATATCCTATTTAAAAAGTTAAAATATTGTTCAAATTGATCCACATACTATCTTCAATTTTTATTATTTCATTCCACTTGTTCTTTTGTCCTTGAAATGTAAAACTCACTTTGAGAGAAAATCTCTGAGTTCTGGCTGAAGGGTGGGTGGTATTTCAGGTACAGTGTCATGGATTATGCAGCCACTGATAAGGGACAGCATCAGAATTCCAAAGCGGTAAATGTCAGCTTTCTTGCCTCCTCGACCAAGAGACGGAGGGTAAGTGTTGTCTCCTTTTCCATTCACAAAGGCCTGGGAAATATCCGCCAAACGTTTGTCCAGGCTGTAGTCTCCAACTTTAACTACACCTACCAAAAACAAAATGGCATAAGTCTACCACATAAAGGAACTTTGACAACACTAGCAGCTTCTGAAGATGGACTCAGATAAATACTCACCACATTTGCCAATGAACACACTGGTATCTCGGAGGTCTTTATGGACAACGTTGTTACTGTGCAAGTAAGCCAATGCACACAAAATGCCAGCTGAATAATGTCGTAAGAAATCTCCATCTACAGGCAAGTTTTCCATAAGGCAAAAGGCTAAATTTATACCATTTACAAATTCCTGAAATTTAAATACAACCCATAAATAAAACTAATTCAGTACAGCATCCTATATTACTGTAATATACAAACACATGCAGATAGCTTTAACACACTTACCTGAACTATATAAATGACCAGATATTCTTTTTCCTGAACACATTTCATGCTAATATACTGAATTAAATTTTCATGCTTCAATTTCTGAAGATAATTCAATTCTTGTTCAATACTAGATACCTGTAATAAAGATCAACAAAAGTTACATAATATTAATTTTACCTTAAACCAGATTCCTCACGTATGTACCACTCCATCTGTTGCTATGACAACTACAAGAATGTTGCCATGGACACTGGAGTTGCTCTGAACTAACTTTCCCTTTCTTTATTTCACACATGAATCAATTTCATCCGCTGCCCATACGTTCATGATCAAAAAGCTCTCGATGAGATTCTCCAACTTCCACAAAAGTGTGCCGTGATAACAGGGCAGAGAAGAAAGAGCCACATTTATACAATGACAGGCTGTCACTTATTAAATGTCACAACCATTTCTATGAAAGAAAATTATATTTTAATATTCCATACAGCTTTCTACTGAGTTCTCATTGTTACAAATCACTGCATCAAATCAAATCACATGCAGTATCCATTATAGTGCAGCCCTTTCAAGAAGTTTTCTGAGAGACTAAGAAACATGAACAATTTCAGCAGGAAAAAAAGGCCTGCTTGTCCTTTCCAGGATTTACAGTTCCCACTGGCACACCTGGCCCTGTCTCTGATTGGTCACTTCAGTCCTCCATGACAAAGCTGTGCCTACCTTTCATATATATATACATTGTCACATTAGTACAGTAACTAGACACAGGGTTTGGATTGATTATTGAATTTATTGAATGCTTATAACTCATAACTATAAATAACTATAACAGTCTCACTGACAACTACAGAACACATAAGGTCTCCTGTTTTTTATTCTGCTGTCCCTAGTCATTGCTGGTGGCATCCACTAACAATGTGATTCAACAATGACTGGTCAAGTCAGGTCAGGTCAGGTTGGGTAAACTGATGCCCACCCAACTCATAACCATAATTTATTGCCTCACAACTCTGGGTTATGCAACTCCTCTCACTGACTGACTGACTGACTGACTGACTGACTGCTGGTCCTTGTTATATGGCCTTGGCACAGACCAAATTAAAAACACTACATCCTCTATTGTTGCAAGATTATTCATTGCTGCGGGAACACGTTTACTGCACCACTACCTAACAGCTGCCGCCCCTTACTGTTCCACTGTTCTGGATCTCAGCCAACATATCACAATTTCTAACATGCTCATTTCCCAACTTAGCCAATTTCTACGCTGAAGATGGAGGCACCATGTTTCTCTTGAACACTAGTAACCATCCACCAAACTATGCATCAACTCAAATGACCATAAACTTAAAGTAGCTTATAAAGAAATTATTATGTATGAATAAAACAAAAAAGATACAGTACTTCTTTTGGACTTCACCCATCATCTGGTATGTAAAAGACAAAAGACCACGAAGTTTCGGAGACTGGATCTGTCTCCGTCTTCAGGTGGATAGGGAAGGATAAACCTACTCAATTGGGCCCGCTAGAAAGAGCTAGTCTCAATCACTGGACCTAACAATCACGCCAGTGATTGAGACTAGCTCTTTCTAGCGGGCCCAACTGAGTAGGTTTATCCTTCCCTATCCACCTGAAGACGGAGACACATCCAGTCTCCGAAACGTCGTGGTCTTTTGTCTTTTACATACCAGATGATGGGTGAAGTCCAAAATAAGCCAAAAGAAGTACAGTATACACCATCGTCAGAATCCTTTCAAGTCTAACCAAAAAAGATACAATTGAAGATGGCTATATGTCCTGTTATCGCCGTACATCTTGATACCTGTCAGCACAGGGCAGGGGCTGCATGCACACCAAAATACATTTCAGAAGACATCAATTCATATGTAACCTCTACACTTTGCTAAATGTGGTACCACGATCTAGCATGAGCAACCATCCTTCAATCAACGTTTTCTAAACAGCTGCCACACTATGAGGCTCCTCTGAATTTTAACCTAACTGTGCTGAGACCTCTGGCATGTGGCTCGCAAGACATCTAGTGATGACAGCAGTTTCCAGTACTGAGCAGGAAAATACTAAAATGACGGACACATGGAAGGACTCCGAATGCTAGTAGTGAAGGCTTATAGGCACCATTCTGGAGAGAAGAAGATGCAACAGAATAACACGTTTTGGACACATTTTAAGGACTGAACAGAAACAGAATTAAAAGGAAGGTTTTGGACATGAAAGTAAAAGGGAAATGCTCAAGAAGCACACTATTATTAATGCAGATAAGAGGTGAGGAAGACGTCATACAGAAAGAAAGATGAACATGGGAAGACCACAAAGACGAAAACAACACCGTCCAGTGTGAATATTTAAGTTTTATCACTTGAAAACTCATCACCCTTACATGTTTCGATCCCTACGGATCATCCTCAGAGGGCATCAATACTTTTTCTGGAAACTGCTATTACAATAAGTGTTAAATTATAGACATACACATATAATGTCTGAAATACACAATGTTCAATGCTGTGACTGTAAAAAGTTGAACACTGTGTACATTGTGTATTTCAGACATTATATGTGTATGTATATAATTTAACACCTATTGTAATAGCAGTTTCCGGAAAAAGTATTGATGCCCTCTGAGGATGATCCGTAGGGATCGAAACTTGTAAGGGTGATGAGTTTTCAAGTGATAAAACTTAAATATTCACACTGGACGGTGTTGTTTTCGTCTTTGTGGTCTTCCCATGTTCATCTTTCTTTCTGTATGACGTCTTCCTCACCTCTTATCTGCATTAATAATAGTGTGCTTCTTGAGCATTTCCCTTTTACTTTCATGTCCAAAACCTTCCTTTTAATTCTGTTTCTGTTCAGTCCTTAAAATGTGTCCAAAACGTGTTATTCTGTTGCATCTTCTTCTCTCCAGAATGGTGCCTATAAGCCTTCACTACTAGCATTCGGAGTCCTTCCATGTGTCCGTCATTTTAGTATTTTCCTGCTCAGNAGATACAGGCTTAGTTGCTAGGTCCCACAAAAGGTGGAACACCTAGAAGAGAAGAAGACTTAACAAATACATAAGTGTCAAAACTTGCTGTTCAAGCACTGACAGATGCTCACATGCACACACAATGGAAAGATTAGACACCACCTGCTTCATGTAATTTGTGAGATTGCTGGAATCAGAACCCGTATCATGTAAAGCCAATTTCTTGCTATTCTTTGGTTTCAGTTTGAATGACCATTCAATAATGGCAACCACTTCACCTGTTGTTGCATCTACACCAGCATATACTATGCTGCCTCTTGGACTGTGACCTAATGCATAACAAAAAATAAAATAAATTAACATACCTTAATAATATTTGTCTATGTATAACAGCCAGGTCTCATTTTCATAAAATCATATTTAAGTTAATTTTATGAGAACAGATATATGTATCTTATCTGCAGTCTGTCATACCTAAACATGTACCACGGTAAATCTGTCTCTCACCCCGATGAGTGAACTGCATAAGTTTTGTTCCCTTATGACTGCATGGGGAACTCACGTTGCTCTCTGATGAGCTCTGACTCCTGCAACAAACAGAATTGAATAGTTTGATTTGTTTCATTCTGGTACATCACAATAACAATTACAATTATAAATCACTCCGTCCAATGTGACTTGTAAGTTCTTTACTACACAAAAACTTAACATCCTTACATGTTTCAGTCTCTGTGGACCATCTTCAGAGGGCAAACATCACTACAATTAGGAAACCACCATCACATAATTTGTTTACACGTAAAGTACGTACACTTATATGCTACCATACATAGTACACAGAATAGAACATATCACAAACACAGCAGTTTCCTGGGAATGTAAAGTTTTTTAAAAAATTGTATAAAATTCCTTGATGCTAATTAAAAGTTTTTTAGATTGTCAAAAATTAAAATTCGTAAACCATGCAGGCTCGTGTTCGTCCTCCCATCGTCTCTCTTATATGGGGCAGATACTGTGCCACCTGGCTATCTTGATGTGGAGGTTCTTTATATTCTTTCTTTATTCTTTATATACAGTGAAAACAGCACAGCAGCCATGGGCAAACCCTGGACGATATAAAGCACAGGTGGAAGGATTAGGCCAATTGAAAAATCCAATGGCATAGTGCCTCAACCACCTACGCTACCACGTGACCCTTCTATTTACTTTCACGAATATGATATCAAAGGTTTATACAATATCATGTTTGTTCTTTAAAACATTAAAGGAGTTAAGGGCAGAACTCAGAGAAGCAGACACTCCTATTGCAAAGGCTTCCAGTTGTACAAACTGTGCTTTTCATGTTGCACTTCAGTAATGTTAACTGCTCCCAAGGCCCCTACCCAGACTCCATGGTTGGAGATTCAGTGCTTCTCATTTTTACAGCCCATTGAGAAAGAGCTTGAATGACTCATTTTGATTTTCTCCATACATAAGGCAATAATAATATCACAACATCTTTCTGGAGTGAGAATGTCTCTGCCTGAACACATGTCATTTGTCAGGAATGTTTTCTTACTCCCCATATTCTGAAGCTAGTTTCGGCCCCCTTACAAGTGACTGTTCAAATTACAAGCTTCTGAAGGAATTTAAGAGAGGTAGGTCTGATCGTGCTCAGAAAGGTTAGCAACGAGACTATTCTTTTCCTGTTTGTGAAGTTAGAAGATGCAGAGGACCTGTTCTGCAAATTTCTCTTGGAAAAAAGTGAGTTTAGAGGAGGAAGTGAGTTATGTCACATGAGTGGGTGCACAAGACTTCCACATTCCATTCCTTCTACTCAGAGTCATGAGGACAAACCCATGGAGAGAAATGACTGTTATTTATGTTTCTGAATCAATCAGTCTGAGCTTTTTCTTTTGTGGAATTCAAAGGAAGAGACATGTGGAGGCCTGCTAGCACAGATCACCACCATATCCAAACTTTGGGATAACTTTTTTCAAACACATCAGTTGCAGATGTCCTCTATCTATTATCTCTACTAGAAATTCAAGAGTAGCTGTACATGGCAAATATAACCTTTGTGAAACTAATATTAGTTAGTAAATAAATTGCTTGGATATACTATAATGCTTACAGTTCCAAACTGCAAGTGTTCTGTTCTGATATTCTGTGTTTAAATATGAGAAAGTTAATTAATACTTTAATGCAAATTATGAGTCCTTCCCTAAAGTGATGTCCCTTTACAATAATACTGAGGCTGAAAAGGAACCCTGGGTTTGAAGTTGACTATCCAAATGCAGTCATGCTGACATATCACACACTGATTCATCACCTACTATTCCCCTTGACACTTAAAACTTCTGTGAGTGACTAAATGCTAGCTGTAGCCAGCCTTCCAGATCTTGTTCACTATCAGACTGGGATGAGGGCTGTGTGTAGAAATGCTTATAATCAAACAATAAACTGCAGTGTAGTTCAGGTATTGGCATGCTAAGCTTGCGAGAAGATGTTTACCGATTCAATCCTAGTAAAATCAGAGTTTCCTTACTGCTTACAATTGTAAGTATGTTATGACACGCCATCACTATCACTGTCTCTAATGCCATTACTATGTTAAGCAATGATTTTTAAACCATTAACTCTGTTAAATATAACCTTAAACTTTCACGCCATGTTTTAAATTCTTGATTTGCAAACAATATTCCACAACAGCAGATTGGGTTCAGTTCCAGTTCAAGTCATACAGGATTTGTGATGGACGAAGTGGAAGGTTTCCTCAGAGTACTTCAGTTTCCCCATGGAACCTAAACCGTGCAGTCAGTATAGTGACTGGCTACAGGCTGAATAACCGAGGAGTTAGAATTCAAGTCCCAGTAGGGCCAGAAATTGTCCCTTCTCCACGTTATCCAGACCATCTCCGGGTCCACTCAACCAATGGGCATCAGGGACTCTTTCCCCAGGGGTAAAGTAGCCAGAATGTGAAGCTGACCACTCACCTCCAACCAGTGTTGAGGTCAAGAAGATGTGGATCTATACATCCACTCCTCCATACATCTTCAAGGCATAGTGCTTAATTACTTAAGCACAGGGACAACTTTTATCTTTTTATTTCAGTTTCCCCTGAAAACTCTGATTCCACCAACTCCTCAATANGATGCAGAGGACCTGTTCTGCAAATTTCTCTTGGAAAAAAGTGAGTTTAGAGGAGGAAGTGAGTTATGTCACATGAGTGGGTGCACAAGACTTCCACATTCCATTCCTTCTACTCAGAGTCATGAGGACAAACCCATGGAGAGAAATGACTGTTATTTATGTTTCTGAATCAATCAGTCTGAGCTTTTTCTTTTGTGGAATTCAAAGGAAGAGACATGTGGAGGCCTGCTAGCACAGATCACCACCATATCCAAACTTTGGGATAACTTTTTTCAAACACATCAGTTGCAGATGTCCTCTATCTATTATCTCTACTAGAAATTCAAGAGTAGCTGTACATGGCAAATATAACCTTTGTGAAACTAATATTAGTTAGTAAATAAATTGCTTGGATATACTATAATGCTTACAGTTCCAAACTGCAAGTGTTCTGTTCTGATATTCTGTGTTTAAATATGAGAAAGTTAATTAATACTTTAATGCAAATTATGAGTCCTTCCCTAAAGTGATGTCCCTTTACAATAATACTGAGGCTGAAAAGGAACCCTGGGTTTGAAGTTGACTATCCAAATGCAGTCATGCTGACATATCACACACTGATTCATCACCTACTATTCCCCTTGACACTTAAAACTTCTGTGAGTGACTAAATGCTAGCTGTAGCCAGCCTTCCAGATCTTGTTCACTATCAGACTGGGATGAGGGCTGTGTGTAGAAATGCTTATAATCAAACAATAAACTGCAGTGTAGTTCAGGTATTGGCATGCTAAGCTTGCGAGAAGATGTTTACCGATTCAATCCTAGTAAAATCAGAGTTTCCTTACTGCTTACAATTGTAAGTATGTTATGACACGCCATCACTATCACTGTCTCTAATGCCATTACTATGTTAAGCAATGATTTTTAAACCATTAACTCTGTTAAATATAACCTTAAACTTTCACGCCATGTTTTAAATTCTTGATTTGCAAACAATATTCCACAACAGCAGATTGGGTTCAGTTCCAGTTCAAGTCATACAGGATTTGTGATGGACGAAGTGGAAGGTTTCCTCAGAGTACTTCAGTTTCCCCATGGAACCTAAACCGTGCAGTCAGTATAGTGACTGGCTACAGGCTGAATAACCGAGGAGTTAGAATTCAAGTCCCAGTAGGGCCAGAAATTGTCCCTTCTCCACGTTATCCAGACCATCTCCGGGTCCACTCAACCAATGGGCATCAGGGACTCTTTCCCCAGGGGTAAAGTAGCCAGAATGTGAAGCTGACCACTCACCTCCAACCAGTGTTGAGGTCAAGAAGATGTGGATCTATACATCCACTCCTCCATACATCTTCAAGGCATAGTGCTTAATTACTTAAGCACAGGGACAACTTTTACCTTTCTATTTCAGTTTCCCCTGAAAACTCTGATTCCACCAACTCCTCAATATACATTAATCATCCTATATTCAATGCTACACGGTCTTGATACTGACAGTGTCATTAAATAATAAACAAACAAATAATATCTTAATCTGAAGGATGTTTTATAATGTATCCTCATATAACTCTCTACTCCCATCCATTTGGGTTCTAAATCAGTTTAGACTTTCACTTCTTAGCCACCCAGCTCCCAGATGGTACATTCTGTACCTATAGTTACTAAAGTGCACTTTTAGGACTTCAGGTAATAGGTACAAAGTTACTGTATGACTAAAAGTAAGAATATAGTTTGTCTTTTTGTATTGTTCATGTACACACTGACTGCACTGCAAGAGGATAAGATAGTAGCACAACTGTTTACAAAATTGACTGAATCTATCCACAAATGCTCCCCTGAAAAAGCAGTACAACATGACTGTTCTCACTCAACAGACTTTTCTAATTTCTGACCACAGATATATGAATCCAGACATGCCCCCCCCCCCACACACACACATGATCCATTCTACTTTATCATATTTTCTTGAATGCCCCATGCAAAATTTTCCAACTATATTAGAACCAAAAATTGGGATCCATGATTTATTCATGGTGAGGTTGGCAATAATACTCATTCCACAAAACATTCTAACTTTTGCAGTGTTGACTTCTCTTTGTGTCCCATCAGCAGCTGCAGTATACAATTGGATGTTAAGTTGTGACACACTAAGCACATGTATGTAAACTGCGTAACACTACAAGAGGCATGTGTTTATAACCTGCAGACCAGTTCTGATGGCCTTCAATACTGTAGAGAAATGGATCCCTTTATCTTATTGAACAGGTCAGGGAAATGAATATAATGTCATAACCAAAAACACTTGCCCCATTTGCAATGCTGAACTTAGTTCTGATTCCACAGAATATAATTTAACATCATTTCATGATGAAGCATTTTCTATTCTAGTTTACATGCTATCACACCAATGGCATTCAGAGTTGAGACCTCAATACAACTTATTAAATTTAGGTTGAACAACTGTCTCCAATTTCCCTGTATAACCACAAATGATATACTTTAATGTAGAATTCTTGAACAGTAAATATAATGGAGATAATAATAGCAGTAATAAGACCACTAGTTTCACAAGGAAAGAGAACTTTATCATCAAAATTAAAAATAAAATAAATCAAACTACTATTTAAGTGTAACTGTAGCTTGAAGAACAGATGCAGAAATAAGACTACAAAAAATAAAATATTTTAAGGTGATTACAGGTAAAGGTAAAGTCCTGTACTTAACCAATGAAACACTATGCTTTGAAGGTGTATAGGGGAGTGCATGTATAGATCCACATTTTCTTGACCTGCACTAGCCGGAGGTGAGTGGTCAGCTTCACACCCGGGCTGTTTTAACCTTGGGGAAAGAGTCCCCGGTACCCATTGGATAGGACGTTGGGTGGACCCCAGAGGCAGTCTGGATGATGTGAAGAAGAGAAAATTATTGATCATACTGGGGCTTGAACTCCAACCCCTCAGTCGTCCAGCCTGAAGCCAGTCACTATACCGACTGCAATATCCCAGCTCCTCTTAAGGTAATTACATGTCCTAAAAATATAAATATATACCAATTATATTTCACAGTCCTGTATAATGCACCCAGTCTGCACCGACTGCACTATCCCAGCTCCTCTTAAGGTAATTACATGTCCTAAAAATATAAATATATACCAATTATATTTCACAGTCCTGTATAATGCACCCAGTCTGCACCGACTGCACTATCCCAGCTCCTCTTAAGGTAATTACATGGCCTAAAAATATAAATATATACCGATTATATTTCAGTCCTGTTGCAGAACGGTCCTGTATAATGCACCCAGTCAAAACCAAAACCTGACAACCATCTGTGTAAGAATACTCCACCTCCTCCTGGAGTTTGAACAGCTGCGCACATAACTGCAGCTCTGACTTCTCTCAGCATGCCCAGGATGGTTACTGTTAACAGGTGAAGCTTTGTCGTCATCAGCAGACCTGCACTGACTCCTCTGACGTCGCTGCTCCTCCTTCAGGGCTTCCTGCTTTCTTTGGATTTCATCCTGAATTGCCTGCCTCTGCAAAAGCCATAAAGGCAGAAAGAATACATTGCAGTACAAAAGTGAACATTAAGTTCTGTGCTTATGCCCACCATTATGATTCCAGAAGGGGACACAAAGGTCAAGCTCCTCGCATTCTTAACGCTGGCACTGACATTGGGGTCCATCATTACTTTCATTAGATAGCCCCAGAACCAGCATGGACATGACAAACAGAAAAATCCCTGACAGGGATCAAACACTGGTTATCTATGAGGGTCACTTTTAAAGTCAGAACTGTTTTGTTATAAACAAAATAAAACTTTATTCATCCAAATAATTTTAATGTCACTACTAGATACAACTCTAGGATTGCCATGGCAAAAGCTGCATTTAGCAAGAAGAAGAATCTTTTTACCAGCAAATTGGACTTAAATTTGAGAAACAAACTAGTGAAATGCTACATTTGGAGCTTCGCTTTGTATGGGGCTGAAACTTGGACACTTAGGGCAGTAGATCAGAAACACGTGGAAAGCTTCGAAATGTGGTGTGGGAGAAGGATGGAGAAGATCAGTTGGACCGATTATGTGAGAAATGTAGAAGTGTTATTTAGAGTCAGTGAGCAGAGGAATATCTTACACGAAATAAGAAAACGGAAGGCTAATTGGATTGGTCATATCTTACGCAGTAACTGCGTTCTAAAAGAAGTTATTGAAGGAAAGATAGAGGGGCGGATAGAAGCGACCAGAAGACGAGGAAGAAGACGTAAGAAGATGCTGGGTGACCTTGGGGACAGAAGAGGATATTTTCACTTGAAGGAGAAAGCTCTAAATCGCATCAAGTGGAGGAACTGTTTTGGAAGAGACTGTGGACCTGTCGTCTTGATAGATTACAGATGAATGAACTAGATACAACATACTGTGGTGTATTTGCTCCACGTAAGAAAGGCTGAGCCACAGGAACAGCCGCTTCTAAGTAATGCATGCAGGCAACAATGGAACAATGGAGTTATGCAACCCGCCTCTACGCAATGGCTCCATAAACACACTTCTTAGTGCTTAGCTATCGTGCGACTTGTGTATTCTGTGTGGTCTGTGCTGTGCAACAGGAGAACTGTGTTTTCTGCTTTGTCTGTGCCACAGCTACATAACACAAGTCTGCTCCCAGCTAAGAAGTGTTTTTAGTTGAGTTCTGAGGTTCCAAAGCAACTGATGACACACTGATAAGAAGACTTCATAGCAATTTGAAGTGATAGTTCCTTGTTGAGATCTGTTACCATGTGACGACTAATGTGTGTGTAACAGTGAATTATAAAGTCTAAATCTGGGACAGTACCCTATTGATTGTAATTAAGAGAGATTGTAACCAAAGCGCCAATAAATCCAAACTAGAAACAGTTATTTCCGTCAAGCATACACCGCTACACGTGACAACATGTGTACCCTTCTATGTAGTCCCCATCGCAATTCAGGCATTTGTCCAGACTTTGCACAAGCTCGATGATCCCCTCATCACAGAAGTTGCCTGCCAGTCCATTTAACCAATCTGTAACTGCTTGTGCTCATCTGTGAGCATTCTTGGAACCCATCTGGCATAAATTTTTCTGAGACAGACTTGAAAGGATTCTGACGATGGTGTATACTGTACTTCTTCTGGCTTATTTTGGTCTTCATCCATTGTCTGGTATGTAAAAGACAAAAGACCATGACGTTTCGGAGACTGGATCTGTCTCCGTCTTCAGGTGGGTACGGAAGGATAAAACCTACTCAGTTGGGCCCGTTAGAAAGCGCTAGTCTCAATCACTGGACCAGTGATTGTGCCCTTTAGAAAGAGCAAACTCATTAAGCTCATCAATAACGAATTACCTGTTTTCAGGAACATGAGCATCAACCATGTCTTTGAAATCCTCAATGATGACTGACTCATGTCCAGATAATGCTTCACCGTGCACATCTGTCCTTCCTCCATTAAACAAGCGACACCACTGAGGCACACTCCCCTCATTCATGATAACTTCCTCATACACTTTGACAAGTTGGTGATGGATTTTAGCAGGGCGTATGTTTTTCACATTCAAAAATCGAATCACCAAACGCACCTCACAATCGGAGGGATTAGTGATTAACATGGTTCTTTATAAAGCACTGTGACACAGCAACCAATTCACTCAATGGCTTGACATACACTACTGGGGCTGTGACAGAGGGTCTGACAACAGCTCTCAAAGTTAAAAAACTCCAGTCACTGACCTGCATGAGCAGCATGCGCAAATGGTTCTTACTTTAGAAATGAGCAATGTACCCAAAAGCCAAGCCCTCTTACAGACTGAATATCACAGTGCCTGTTAAAGAAATTACAGCAGATGAAATGTATAACAAAATATCCTGTGCTTTCTCTTACCCATTTCCTTTCTCACTAACCATATAACTTGAACTGTGTTCCAGCGTCAAATGCCACTTCAAACTTAACAACTGGAAAGATACTCCAGACTGTGTCACAATAACAAGATTACCTATGTAAGATTTGAGGCTTTCATGGCGGTGACTATGAAGAAAGCAGACTTCTGGGATTTGGCACCGTGTATATGTGGTGTTAACCGACGTTCCTCCGAAATGTCGGTTAACACTACATATACATGGTGCCAAATCCCAGAAGACTGCTTTCTTCAACAAGATTACCTGTTTGTCTTCCTTCTGTTTCTTGATCAGCTGCTGTTGTTGTTGCTGCTTCTCCTGGAGTGACAACATCTCCTCGTAGAAAGATTTAAATCCTGGTTTGTTGTGAACATGGAGGAATTTCTGTAACAGGTAATGTGAGTTGAAAACATAAAGAGAACCGAGTACTACATTAAAACTTCAATAACAAAACAAGATACTAGTTCATCTGAAAACTTCCATCATTTTCCTAACCCATGTTCAAGCACATGACACTGGAGGGGCACACTTTGAACAGAAGAAATCTATAGATTAAACAAGAAGTTCTGGGAAGAATTAATCACCTACTTTCCTTTGATACCTCATGGACCACAGAGAAAATGACACCTCCAACATTTTTTTGTTGCCATGGAAATGTCTTTATTGAGTTGCTACCTAGCAACGATAGGGAGATACACAGACAGACTCACAGACACATGCACCCAACAATTCCTCTATTATTGCATGTATTCAATGCCAAAGGAATGTGTTTACCAGGCCACTGCCTAGCAACGAAAGGAGGGATAAACTTTACTGAGCCTTTACCTAGCAACGACAGGGGGCTACACATACAGACACACAGACTGATGGGCAATATTTAAGAAGTGTGCCATTCAGATGGGCTCAGGTGCCGTGATATACATACCATGTCTCATAAAAATCGATTCAGGAATTCAAAAGTTAATAAGGTGGGACTCGCAGACACACAGACAGCATGTAACTCACATATGCTTATTTTATTTTTTTTAAATGAGAGTAGGGTAAAAAAAAATATATTTTGAGGAAAAATTAAGTCAGTTTTTGTATGACAAACTGTTGAGGAAAAAAATACTGTGACAAGAACAAAAGTCACTTTTCCTGGATTAGTTAATTTCACAACCATCTGAGTATGTTTTTTGGAAGCTGGCTTAACTCCACAAGTGGCATGTAACAGCAACCTGTATTTTTCACCAAATACTATTAGGGCGTTCAAATCGAGAGAAATGAGATGTAGGCACCACACATGGGAGATGAGAAATTCATATACAGTTTTCATCAGAAAACCTTAGGTAAGAGACAACTTGGAAGACCTAGGCATATATGGGAGGAGAATATTAATTATAAAGATAAAATGCGAGTGTTGGCCTATGGGAAGCTCTTCTGAACATAGTAATGTGCCTTAGGATTACATAAGAGGCTGGAATTCCTTGATTGCCTGAGAAAATTGGCCTTTCATAAAGGACTTTGCTCCATGGAGTTGGTCATTTAGGGGAAAATAATATTTCTGTGTGGATTCCTCTATCATTCTGAATGCAATCAGTTTAGTCACCCCAGCAGTAAAATAACACACAGTGTTTCAGTCTTATGCATCAACAAGCCGACAACAATGAGATGTCCTGTCTGATAAATAACTGCAAGAAAAGCTGGAGGCTAGTGACTCTGAAAAGTTTAATACATTCTGATTATGATAATGATAATTAAATTGCTAACTATGCTCTTCTTGATAATGATGCAAATGATGACAATGATCTTCGGAATTTTATTTTGGAAGATATGAAAAACTGCAGGAATTATAAAGAAAATTTAACAGGTAGTTCCAATCCACAAAGCATAATGAAATGAGTGTGCAATGCTCTGGATATATAAATCGGCAAAGAACTTTTGAAATAACTGATAAAACAAACACACATTTTGACCACTTCCGCTGGGAGCAAACTGAGAGGGCAGAAACACAACAGGAAGGTGTGATATGCGTCTCAAGCATGGAAAGAAGAAAGACATTGTTTACTGATGCAATGCTGGCCTCTGCATAAATCTTTAGAGGGTTATTACAAAAACCTCAACTGTTAAAACACTACTAATATCATGTTCAACGCTTCCTAATAATTTTGAAATCTAACTTCCAAATATTACTTTTAAAAAACATATTAAGTCAGTTGTATGATTCTGTAATTTTTTTGAACATAATGTGAAAACTGGTTAACATTCTATTAGAGCCTCTCTTCAACCACAAAAATTAAATTAACATGTTTTAAGTAACATATTTAACTACATCAAACTTGTTTACTCTGAGCTGTTCTGCCCGTTGCACACAATGACAGATGTGCATAAAATATTATTTTCATTTCAAGACCATATAATTTTGGGGGTGTCAATAATAATCAAGAGTGGCCTATATTTGGACAAATATAGTGATCCTGATTTATAAGTTGTCTATATTAAATGTATCACTTTCTTGGTCTAAAATTTGAATGTTCTTTGTCTTCAATGGAGGACATTATTTAAACGTCCGGCTGCATTGGAGGGTTACTTAAGCTTTAATCTGAAAATAATTAAACTTCATAGTTTTGATAAAAACACTTGTACAGAAATTTATAAAATACATCACTGGAAATGAGTAAGTGTCCTATCATGACTACGTCAATCATTATTATGCAAAGTATTACACATAATCACAAGTTGAGGCCTATCTACCTTGGTCTTCCCTAAGACACCACAAATAAAGCACAGCAACACACAAAGTTATGATGATGATACAACAAACTGTGTGGTCAACCTTCAAAAGGGAATGCAGTTACTATGCTACATAATACATTTCTCAGGAGGTCTAAACGTGCAGACCTGTTCTTCAGATTTCTCTGCAGTAACAAAGTCACTGACATGGGGTGCTGCCCCCAAAGTCAAGCATTTTTCATGCCTATAAAGCTGTCAGATATTAAAATTAAAATTAGTTTCTTTAAAACTCCATCATATATATCCATTGTCTCAATATAGAGTGACATTTTAATTTCAAGCTCCCATATTTTAAATTTTTCATGAATTTATGCATGTTTTGTATGGTCCCAGACAAATGTCCAAAATAACATTAAATTTTAACCGATCTTACATTTCTGAAACTGCATTTACATTTAAATTGCTACACTGTTACACTGTTCAAACATGTATATTTTAAATATTCTTCCGAAGTTATGGTATAAGGCAAAGCACATTTTTCTTTATCTTGCATCATTCTCATTCCCCAGATTTCACTATGTTCAATTGTATGTTTATTTTTGGCAAACCTCTAAAATGTGTAAAATCGAGTTTCACTGTATTCTGTTTAAAATCCCACCTTCTGCACTAACATCCTTCTGTAGTTTAGTGAAATGGTGATCTTACAGATAACTGTCCACTGGATGCACAGATGTTGCTGTTTATGTCAAAAATAAATTTCCAGATTGCTCTAGACAAATAATGGCATGACAACATAGTTATGTTTTCTTTCTTCTTCTTCCTCCTCCTTTGACATTTCCACTTTTAAATCCTCTTCTTTTATACCTGCCACCCCAAAGTCTTCCTCCTAAATTCCCTCTCATGCTCATCCTTCCTTCAGCTTAATCTTTCCTAATATATTATTCCCATCTTGATTTCATCTTGCTGTTGGGCAGTTTCCCTTTATTTTCATGCTCAAAATTTTCTTAATACTTCGCGGACGGGTGATTTAAATATTTAAATCACCCTGGGGACTGGCATTTTTAAACATACTACCCTAACTTGTGCACTGTTCACTTTAAAAATTTATATAAAATCTCCTAATTAATTTTATGAACTAAAATTTTTGGAGAACACTTACCAATGCTCCTAGAAGTGCTTGAGGGTGTGATATTTCTGGAAACTTTCCCCTTTGTGAAGTGACAAACTTGCAAATGTAGACATACTCCTTTTTTTGTGAACTGTGCAAACACGGCATTGCCTAGAAGTATTCTTCCCCTTGGAATGTTCACTCTTCACAATTTTCACGAGGGTATTTTTCGGCATATCACTCAAGAGTCGCCCTGGGGGGTCCACATGAGGCCTTCGTGGGGTGGGAGTTGATGGCCCCGGTCGTACTAAGTCTTTGTGTGACCCTGGTTCCGCCGCCACCATCTGGACTGTAGCCCAGGCCTTTGCCACATTCATCAGAAATGCTTTGTATTTCAATTCTGAATCAGGGTTTAGATTTTTTGCTGTCCCCGCAATGTTACTATGCGCAATGTTATTACCCGCATTATCATCGGAGCTACTGTCACTTTTACTGTCTGTGGCCACAATTCTTTGTTGTTCCCCNTACAGTGTTGCAACTTATCATGTTCTAAAAGCCTGTTAACATGTGAACGGTCCGCCATGTTTAAAAGCGAAAAACCTTTTAAAGGGTGTGTGGTCCGCAAAGTGTTAAGTATTCTCTCAATTTGTTCTTAAAACACACACATGTCATCTTATGAAAATAAAATAAAAAGAAAAGTTGTCCCTGTGTTCAACTTAGCATCATGCCAAGAAGGCAAGCAGATGTATAGATCCAAGCATTCTCTCTTATTTATTACTTTATCATCCAATGTATTTATGTTTCTATAGATTACCTTTCCTTTACATTCTTTCCCTATACTCTCATAATGTCACTGCATTCAGAGGTCATTAAACATCACAAGAGGTAATAAAATTAGTAAATGTATACAAACACATACTTTCAAATGGGGCGGTCAACACAACAATAACAATAATGTTATTAACATAACAACATTCACTTATTTGTGCAGTTCTTATTGAAACATGTTTTGACCTTTCCTTTTAGGTAATCCTCAGGCAATGCACAATCAATAGCGTAAGTCCATGAACTGTGTCAAGGTATTAAATATGAATCCATATTTTAGTAGGGGTTAAATTATTATAATTTTGATGTATACAATTAAAATTACAAGTTGCAATTAGAAAGATTAAGAAGATTAAAAACACAACAGGATGCATACTTTGAAAGTATAAAAATACCTTCTGGGACATGTGGTAGTGTAGTTGGTTGAGGTACTATTCTCCAAGCTGGAAGGTTGCAGATTCAAGTCCCGATGAGATCAATGGATTTTTTTCAATTTACCTAATCCTTCCACCCATACTATAGCCCTGGGGTCAACCCAGTCTCTAATAGAAATGAGTACCAGGAATATTCTTGGAATATTCTTGGGGGTAAAGGTCAGCTGGTGCGTAGGGCTGACAACCTTATCGCCATCTATGAGCCAATTGTCTAGAAAATTTGGGAACCTCAACATCTCACAACCCTATCGGCCTCCACAGCCTGTTAAAGGGATACCTTTACTTTATTTTCTATGTATACAATATACATTAACTAGGGGTTACTCACTTTTACATGCTGAGCAAGTTCAAATATCATCACTTCACCCTTAAGTTCCTGAGCTAAACTCACTAACTCAGACTGTAACTGGACAACATGCTGATGTGAGAGACCCTTGCTCTTCTCAAGTTCAATCTTTGGTACCCTGAGAAAAGAGAACAAGCAGAACAATTAGATGACAAAGGTTAACTGAACACTAAAATGCTGTATCAAACATACACATATATGCAATCCACATGACTGTCCTCATGTGTCATCTGACAAGTAACCTCTGTAATTCATACAAATGTTACATAATCTATGAATCAAATAACCAAAATAAATTAAAGTCTGTATAATGTATTTTGTATTTCTTTTGTGGTTTATTTTACAATGCTGTCAATATCTCAGACTATATATAAAGTGGTACAATGAGTGATGATGAATCTTAATTAATTTCAAAAGCAGTCATGGCCCAATCGAAGCAGGTACCATCCCAGATACCGTCTGGAGGGACTGAGAAAAAACACAAAAAAAAATCAGTCAGGACATGTGGTGTCCTGCCAAAGATCTGAATCAAGAACCTCCCAAATACAAGTGCTACCACTACAGAAACATGTCAAGTTATTTTGCATCAGTTACTGGGTAGGCAGTATTATATTTCAATCTGGACATACACAAACTAGATCAAACTGAAAATGATTCATAAACAGAAGTCCAGACAGATCACAATAATGAAACATGTGAGAACAAAATAAACAATTGCCCTTTTCACTGTCCAATATAACAAATATCTCAAAATCATGAAGTTCAGACCTGTACTTGCAAATGATACCCGAACAGAGAAAAACAAAATGTTGACCCAGGAGTTGGTACCATGCCTCTGTACGATGTACTGCTGTACAGGAGGAAAGGGTTGAATATACATTCTATTCTTAAGAGTGGACAGGTATTGTAGTTACTACTACTACTACTACTACTGCTACTACTACCACTGCTAATTAGCTGTGAAGCCTAACAGATATAAAGTGTGACTGGTTTTTAAATTACTTAATGACAATGCTACAATTGCAGAGATTAAGTAAGCATTATCACCAGTACATGTACAATAGGACATATGGAAGCTGATGTGCTGAGGGGATCTAATATGGATTCCACCTCACTATATGAAACCTTAAATATTGTAATCTACTGTACCCTATTGTAGACAATAAGTATTGTAACTTTATTCTCTTATTGTAATCAGCCAATGTACAGTAACTGACTTGTCCTATATCATGTAACAATGATTTATAGAGACAAAATAAATAAATAAACTCCCTGGAGCCCAGGCCTTCTTGAAATGTTGCTGGTAATACTCAATCAGCTAATCAACCAAACTCCTCATCTTTTATAGAACCTGAAAGTTTATTACAAGGTTCTCAGAAGCTGCCACTAGTTCCTATCCTGAAGCCAGATTAATCCAGTCCACATATCACATTCTGTTCCTCTAGGATACACTCCCATGTATTCCTAGTTCTATTGAATTGAAAAAATGCTGAGCTACATACAAGTACGATATGGAATAATTATCAAATGTTGAAGAAAAATTCTATACCACTGAAATATCCTGTCATGTGTCTGGGGTTCTGTGACCAATAATAAAGAGTTCTGGATTGGCTGATTAGATTTATTAACACTTCTTTACAATTACAATCAATTATGACAGTTCATAATCGATGACAGTCTAAGACTAGCTCCATTCCTCACCAGACTACGAGTGTCTTCTCTTCTACTGTGACTGACTTGGTTCTGCTTTAAAACTCGGTCACTTCCTCACCTTCCGTTGTCCACTGGTTAACACACCACAGCTGAACACCCACTTTGGAATTCCCTTATGACCAAATGATTGAACTCACAAATAAACCCTCCTGAACTAAACTCTGAATAAATTGAAACAAGTATGTGTCCCTCTTTTATAACTCGGGATGAACCAAATATAGATCACCATCCCCAACAGTTCATCTACCACTGCATTGTCCACTCGTCACGGTATGTCTCTTAGTGAGCCATTGTCTAGCAATGGACCATTCCAGCTTTCAGGTGTCATGTCACATTATGATTATATTTTTGGGAGAGGACAACTGCTGAGCATGTGCTGCACTCTATAGCTAGCAAACTAAACAAAATCCTTAGTTTCAAAGATGAAAAAGCAAGGACTGGAGGATATAGAATGGTCATAAATTTACAGCATTTAAACAACACAAAATGGAAAAGCAGTGTAATATTTTTAACATAAACATTCCCAGGTATACCAACTTATACATCAACATCAACTCTGATTTCTCTGTGTACTTCTATTTCCAAATTCATTCATATTTTACAGCATGTTTCAGTTAGACTATGAAACATTTCAATGACAAGAAGAAATAACTTAATTTATCCATTAAGAAAATCAACTGCCAAATACAAAATAATTCAGTAAAAACTGATCTTTACTGTTCTGGGTACTGCTCTGAACATGTCACATGAAGGTCAATATGAGCATGCACTTCCTGCAGACCACTGCTTCCTTGCTGAGGTGTCAATGTGATCACAATTTCAAGAGGACGCCACACATTCCAGGCTTCCTTTTCACGAACATCCTGCAGTTCATGGGTGAAGATAGCCTGCAAAAATAGGTCTGCACTCAATTTGATTTTACAAGTCAAGGCGAACTTAATTCATGAAAGAGAATTCAGGGATAGTATCTTAACTTTCAGAAGGCAATGTAATGGGCTACCTGTATATTTCTTTTCAATACCATATGGTTAACTACAGATCACAGCAAAAAATAAGTAACACTGAATAAGGGTAAAAGATGAAAGAGATTACCCTGTAAACATTACACACAGACTCTGAAGATTACTCAAAAGATTCAACTATGATGGAGGGAAAAACAGCTGGATGGATGGACAGTCAGACAGGCATAAATTCACACACACATATCTCATACATGCATCACAGCTCTCTCTCCCTCCCCCTCCCTATCCTGACAAAAGGAAAATTAATTATACTGAGCTCCTGGACCAGATAATATAAATACACCTGAATACAGGCAAAATAAAAAAAAAAATAATAATGAAGAGGGAACCACATCAAAATGTCCACACAAATAAGAGGCAACATCCATCTACCCAATATTATCAAAAGGAGATCAGTTAGAATGCCAAAACCACCAACGCATTACCTTGCTGAATTCAACCTACAAAATCTCTTTACAATTTACAATATATTACACATGTGATTATTACCCCACCAGGAAAACATAACTGGGACTTCTTACCAGTGTGCAATTACAATTGTAAAGTCTACTACATATCAAGCATATGCTCTAAGGCCGATAACAGCAATGACATCAGATACAACACCCAAAACACATTTCATCTCTTGGTAACCTTCTAAAGCTGCTCATGATAGCATAAAGAGATACACTATATATTGCAATGGAGGAACTGCAAATACCCTTGAAATTAATTACACAAAACCTGCAATGAAGTGTGGGAGCTATGGAGTGAAACTGCATATGACCTGTAAAATAATCTCTGCTACAAGAAGAGGATTGAGATAAGGTAATGTTCTGGCATGTGTTCTTTTAATAATACACTTGAAAAATTCAATCACAAACTGAAAGCAGTGGAACTATATATTATAAACCAATTCAAATATTAGCCCATGCAAATGGCATTGATGTTACAGGAGATCAAATACCCAATTTCCGACTGTGAGAATACACAGTTTATATAACTGAGAATATTAATTATGATGAGCAACACTAAGAAAGAACAGAAGTAAAACATCAGATGGTAAAGCAAAGACATGTTACTGTGGACTCAAAACTCAACTGAGACATTAGCTTAACAAAGACCAACGACAAATTATATAAAATACTTCTGCGACCTGTTCTTATATACATAATAGTATATATGTGGCATTTATTGAAAGTGATAAACATAAGCTAAAAATATCTTAAAGAAAAACTCTTATAAAAATGCATGGTCCCACTAATGAAAATGAACTATGGCAAATAAGATACTATTTCAAACTATACAGGGAAGTCATCTGAGGGTCTGCCACAAATCCTTCGGCTGGTCAGGTGGTAAGTCAACATATCACTCACATCATCTCATGTTCTATACATTTGTATTCATGGCATAGTCAACAGGCCTACAGTCTATATACACTGCAATTCTCTCCAGTATCACATCAATATATCTTTGAACAGCTATTATGAACCATCTTCAGTGTAACATGCCTGTTGGCTATCATCCCAAGCCCTTGCTACTGCTTTAACCTTTTCTGGTCAAACGTCGATATATAATCAACATGGTAACTCTTCTACCACAAACAAATGTCGATATATTATTGATAGAGTTTGTTTCGTGTTTCTGCGGTCATATTTCGATCATACGACATTAGTTGGCACTGCAGGCTATACCAATGAATGTTTTGTCTGCCTCCTTTTGCCATCTGGAAGTCATAATTTGAACTTCTTGTGGAACGAATGTTATTTATATATTATGGCATGTCATACGTTAGTAGCATGCTTCTACGTTCAGCTAAACCATGGCCCTCTGGATTGAAGAAACTAGATATAATCCCTTGTGTGATGTGGATGAAGAATCTACTAGTGATATGTTAAGTGAAGAACTTGATATTGACTATGATGATCAGATTAATTTGGAAATTTAAGGAGCAACTGCGAGTGAAGAATTGGGCAAAGAAATGTCGGAAAGTGAGAGTGAAACAAATTTTGCTGCATGTTGGTGGATGGGAAGAAGTGACTTTGGGAGATGGTGCATGTGAGGAAATGATGCCACTGAATAAAGCAATTGGGCCATTAAAAAGAAAAGAAAGTACATGGGGTGATAAAACATATAGAGAAACAATTTCAGAAAAATTTTGTGCCAGGTAAAAACACTGTAATAGATGAATCAACAGTTGGGTTCAAGGGCAAAATAATTTTCAAAACTTATAATCCAAAAGAACCAACGAAGTGAGGCATCAGATTATTTGCATTAGCTGAAAGCGACACAGGTTATGTTCATACTATAATTCCAAATTATGGAAAACTTACAGGTGACATGTGTAACGATACTCTGATATACCGTTCATTTGAAGAATAGTTCTTTCCTTGTTGGAAAGACCATGACTCAATGTGTCTGGAATTGAAGAGTACCAGCATTTCACTGACAGATATTATAGCAGTGCTGAGTTGGACCAAGAATTTGACAATCAAAGAGGTAAGTACACAGTCGGCCCTTCTTGCACCAACTTTTTGGACAAAACAGTTCACTTAGTGGTTCAGCGGGTATTTTAAAACCTCTGACGACCTGGTCAGACCTGAAATTTGTCTAAACGCGTCGACCACAAATATTTAATACTCAATCAGTCATATTACTCACATTCTAAAATGCAACATATGAGTTATACACTGAAACAGTGTTCATGTGTATATGCCTGTACAGATATATGGAAAATAAAGGAAATGAATGAATGTGTGATACAAAATTGAATTTCAGAATATTACAGTTCCAGATTTGAAACTATTAATAAAATATAAATAAATTTAGATACAATTTCTTTATTAAAATCCGTCCCAACACAACAATATCAAGGTCATGGCCAAGACTGGCTCGTGCTACATGTTTCGGCTATTAAAGCCATCATCGGACAAATACAATGATTAATATATTCACACCACTGAACTGCAGTACTGATAAAACTGGATACATGATAATTATTACATTATAAAATGCTTGGCATAAAGGTACAAAGCACTAGACTATATAAAAACAAAAGTCATAGGGTAAAACAAGGTTAAGACTCTTCAAATGATGTTTTATATCAAGTCAGTTGCTGGTTGTTGCAACTTATATATAGATGGCCAGGGTTCAATTCCTGGCAGAGGCAAGGGTTTTCTCTACTCCACAGAATCAAGACCAGATCCAGGGCCCATCCAGTCTCCCATGCAGTGGGTACCATCGGCGACTTCCCTAGGAGTAAACCAGCTGGAGAGTGACGCTGATCTCTCGCCTACATCTAATGCTACAGTCAAGAATGGTGGGTTGCCTTCATGGTGGTGGAATATTAAGGTCATGGGCATTACCCCTACTTTTACCATGTATAATTACTGGACAAACAAAAAATTAAATCAGAACAGTGGTCTCTTTAGAAAAATTTGATGAAATCGATCCAAGTTTCAATATTCCCCTTAAAAAATCCATCAAATGCCTTGCACAAAAGTACTCGGCTAAAACTTTCTGGCTTCGTGTTTCAAGTTCTGTTTTCAAAAAGGAAATTCAACAAGTGAACATTTTTGGTTGGTGCAAGGAATGCGTGCGTAACTGGCACAATTTCCGGTATCTGCCGTTATCTTGGTTCGTTTTATTTGCAATATGCTTGTCGAATGCGCTGTGGATTCGAACAAGCGGGAAAGAACTGACGCAGAGAGCTTCTGGCTTCCGGCGGCCCGGTCGAAAGATTTGCGGTATCACATAACCTTTCGGTACATTTAAATAATACAGATAATACTGGGGGTAGTTCATATAAAAATGCGTTACCTTCGTTACAAAAGAGAACTCTAACTTTCAATATTTAAATTCTAACCTTAAGTGCCTGTATTTCGTTCTCTTGCCTCTCCTGCAGAGATTCCATACCGGCTACGTCAAACCATGCCTGCAATAAGCATAGGTGCATAGATTGCATAGACCGGTAGAATACCTTTACTACTACCGTAAACTAAAATCCCTCTAGCTGACTAAACTAACCCTACACATTTATGCTTTAACGTCTCCACGGTGTCTACACTAAATACACTATATGATCCTCTTCGACATTGAATCAGATTAAAACACAGACAAAATAACGAATCGTTGATTATCTCCTATCATGGATCTTCTTCCGTACACAACTGTACACAGTCCATCAACGTATTGTGTATACTTTCTCAAAAAATAGAATATTAGAACGATGAGATGAACACTCATAAAAATTACATTCTGGGCCATACAGTAGTGATCCGTGGTGATTTTTTGCTGAAACATTCCTTTTATTCTGTAGATGAATTTTTGTCTTTTGATTTTTCAAGTGTGTAAATGTAATATATAGCTGATTAATTTGTTGTATTTGTGTAAAGACAATGAAATTAATGGTAACTAGATTTAGATAATATTATTCAGACGACAAACCCCCTATATTAGGGTGGTACAGTATACGGTAAAGATATGCACGAGAATTAGATTTAAAACTGACAATTTCCTTATCCAAATGGTTGTAATACCTGTATGTATGGATTACTGAATGATAATAAATGATACTGATAATAATGATAATGATTGGCAAACTGTTCATGCTCGCTGTTTAATTCTGACAACACTCATAGGTCGAGAGCACACCAAGGAATCTGACGACAGCAACGCAACCGCCTAAAATTTACAAATAGAACCATTGTTTTCTCATTTTTTCCCGTCTTACGTTTAGTTAGGTACAGGGCTTGAGGTGGCGCGGGATGCGGCGGGATGGTATCCCGGTTCTTTTCTAAATGGCTTAAAAGCATCCCGCTACTTCTTTGGCAGTAAATGCCTATGAATGAAAAGGGGAAAACCATCCCGGTTCTATTTTCATTCCACCTCAAGCACTGACTATAAATATAGAATATGCTACAGCATCCAGTGCTCACCATTATCATCATCTGGAAAGCAGTGCGTGTTGACAGGCATGCCTGCATTATGACACTGCAACAAACTGGTTAAAATAATTTTGTCACCAGGGTCAGGGAGAGCCACAGTACAGTGAAGACTCTAATCAGACTTAGCTGTCAACCATGATTATGCAGCTATATTAAGACTGAAACATATGTGAAATAAATGATATATTCATGCAACAGGATGATCAAGTGCAATATTATGCAGAGAAAAAATTGGGTGCATCCGTTCTTGTGTGACAATTTAAACTGAAGCGCTTATATTGTTTCGAAATAATTTAACCTGGATCCAAACTTCTTCGTCTGATGAGAAATTTTTCCCCCAAGCCAAATCTATTTTGTCCGGCCTAGCATAGTCTGGGTGGCGTTGTCATATATACAGGACTTTCGCTCAATTAACTGCACAAGACAAAATTAACAGCTTCGTCAGCCTGTTGTGTCACCGTAACAAACGAATCACTGAAGCGCGTTACAGAACAGCTGATACTAGAACACAACGCGCAACGCAACTGTGAGAAGACTGGCATGCTCCGTTGTCTGGAAATTGAGTTTTTCAGGCTTTCCTAGTCTTGAGTTGCTGTTTCCTCAATTTGCGCTGCTCCATTCATTAACATGTGTTCAACTCAGGCTGTTATCAATTCTCGGAAATCGCGGTTGCGTTGCGGTTGCCAGTTTCCTTGGTGTGCCCTCGCAAGTAAAGTAACTTTGACATTGACTATAGTGAATTTGTAGGGTATGTAGATTAGTACAAGCGTTATAATTATTTGAAGTTACGAGTTATAAGTGTTCAATTAATGCAATTATCGATCCAAATCCTGCGTCTAATCACTAACTTACTCACTTATTTACATACTTATTACGGGATAGGCCGCGCCATAGATCAAGCGGTTAGTCGGTGGCCTCCCACTGCATTGGCCCGGGTTTGATCCCGGGTCTGGTCAAGTGGGATTTGTGGTGGTCAAAGTGGCGTTGGGGCAGGTTTCTTCCGAGTTTCCCCTGCCAATCTTCAATCCACCAACTACTTCACAATCACCCTCACCTATCATTTGGGGCTGGTACAATAGGCCAGAAGTGGCCGCAGTACAAGGGACTTAGTCCCACACCACTAGCAATAAAAAAAATACTTACTCCTAGAGCTGAGCCCTTCTTGAGGAGTGGCCAATTCTGCAGCTATTCAAGAATTTCCCAGCATTTTATGGAATCCGAAGGTTCATTACCGTGTTCACAAGAGCCCTCCACTGGTCCCTATCCTGACTGGCTCTCCCACCAATATCCTATATGCATTCCTCGTGTCCCCCACTCGTGCTACGTGCCCTGCCAACCTCATCCTCCTTGACCTGATCATTCTAATCATACTTGGATAAGAGTACAAGTTATAAAGCTCCTCATTATGGAGATATTTCCAACTTCCTGTCCAAATATTGTCAATATCATGTTCTCAAACACACTCAGTCGATGTTCCTCCCTTAATGTCGGAGACCAAGTTTCACACCCATACAGAACCACACTCAAAATTATAGTTTTGTGTATTCTAAATTTTATGTTTTTGGACAGCAGTCGAGAAGACAAAAGATTCTGGACCCGAGTTGAATCTCATCTTAATTTCCTCCTGAATCAGGCTTTTTTAGTTGTTATCGTTGTTCCCAAATATCTGAACTGTGCCACACTTTCAAATAAATATCTTGTCATGAGCCCCAGATGGGGCTCGACACCAAGACTTACTGACTGACTGTCAATCGAAATGTGACTTGGACTTGGACAATTCGACAGTTCGATATTCTAGTGATAGTTGTCAATAAAAAAGGCCTATTGTGAAAGTATTTGTTCAACCTTTTGTGTTATAGTTACATTGAACTGTAGTTACGTGGAAGAGTAAAAAAGTGACGTCGCAAGAATACACTCCTCGAAGTCTTGTTTCACGACAAGTTCATTCTGAATAGGAAATTTGTCAGACGAATGTTTACCTATACGGACTTCACTATACGTTTCGTTTACACAGATTTTAATCAGCTTGAATATTGTACAATACTTCACTCTTAATTGAGTCATAAACTTTCCTGAAGTCTATGAATAGCTGACGTACTGTCTCATTGTACTCACATTTTTCTCTAATATCTGACGAATGCAAAAGATCTGATTTGTAGTTGTTCTGTTACGCAGAAACCCACACGTCTAATCACTAACACTTGACAGTATTGTTCTGTGATCAAGCGAAAAGCGCTATATCGATTGCTAGTGATAGGAGCGACGTAAGAGCGCTCTATGCTTGCGTCAAGCATGGATTTCTGAATAACAACCTTGTTGTGACAAAAGAACAGCGGTATGCGTCAAGCATTTGTAGAAGCATATGTGGATACAGCGGGATACTAATCATCGAAGTACTTATAACAAAATACTTACAAAGTGGAAGAAAATATTATGTCAAGACAGATGATGAGCGAAGAAAGCCATCCCAGGACCTTGTATGTAGGGAATTTGGATCCTTCTGTGTCCGAAGATCTTCTGTGTGCCTTGTTCTCGCAGATTGGACCCGTCAAAGGCTGCAAAATCATCCGTGAGCCCGGAAATGATCCGTACGCCTTCCTGGAGTTTACGAACCATCAAGGGGCCGCTACCGCTTTGGCTGCGATGAACAAGAGGTTATTTCTTGATAAAGAGATGAAGGTAAACTGGGCCACTTCACCAGGTAATCAACCTAAACAAGACACAAGTAACCACTATCACATATTCGTTGGCGATCTGAGTCCAGAAATCGAGACACAGACGCTTAGAGAAGCTTTTGCTCCTTTTGGGGAAATTTCCAACTGCAGAATAGTTAGAGATCCACAAACATTAAAATCAAAAGGTTATGCTTTTGTATCTTTTGTTAAGAAGGCAGAGGCAGAGAGTGCCATAACTGCAATGAATGGTCAGTGGCTGGGTAGTCGAAGCATTCGAACAAACTGGTCTACAAGGAAACCGCCACCCCCAAGGAGTGAGCGACCCCGCCATGGAAATGCAAAAGCTCCAACATTTGATGAAGTATATAATCAGTCCAGTCCTACAAATTGTACCGTTTATTGTGGTGGATTTATAAATGGGATTACTGAAGAGTTAATGCAAAAAACATTTTCTCCATTTGGCACTATCCAAGACATCCGTGTCTTCAAAGACAAGGGCTATGCATTCATCAGATTCTCAACAAAGGAGGCAGCCACCCATGCTATTGAGGCAATTCATAATACAGAGATCAATGGGCAACTAGTGAAGTGCTTCTGGGGTAAGGAGACTGGTGACCCTAATCATGCTCAGAGTACAGGGCAGGCTCCAGCTGGCACTCAGTACCCGTATGCATATGGTCAACAGATGGGATACTGGTATCCCCAGAGTTACCAGGCAACTGCAGCAACAGCAGCTGCTGCACAGATGCAAGGCCAGTACCTGCAGGGGATGCAGGGCTACCCATACGGACAGTTTGGCTATCAACAGGGCTACATGGGCAGAATGGGGATGCAGGTGCCAACCTGGCAGGGCATGCCAGCACAAGCTCAAGTTCCGGGTGCGGCACAGCAGATGGCTGCAGCAGCGCAGGGTGCCGCGATGCAGCAGCAGGGTCCTGGCATGATGACGTACACCATGCAACAGTTCCAGACACAGTGATGAGCATAACCACCTAGCCTATGCATACAGTGAGGGAGGGAGAGAGATCGGTTAAATTATATGTGATGCAGAAATTCGCTATGAGGACAATTGGTAAGCTGCAAAGCACAGGAAATTTTCATCTCAAGGCAAAGACTTTTCATTGCACCAACCTTGACTAGGTCTTGCCCAAGAAAATGGAAATGGAAGAAAGATGGTTTTGGATTCCCCCGATCTGAATATGGGAGACCTGGTAACATGACAAAACCATTTTTTACTCCGCCATTTTATGAGACATTTGTGTCATGATTTGTGTAAAATATAAACACTGATATGAAAACCTGTCATGTATTATTTTATCATTACATCAGTATGTGTACTTCGATTCATATAAAACACCACTCAGTTTTGTTATAAGTCTAGCAAGGCAGGTAGTGTTCAGTTTCAATTTGAAATGTAATCAGTGATACGATTGTGTAGATTTGCTAGAGTGCGCTAGCATATTGTCTGATCATATATAGCCATGGTCCTGCATTCTTTTCTTAAAAAAATGTAAATTGAATGGGAGGGCCATTATATACCACCAGCAGGATATCTCTCTCATATTGTGGCAAAACACAGATAATATAAGTTTGTCCCGTTGTGTGGAGAAATGTGCTGTTTGGATCCAGTGATGAGTGATGATTATTTGATTGCACTTACCTCTTTAATTCAGACATTATGTTTATTTTTTTCAACTGTGTCAGAGCAGTTTGATGCTCATGCAAGAAAATTTGACCCATGTTGTTAAGCCTTAGGCTTTAAAACAGAGACCTCTCTTCTGGTGACCTCTGTTTTGAAACAGGTAAGGCATTCACTAACAGTAAAGTAAGAATTAGATTTAAGTTTCAATCAATAATTGTCACAAAGCATGTATCTCTGAAGGTAACTGTGCTGAATTTGATTCTTCTTGATTGTTATAATAAAATATTTGGGTCTGGGATCATTGTCTTTGTTATCGACTGCTCAGAGCTATGGTAAATACAGTGAAACTCAATTAAAGTTCCGTTGGGGAGCAGTAGATGTGAATATAGTACTGAGGAAAACCATATATGGTAGTAATTAAACACCAATATTATTTATTGATTTGAAATCAGTGAAATTGAACATAAAATAAAGGAAAACCTAAAGTGAGGAACCTTTAATGGAGGTTTCACTGTCATAACATTTCTGATTGCTGTGATACTATTTTCTTTTGTGGAAGCTGACAGAAAGCAAATGACACCTGTACTTCTTTTGGCTTATTTTGGACTTCACCCATCATCTGGTATGTAAATTTTCTATCACGTTTTTACTTTGATTTTATTCTTTTCTCCCACTGATGGAACTGGTTGTCGGTTTTTCATAGGTTGTTTTTCTACAGACCGGGGTTTGTCCAGTGATTGAGACTAGCTCTTTCTAACGGGCCCAACTGAATAGGTTTATCCTTCCCTATCCACCTGAAGACGGAGACAGATCCAGTCTCCGAAACGTCATGGTCATTTTGTCTTTTACATACCAGACGATGGGTGAAGTCCAAAATAAGCCAAAAGAAGTACAGTATACATCATCGTCAGAATCCTTTCAAGTCTATCCAAGTGACACCTGTTTCAGAGGTTTCTTCTTCTCAGTTCTTGCTTTTCTTGTGATATTAGATTGTGTGTTGCATCTGTAATTTGTTGTGCAGCAAATTTCTGGGGATAAGTGCCATGTAATTATGAGTTGTAATGACAGTGCCTTCTACAGTTCCTTAAAGACTCACTTTTTGTGTAGGTGCAAATTTGAAGAGTGCAGTCTTCAGGGTGATAATGCCATGTAGTTCAGCAGAAGTCTTCTGACCTTTCCAAAGGAACATCAGTGGACTTCTGCCAACTAAATGACATTACAACCCAGGAACCCATACTCTTCATAGTCACCTCTGTGAGAACCTCAGTTCTCGCAGGTATGAATTTGTTTTGTTTCAAGCCACTAGCATTTTTGTGAAGGAACTGAAAGAAGTTATTCTAGAATGTCAGCATAGCTGTGACTGGTTTAGTAACACACTCGGTTGCACAGCATGAGAAAGAAGTTTCCTCCTGCAGACTTGATAGATTTTATGTGGGTGGGGCAGTTCCCAGTTTTGTGTGTGTCTGTGGGGGGTGGGAGGTTACCTGAAGAAATTAGTAGACTGGATGGGAAGACAAGTCAGCAGCAATGCCCAGTGTGATAGCTGTTTCATGATCTTGTTAGTTATTCAGTATCCTTTAATACTTCACTCTTGAAGTTCATGTTAGCAGATTCAAATGTTGCTTACTGATTTGCAGTGAACCAGTGTAAAACATGACTATGCCACATGCAAAATCTGTCATGGTTATCCAAGGCCTTGGTAAGGTAAAAGAGGTAAAGTTGTCCCTGTGTTTAACTAATTAAGCACTACGCGCAATGAAGACATGTGGATGTGGATATATAGATCCACATTTTCTTGACCTCGGAACTAGTTAGAGGTGAGTGGTCAGGTTCATGCCCCACTTGCTTTACCTCTGGGGAAAGAGCCCCATGTACCCATTGGATAGGGGGCTGGGTGGGCCCCAGAGGCAATATGGACTACATGGAGAAAAGAAAATTCTTGACCCTACCAGCACTCGAACTGTGACTTCCTCGTTGTCCAGCCTGTGGCCAGATGCTATACTGACTACACTATCCCAGCTCCCATCCAAGGCCTAGGAAAGTTGTTTTATTCATACATCATGTATGACAAATCTTCAGCGACCTGAGTAAATTAACATTTATGTTTGAAACCTCTTTTGAAGTTTGATCCCTTTTACTAAATGCAATGCAACCCAATAATTTGAGGGATTAGAACATCATTCATTCATTCATTCATTCATCAGTTATCTATTAAGACGACAGGTCCACAGTATATTCCAAAACAGTTCCTCCACTTGATGTGATCTAGAGCTTTCTCCTTCAAATGAAAATATTCTCTTCTGTCCCCAAGGTTATCCAGCATCTTCTTATGTCTTCTTCCTCGTCTTCTGGTCACTTCTATCCGCCCCTCTATCTTTCCTTCAATAACTTCTTTTAGAAGGCAGTTACCGCATAAGATAGGACCAATCCAATTAGCCTTCCATTATCTTATTTCATGTAGGATATTCCTCTGCTCACTGACTCTAAATAACACTTTTTCATTTCTCACATAATCGGTCCAATTGATCTTCTCAATCCTTCTCCAACACCCCATTTCGAAGCTTTCCAGGTGTTTCTGATCTACTGCCCTAAGTGTCCAAGTTTCAGCCCCATACAAAGCAATGCTCCAAATATAGCATTTCACTAGTTTCTTTCTCAAATTTAAGTCCAATTTGCTGGTAAAAAGATTATTCTTCTTGCTAAATGCAGCTTTTGCCATGGCAATCCTAGATTTAATTTCACAAGTACACCTTCCATCATCTGTTAACAAGCTACCCAAATATTTAAAACATTTCACATTCTCCAGTTGTTTTTGGTCTATCTTTATTGTGACTGGGGTTGGTTGTTTCGAAATTTTCATTACTTTTGTTTTTTCCACATTCATTTCCATGCCATAGCACCTTCCAATTTCGATTAGTCTGTCAATCATACCCTGTAGCACAGTTTCTTCCTTAGCCATTAACACAAGGTCATCTGCATATTTCACAGTTTGAATAATTTGCCCTCTTAATTTGAAGTCTCCCAGCCCATCCACAGCTTCTTTGATAAGGCATTCGCTGTACAAGTTGAACAAAATTGGTGATAAAAAGCATCCTTGTCAAACTCCTGTTCCAATCTTCACACTTCTTGTCTTCCCTCTGTCCAGTCGCACTCTTAACTCTCTGATCCATGTACAATTTACTAATCAATCTTCTTTCACGCCAGTCAATACCTGTTTTGAGTAGAACATATGTGGCCTAGAAGGTAGATTGTTGTGAATGTTTGAAAGCATTTTGTGGTAAATGAATACATAGCATTTCTGATGTCTTTACAGATTTCATATCCTTCAATTTTTCTTCTATGATTGAACTGCCATGTATCATCATTCATACATTCAGAGGAACAGTTCAGTTAAAACATTATTATGATGATGTGACAGTGTGCTGGAATTGAAGTCATATCACAACCAAGTTAACCTATTTTCCCTAATTCCAACAGTAGCCCTTTTTTTCCTAATTAAGGTTAGAAGCACTGTGCGGATTTGAAACTTTGATTCCTGAGGAAATGAAAGTAAATCCTAGTTCTGTCAGAGGAAGATGGATATCTGTGTTCATGCCTAAGTAGTGCAGTTAATAGATGGAAGTTGTATTATTAACTGGTAGAAACCATCAAACGATTGTTTTATATATGCCAAGTAACTGGAAGAGCAGGAGAAATTCCTTGCAAAATGAAGAGTTCTGTCTTGAGAGATAACAAGTTAGTCCGTTGAAAGTCAGCAGATGTTTTAGAGGAACACACCACCTCCATCCTCAGGGTTAAGGAGAGGCTCTGCTTCTGTCTTCAGGATTGAAGAGTAAACCAAGTAAGATACCAGCATGAAGCAGGCAGAAAGCAGAGCCTCAGTGTACTGCCTGCTGTTACTGGTTTCTTGATTGGCTTACTCTTTGATCCTAAAGACGGAGTTCGTATGTTCCTCCAAAACACTGGTTGACTTTCATTGGAGTATACAGTGATATGTCCCAGAAGACAGAGCTCTTCATAGCCACTATTTATGAGAACTTCATCCAACACGTTTCCTTGCATAATTATATATTTTTTCTGAACTTTTTAAGTATGAAACAATGCAAGGACACTATGCAAGTACTTCATGGTGTAGAAACAATACCAACAATATGACCAGGATCAGTTTTCATGATGGGGTTACTATTCTGCACTGACAAACCTGCCACAATCTAGAGACATGTCACTACATCACTGGAAACCACATCCTCACATCTTTCTATAGGTAACTAGCATATGCACACTACAATAATAATTCAGAAGACATGATTGAGGTTTTGTAGCAACACGTGTGTTTTCTCCCAGTAAAGTTGCATGGTGGGGGAAATAGCTAAGGCACCGCAGGTGGGTATGGTGGTGTAATGTGGTCCTTGCTCTGGTAAGTTGTGTCCCCCATTCAGCTGTTCACTTTAAATTAGGGATGTCCGTTACATACAATTTATTTGTTAAGGGAAACATACACAACTGAATATGTAGAAAGTCAGTGTCTGTATGTGAATAGGGTATGAAGTGTGAGCTGAAGCAACACTTATTGACCTTTGAGGAGCTTGTGGAGTTATTACTGTTCTGAAATAAAATGTACTGTATTTTACATTGCATCAGATATGGAAATACACAAACTGGCCAGATAAGTTGAGTTTCTTCAGCTGGAAACTGATGAGTATGGATATTTAGCAACTGGCTTTGTAGGTATGGTAAAGGTAAGGAAAAAGGTAAATTTGTCCCTGTAACAGGCCATGAAGGCCCACAGGGGTGTGAGAGGTCGAGGCTCACACATCTTCTAGATAACTGGCTCACAGATGGTGGTAGGGTTGTTAGCCGTATGTGCCTGCTACCCTTTACCCCCAAGGTATCTTCCTGCTACTCATGTCTCTTAGAGGCTGAGTCAACCCCAGGGCCATATTGTGGCTGGAAGGAGTAGGTAAATTGAAAAAATTCAATGACCTGATTGGGAATCAAACCCACAACCTTCTGGCTTGTAACATAGTGCCTCAACCAACTATGCTACTGTGTGCCTGTTGTAGGTATGGGAGAAAAAAAAAGTAAAGTCATCCCTGTGCTTAACAGTTCAAGCAATATGCCATGAAGACATGAGGAAGTGAATTTTTAGATCCCCATGTTCTTGACATCAGCACTAGTTGGAGGTCAGTGGTCAGCTTCATGCCCTTTACTCCTGGGGGAAGGCCCCCAGTACCCACTGGATAGGAGAATTAGCTTTGTAGACAAGACAAAAATTTGCATAAACTCAAAATATAAGTGGCA